GTACGGACTTCAGGGTCACGGCTCGTGGCGTCCGTCGGGGCGCAGGAATGACTGCCCCGGTTAGCGCTAGCAGGTTTCCCGGGTCCTTGCATTAATAACGCGCAGTGTTTGATCATGTTCGCCAACTAGAACACACAAGACGCCCACAACAGAGCTGTGGCTGACTCGGCAAGGGCAGCCGGCTGACCCTTCAATTCCCAGTTCGAGCCCTCTACACTAAGCTTCCGGCTGAGCGGAGAGGCGATGCGAGCATGCCTCTTTGACCGTGTAGGTGTTACAGGGCTGGATGGCCACTATTCTGTCCTAGTAGTTGGCAAACACACTGGCCTTTTCTGTATTTATTGGAATGGACGTCTTGGGAAGGAGAAGGCTCGCTAGTAGTCAACCCTGGGGCGTCTTACGTGGTAACCACCACATACCTACCCCATCCTCGGCGCGGTCATGCTGACTATTCTGGAGCGCCCCTTCTGGATATGTCTGGTTTTTGGACGCCTGCTTCGCGATAGGACTAAAGAATCCTTCACTTGTGCGTCAATGCCTCCTTCTATCCAACGACATCGAGCTTTCAGGATAGCTGTGGTGTTTCGCTCTTTGACGCCAGAGGATATACGCTCCTATGCCCTCGCCCCCTCTAAGCAAGTGACGAAGGATAAGGAATTAACAATAGCCTTGTCGCGTTTTCATTCCATCCGCTATGGGTAATGTTCACCAAACGAGATCTCGCCTGGTGTTCCGCTTTTCGTTTGCCGATGCACCGTTACCGATTCTTAACCATACCGTGATCAAAGCTCCGGCTGGAGCCACCGCCAAGTCTAGAAGAAGCAAGGCAATAATACGTGCTGGGGGCGCCAGGTAATCAACGAGGGCGTCTGCCTCTCATACCTCGGTGGCCTCCGTCAAAATAGTGTGAAGGTGCCTCGACGCCACCAAGGATACCCATCGGAGTCCCTCGCGACCTAGGGTTGCTTCTCGGCATTGTAAGCTCAGCTCGACGAGGGAACTTGCTTGGCAGTATCAGACCACCCATGAAGCCCACGAGTTGTGTTGCAGTCGCTTCAATCCTCCGGATCCCCGGCCTCACGGCCATTGCCTCTTCCTATCCATGCCTTCTAAAATAGAAACATGGCCTCCACACCTGCCAGTTCAAATCGTGATTATACCAACCGATCAAGGCCTGACAGTTAAGCAGAGATATCGGGCAGCCAAGAGTAGCGCCTGCCCAGTTGGGCTCTTCCCGTCTCCTTAGTCGACACTGCAGCAGAGAGAGAGTCTTTCTGGGTGACAATCAATTCAGCACAACGGCCGAGTTGGGCTTCTCGTTATGAGGAAGCGCGCTCGCCGATCTTATAGAGCCGAACCGCCGATGATGAAGTAGAGACCCATGGATGATAATTGGACTGAGTCACCCGATTCGCTCGCCGCACCAACTTTCCTGTCGCGCCATAGACCATGAGCTCGCAAAGACTGTCAGCTGCAAGCACGGCCCATTGATTTCTCAACGCTGCCTGCTCACAGAAAGGGGTGTGGTGCCTTGAAGGACTGCAAGTAGAGGGACGGGAGGACGGCGGCTCCGTGAGCCATTTCTACTCCACGATCTTTCCAGCAGAAGAAGCAATTTCCCTTATCCTCTTGGAGACGATATTTCCCATCATTGTATCGATCATATTCACAGCAAGCCAACTATAAATGGCAGAAGGTTGGCAATTACAAGACCAAGCTTAGAGCTTCCAACTTGCGGTCCTCTGCCTTGAGACAAGTCACAATGTACTATCATACTCTGCCAGCTTCTGCAGTTCAAATTCTGTCGCAGACACCGAAAATCCATCAAGGGCGGAAGGTACCAACCTATTCAATTGCTCCTTCCCATGATACTTGTTCCATAACCCCTCTTAATACCCACATTCCCGTCTTGTTCCCCAGTAATATTAAGCCTCTCGTCTAGTCTCGCGAGGCAGGTGTTCTTCACGTCCAGGAAATATTTATTGGAGTTTATCCCGCCGCTTCTGGGCACCTTAATCCATCCCTGGCGTCTCGAGTCGTCAGAGCGGACAAGAGAACAACGTCACATCCCTTGAGGTGACTTCAGGTGTCGTTCACATCGCTTCCCTCATACCCCGAGACCATCTGCTGCCCGGCTTGGCCGACCCCGACCTTAGGGTGAAAAACTGGTTCCCCAACAACTCCTCTCTCGGAGGGCCAATCACATGAGTTAGCAACCGAGGACGAGTGCAGGTTCCTAGAAACGGTCGTCGCACTCATCTGGCCACGCACGCTCCGAAGGCCATCACCGGGATCAACCTTCTCATGGCTCCAGGCTCTTTTGTGACACCTTCCCTCCCCTCCGTTTGGGTGCATTAGTCCCTTTTCTTTACCTTGATAAAAGCAGGAGTTTTGCACCGCAATCAGAGAGAGAAATAGACAATTAAAAAAAAAAAAACTCTTTCTTTTGCCAACCATATTCGACTCTTCCTGCCACTTTTTCTTACTCCTTCACCTCGTGCAGCGCCGCATTCGGAGGCCAAAAGAAGGACCTGGAAACATTGGTTCCGCGGCTGAAGTTGTAAGTCTGAATGCCCACAGCATCAAGGTCCCTCTCTATACTACATAAAGGCGAACTCCCTGTCCAGATATCGGAGGGCGAAAACTAACCTTCCTTCAGTCATCTACCCTCCACAGGACCCAGATACAGCTTCAACTCATCTTTCCGCAAGATCCAGGCATCCTTTTGTTGTTGATCTATGTCATCGCCATGAGCCTCAGCTCCCACGCGATACACGACGTAATCCACCCCACCGCGGCCTTTGTGGAGAGATCTACCTACGAGGCCGCCGGGTCACGGGCAGAGAACGGGCACTCTCTCCAGGACCGTGGGGGATTGGGCGACCTCTCCCTAAACCCGAAAAACCGCATCGAAAGCCTAGAATTCCCGAGCAATCCGTTTTGGAGAATTGACGGCTGCACTGGACTAGGTACCCAATTTTACGCCATCCCCCTTTTATAAAACCAACAATACCCTCCCGTATCGACGTCTTTATCCCGGAGCAATCCAGCCAGACCCCCGAGATACGCTCGCTGCTCCAGCTTGACGATGCTTTCCACACAAAGGACCGTGGGAGGGTGCGCAATCTTGCTATTACAAGACTCATAGTCCGAAAACTCCAACAATGGACAACGTCATTCCTGACCCCCGAGGTGGTACCATTCCTTGCCTTTCGGCTCGCGAATCGTTTTCGAAAATATATCTGTCAACCTTGACGAGATTCGCATCTGCATCGCCCCGATGCATAACCTCGAGAGGCAACTAAAATCAGCCGACTTCCTTGACCGACTATGGGAGCACCGCGTTACTTTACCCCCTCAGGTACCTTTATCGAGCCTCGATCTAGTTGAGCAGCTACATGACAGTGTATGTCTTGTAAAGTTCGAGCAGAAGATATGGATTATGAAGGCCCTTACCAGTTATCCAAAATATATTTATCATGAGCTGAGAAATCTCCTGACCATTAAAAGCCACGACAACGTTATTGGACGTCCTTCATATCTGGCGACAAAAGGTGTTCTTTCGGAAATAAGAACGCAGTCGTCGGGTTTCTACTAGAATACCACGAACAAGGAAGCCTCCGCGACATATTACCGTTGCACCATGCTCAGAAGCATCTCACCATTGAAAACCAGCTCCGCTGGTCGCTTCAAATTACGTCCGCAATTCGGCATCTCCATGACCGCTGCGGCATATTTTACCCAGATCTGCGTCTTGACAACGTAGTACTATCTAGTTCTGGCGATGCCATAATCGTAGACCTTGAACAGAGGGAGTGTGGTGTGAATTTTCGGCACCGGAGGTCAATTTTATCCAGTACATACTCCTGCTGGCAACTTCTGATGATATTCCTGAACCCACCAAACAACGCTATGGTACTAGGATCCGAGGCCTCCTCCGCGGCATCGGCGAAGTCGCAGACTTCACAGATACCGAGGAGCACTTACAACTTCTCCCTAGCTACAACATTCCTTGGCTATGCTTAAGCCATGCAGAGCAAGAAGCAGCAGAGGTTTACATGTTGGGTCGGGTGATATGGTGTATATTCGAGGGAGTTAGCGCCCCTCACCGGACCGCATTCTGGCAGTCCTACCGATGGGAGTCGGACTTGGAATTTCCAAATTACCGGCGCACTCCAGAAAAGATGCGTGTGCTGATTGATCAGTGTACTAGAGGCAGGCGACACACGCTTAGCGAAAAACTCGGCCGTGTAGGAAGTGCACTCAAGCTTTCTCCTAGCGCAGAAGAAGAAGGAAGTACAATCCCGAGCGACGCCGGCGAATCCCTTCTCCATCTTGTTGCAAAGAAGTGGTGGAGAGAAGAGGTTAAGCATGCAGAGGGGTTTCTTGATCGCAGAGATGAGCTCTTGGGAAAGAACCAATGGCAAGATAATTACTTTGAACGACCCACCCTGAGGGCGCTCTGGGACGGACTGGACCAATATCGTGAGGAGTTGGGGATTTCTAGGTTCAGCATGGGCAGAGACTAGCCTTTCTTTGGGGATTCTTGGCATATCCTTTGTCCTAGGAATTTCTTGTTTTATTCTTTATCTTTTGTAGCTTGCGGAAGTCATAACGGATATAGGTCACGAAGGAAACCTCCTTAGGGCTCTTGATACCGACAGGTTCGTTAGCATTCTCGTTTCTGCACGATTTATATAAGGAGATAGACTAGGTGTGAGCGAGAACCCGCTCAAGGCTCGGCCCATGGGTTAAATAGGAAAGCGAAGAGCCCCTTCCCCCAAGGGAAGTGTGGCACGAGAGAATAAGAGAGCATATCTGAGGCAAGCCAGAACCCAACCAAGAGAGAAATCGGAGCACGGCTCTAGCTCTAGAATGGTCAACATCCACGAGTTGAAGAATAGAAGGCTGAAATGTGAAGAAAGGGAAAGAAATATGAAAGAAGAAGACGAAAGACAGTCGAAATCCCTTGCGGTGTCCAGCCGTAAGATCTCCAACTATTAAGACGGGATGAGGGCTCTACCCGAACCGGGTTTGTTAAGCTTATTTGACTCGCTTAGCATCTCTAGATGAGGGTGGTCCCTGACTATGTCTTTTAGAACCTGTCCCACCGGGGAGGACCGGCTGCTGCCAGGTTGGGGATAGCCCCTCAAAGTTGAGATGAGGTTGCTAAACTTGCCAATATACGAGGGCGGCGCACCGTGCACTTTCAAGCGATCTTGCACGACTTCGAGATTGTGCAAAAAGTGCGATGAAGCCTCAGGTATGTCGACAAGGATAGCAATAACGAAGTCCTCATCACTGGTGCCGATAAGGCGAGCGTAAAGATTGCGCTCGGCTGGCACGGAACCAGGATTCACGTCGCCGTTACGGTCCGAGACCCCGGAAAGAATTCGTACCAATGCTCGGGCAGCACCGATACGCTGAAAAGGGGTAGAGGCATGGAGGGGATAAACTGCCGCGCGGATAGAAGACACGATGCCCAAAATATGGTGCGCCGCCCAGGAGACATTGCACGGTGTTTCGGTTCTAGGAGCCAAAGACCCAGCTGGCGAAACGGAGGAAGAAGAGCTCGGGGACAAGCTGCGGGGTCCTGATACGCTAGCGTTGTGCAGCTCGGAGCAGTATGTATCCAGTTCGGCAAATACGCGAGCGGCGCGCTGAGACAGCCTTCGGAAAGGATCCTTGATGGGATCGGTGTATCGGGTGAGCGAGTATAGTTCGTTGAAGAGTTGTTTGTTATCGAGAAGCATGCGGAAGAGGGTCTGCTCCAAGTCGCCTCTCTTCAGGGGCTTCTTGCCTCGATGAGGAGCAGTGAAGATGTCGGGGCGAAACTTTTCTGGGGGACGGCCGAAATAGAAGCGAGGAGTTCCCGAGCGTCCAGGACACGGCTTTCGTCCAAGTCTCCGTCTCGGTCGCATTCCGGGTCAACGAGATCGCAGTGGAGGCTCTCGGCTAGGAGGTCTAGGTGGAAATTGGAGATGTCTGTGAAGGGATGGCCTACCTCGGCCGGGTATCCGTGGACGGTGAGGGACAGGGGAGTATTGGAGTTGCGATTATACAGGGTTTGCTTGGCGAGCTGGTCCATTAGCCAAAAGACGTGTCGGCAGGGGAGGCGGAGGACTTGCTGCAGGAGCAGCGGGGATGAGGGCGGTTGCTGTCGGGCGACTCTATGCGGATGGACCGATGTACCAGCTCGGTCATCTGGAAGGCGTACACGCCGTCCTTTAGCCGACAGCACTGAAGAGTGATCTTGGGCGGATCCTGAAAGGCGTCTCGAGCCGCTCCCTGGATGCTTCGGGGCAGCCCGCCCAGGTGGTAGGTGAGCCGAGTAGGCGACCGGACTAGGGAGGAGTCCTCATCCTCGTCGCTATCACCAGCCGTTGCGGAACCGTGCGAGTCGGTGTCGTCTTCGGAGCTCGACACGTCCTCTCTGATCTGGCCACGAGTGCGCCCGGGTGCGCCGGCTAGCAACGGGGGCATGCTGCTGTCGAGAGAGAGTTGGCTGAGCTCACTTGTCGGAGCGGTCGGCATGAGGAGGGTGAAAAGTGTAAGGGAAGGGGGAGATGGGAAAGAGTATTGTGTTTCAGAGTCTCATGTGGACAGGACAGGACAGGACAGGACAGGACAGGACAAGAGAGGAGAGAACAGGAGAGGATGGTTTTTGAGGTCAGAGGAAGAAGAAAAAGAAGAACTGGTACATGAATGTATTATATATAAGTCGGCAGGTACAAATATGTGTGTGGTTGTGTGTGATAGCGAGGGTGAAGAGTGGGGTGGGAGAGTGAGGTTGAGGTTTGAGCATGTAAGTGATTGTGAATATGAAGGGGATGTAGACGTGGTTGCCGATGCGGCGGCCAGGCAAGTTATATCCTCGTTGGCCTGCAAGGAGGACGGCAAATGACGGATTGATGGACGGGGATGATGGTAGGGAGAGGGAGGAACTGGATGATATCACGGAAAAAGAGGAACAACGGGTTGGAGCGATCCTATGGAGTAGTGGACCGAGGGATGTTGGTCAAGGACGGGTGTCAAGGACCGGAGCATCCATCCTCCTTTGCGTTCAGCCCGCAACCTGCAAAGCCAGTAAGCTAGGGATGGATGGATCTTTTTCACCCTCCCCATGCATGATTGCCTAGGAAGAGACGACCGTATGCGGCCATGGTCATCAGAGGACCCAACTTGGATAATGATATGGAGTGGGTGGTCTGGGTATCAGACGGAGGCTGCGGAAGAAGAAGCGGGTCCGTGGAAGAAGGAAACGGAAGCACAATGTGGCGTCGAAACTGAGGCTGTGAGACCGAAGATCATTTTCGGGGGACAGAATGCCAGAGATGGAAGGGGTACGGAATTCAAAGGCATCACAGACCATGGTACCCTTTTTTTTTTTTTTTTTTTAATTCCCGTTCCCGTCCCTGTGGAGATGTCCGAGGGAGACGACGCTGGGGTGCTACCGCGTTGAGGGAAGGGGAAAGGGGCGGGGGCGGAAGAAGGTTCCATTCCCCTTTGTCTAGGCGAGCGCCGGACGGGTGGGAGAAGGAACAAGAAAGAGAACACATCAGGAAGCAGATGGGATATCCCGGCGAATGCAAACAGTGTATGCGGGCCAGTTGCCGTACCGGACTGAGATGCTGGTGCTGGGGAAGACGAAAGGGGAGCATGGGAGAGGGCTGTGGGACGTGGGCCGGGCAGGGTGCAAGGGGACAATGCATGCCTAGATGGGGTAAGTTAATCCAGTTTGGCTGGAGCCTTCTTTTTCTTTTTTCTTTTTTATTCTTTTTTATTAGTGCCTTTTTCTTTTTCCTTCTTTTCTTCTTCTTCCTTTTAGGGGCGTTCCTCGGCGGGCGAGAAATAATTGATCGTGGGACAGAGCTCCATTGAGAGAACCAGACTTGATGGGAATGTTGGCCCTCTGGTATGCAGATGGTCAATTGCGTCAAAAAGGGTTTATGTTGGTTTCCCCTCCCTTTTTCGGAGTCATTGGGTTGGCGTGTTAGTCGACAAGGCCGCATGCGGTTGGGGCGTTGCTGGCGCTGTGCGCACTAGCCTTAATTCCAACTGATTGATTGATGGTGGGCGGAATCTGTGAAGACTCCATCTGGGAGGCACTAATATTACATGTACACGACCGAGGTACAGATACGGAGTTGGGAAGGCGGTTTCCACGACTGAGGCATCAATCAATCCCCATGCAAGGATTTACAGGCCGTTGAAGAAGAGCACGTTCAGTGAGGTGCCCGTTCCACGTCCAATCAATTGTCGGTGCTGGCGAGCTCCTCCCTCGTGGAAGGAATTGTTGCCCCTTTGCCAATTTCTTTTCCAACAAAAAAGAAGAAAAAGAAAGGAAAATGAAGACCCAGGGCAATAACGGGACACCTCTCGAGCCTGGTGTTTGTGCAATCTGGTCAACTCCGTTATGGATGCACAATATGAGCAACAAGACGGGGACTGGAGCTAAAGAATTTGAACTGGAAGAAGTGCTCTGGCGACAGTTGACAGTGGAGGACATTAGTAGATCGGAGCCTGTGGTAATGAGCCACAGCTAAATGAGGCACGCACAGCCACGCAGCCGTGTTGCTCCCAATGATTTACGGAGCGTCTGCGATTGGGGGTTTGTCGCCGAAAGTGGAGCAGGCGGCCACCGAATGGGCCGGCTGTTTGGGGCTTGACTCTGGTCCCCGACGACACTCGGGCCCCGTTATTCGAAGACGAGCGGCGAGCGGGTGGCGGGTGGGGGAAGCCACCGGCCATTTCTGCGGCCGCCCTGAGCAAGTGCCTCCTTTTTCAAGTCTCGAGCCTTGGTTTTCCCTCTTTTGCCGTCTCCTGCTCCCTCTCCCTCCTTAGCGGTCCATTTTGATCTTGCGACAATTTTCGGGGCTCTCCAGTCACGATGCACGTTGCATTTATTCAAGTTTGCGATTTTTTTCTTTTTTTGGTGGGGGAGGTTTTTTCTTCTTGGGGAAGGGAGGGCGTGGTTTCTCATTCCCCCTTTTCCCCTTTCTGGGTCGAACAGTCATGAGCAGAATGAAGCAGATTTACGGACATGGCAGTGGGCTAAAAATGGTCACACGGCACGGAAAAGTCCCAGGGACAGAAGAAAGAGGAAGAAGGGGCCCATCTTTCCCTCTTCCCTCTTCTCCCTTTGCCCTATTTCCCCGTGTCGGTGCCGTTATCTCGTCCCCCATTCCTCTCCCTCTCAGGGCTGGCGCCTCTCCGTGTTCTTCACCCTTCGCCCTTCACCGTTTCCGCTTCTGCTTCCGCAGCCAGCTTCTTCCATAGCCTTACTCGGCCGCATCGCGGGTCGCGCGCTGAGCTTCCCAGTGCTCATCCTGCCCTCCCACTCATGACCCGAAGGAGGCGGTAAGCAAAGCAAGCCAACATGCCTCTACGTCACTGGAGCGACTCTACTGCTAGGGTCCCGGCGAGGGATTTTTCTCTACCTTGTGAGCAAAGGACCAAGCCGGTTAGATGGAGCACTGCGGCGACTACTCCTTCCGCGCCAGGTTGAAAGGAGCGCGACTTTTGTTGGAAAATGTCTGCCTTGTCTGATCATCCACTTCTCGATTGAGCGAAACTAGCTATTGGGCTCGCCTGCGCCAGGAGCGATGGGAAGCTCAAGCGCTTCGGACTGCCATTCGGACTGCCACCGTCGTTCCTTTCAACTCTAGATGGTGGCCCGGAGTCTACGTGTAGTGCACTCAATGGCCGGCCAGCGCTATTCCGAGAAGCTGAAAAGCACAATCCTACCTGCCTAGCTCCCTTGAACTCGTTATATATATAGATGGATTAATGGATGCATTTACCCAAGTGCAGCAGTGGTGCTTGAGACGTTTGGCAAGAGCATAGTATCTTAGTAGGCCGCCCCCCTTCCTCGGACGGCATCCCCCTCCGCCTACGCGCGCATCTCCGGCATGTCAAGTGACTGGCCTGGCTCCGATACGTTGGCCACATTTGCCTTTGCAGCTCACGGCAGCATCTCCATAGTAGTTTGCTGTTGATTTTTACAAAGAATTTTTCAACCCCCTCCCTCGGCCGCGAGCGGAAATACAAGCAGTCGGTCATGCGAAGGCCGCGTGGGTAATTTCTCTCTCGTGGGAGTTGTTGGTTCCTGGCCATCTCAGAGCTGGCCATGCGTCCGGACAGATCAGTAGGTGTTTCTAGGATGCGTGCATTATCAGGATCATGAATATTGCAGGGGCAGTATTGTCGTGGCCTGACCGTCCAGTTATCCCGTGGGAAGCAACGGTTTATGGTGGATGATACTGAGTGCGCTCTCGTAGGCTGGATAACAGATTTTTGGGGTTTAGCTTGTATAAAACTTTTTCCCTTCTAAATATTCTTTTCAACGGTCGAGCATATGTAGTTTGGAGTCGGTCTTATGGATCCCATCCTACCACGCTAGTTTTCCCGGATCCGTCACTCTCCTCTCTCTCCTCTCTTTTCTCTCTTTTCTCTTATCCCCTCTCCCTTGCTCCCTTCTGTACAGGAATATTTAACCGCCGACATCAGGTCTGTAGCGGAAATGGCCCAACGTGGCCGGCCAGCTAAGGTGGCCGTTGTTGGCTGGATATCTTGGACCAACAAAGGCCAACAAGGACCGAATCGCAAGACCGGCTATTGGGCCACATCTTGGAAGAGCTCTGTGGACAACAGCAAGGAGGATCGCTCTGGTTGCGGGATATCTGCATCACTCTTGAGCACATGGAACCTTGCGCTAGCGGGGACGAGGGCTGGATTGGGGAGCACGGAGAGAGCATGGGGTATAGAAAAAGAATGGACGGGAGAAGAAAGTGTATTTACTCCGCGATAGTGCATATCCCTTTCAACGATGAACCCACTCAGGGCTGCTTCTATATATGGAAGCCAAGAGCGAGTGAGTATCATTCCCTACATGTAGTCTCAGGTCATGCGACTTTGGGTGCTCAGAGACTCCCGGAGTGGGTAAAATGGGGGTAGCAAATCGAGCGTGGCAAGTCACTTTTTTTTCTCTTCCTTTTCTTTTGTACGGTATGTATTTTGTCAATGCACGGGCAACAGGTGCGGCAATGGCGCAGATGGTTCTTTTCTAGAGCTTGATGGTAATGATACGTTGATGGATGCACGGTTGGTTGAGAGGGTGGGAGGCAGGGAATGTGCTTTGTACGATAGGGAGGGAGGACGGAAGAAGAATGGAGGAGGGCGGGAGAAACGGGTTGGAACAAGAACAATTGCGTCAAGTGTTTGGCCTGAGCTTGTCATACCTCGTAGAAATGTTCTGAATTGCGTTGAACTGCCGACTCCGTTGAACAGACCCGGCAGTCTGGGTAGGAGGGGGTGGATTACCACGGTCGGGTCAAGCGTGCTCAAGCGTGCTCAAGCGGGCTCGTCTCTGTCTCTTTCGAGGTTTGCACAGCCTCCGCTTCTCGGGCGCATCGTTCTGGTTTGCCTGATTTGCTTCCTCACATCCCCGCCTTGCAGAGTCTCCTTGGAAAGGGATCATCATCTTGAGCACGCCTGAGCACGCTTCTCCTCTTGGCAGTTTCCCTTGACAATTTTATCTCCTCCTCCAAATAGGCACTATACTGCACCCCTTTTCTATAGTAGAAAAATCTCGTTCAGTGCACCTATGAGAGGGCGCGGGCTTCGGTCGATGGCATCTGGATGGAGGGAGCCAAAATGCTCTGGAAGCCCAAGATGCATACCTTTTGAGCATGCAACATCCCTTTTGGTCGAGAGAAAGACTCTCGAGAGAAATGCCCTTGAATAAACGGGCTCGGGGAGACGCGCCTTATCATGCCGTTCGTTGGATGCCTCACATCATAGTGCGGTTTATCTCGGTGATGCTGCAAGGTTAGGGCGGCAGTTTCCCCAAAAGATCACGATAATAATAGGCCAGCCTCTAATATGCTCCTACACTTTAACAATTTTGGGAGTGTGACCCTAGAACAGGAAGTAAAAAGAAAAAAAAGGAAAAAAAGATGGAGACTGCTTTCATAGTCGGGCCCTGCAAGAATCCATCGCCAGTCGCTTGTTTGAAAGGGTCGCAAGTATCGCAGGATTGCCCAGCTTAGTTGCCCCTGACAACCACATCTGAGCCAATCCCGACTGCCCACCACACAACAACATGCCTCGACTGTTGAATTGGCTGTCAAACGTCAATTCCAGCCGCGCGCTCGCATTTTGGTGCCGTTTCCGCGTAGTTAATTGGCCATACATCGTTTCTCCACTACCGACTTCGGGAAGATGCATCAGTGATCTCCAGAGTTTCCTTTCGACCCCCAATTGAAAACCCACGCCCACCGAGGGTTTCCGCTGTGTTTCTAATCTATTGAACTTCACGATTGAATACTTGCATACATTCTTGTGTCGGCCTGCGAGCTAAATTTGAGGTCGACGCACAACTGCATCCAGGGCAAAAGCCTCCCAACTCCATCACGACGAGCGCCGAACCTCTTTACGAGGTGACCTCGGGCTCTATCTGAAACTCCCTACCGAGCCGCCGGGCCATCCCAAGCACCGAACACCATCACCGAGGCTTCGAGGTAAGCGATCTCTATCTCCACGAGGCTAGCCCTCTTCCCCTTCCTCTACTCTATTCACCGGAGTTACGGGGACTGATAACCGAGAATAGGCAGCCTCCTCTCAAACTCCATGCCTAGATTCACGAGGGTCCTAAGAGGGCCTCTCCGGCGCCCAGACCGATCCTCCCCGCCAGCCTACCTACCTACGAAAAGTTGGGGAGCCCGACACAAGAGGGGTTCTCAGAAGACTACTCCGACTATTCAGACTACGACGGCGACGATGAACCCCAAAGCCCCCGCTCTTCCTCTTCCTCCTCCTTCTCCGCCTACGACCCCGCAGGGCCGATGGCTCTCGCCAAAGCTCCTACTCCGAGTCTAGCACCACAGCCATGCTAGCTCCCGCAAAAGTCAACCGTACGACAACGAGTACGCCGCGTATACCCCTACCGGCTGCCAAACCGCCCCGCCCGCTATCTGTCCTTCATCATAATATCCTCTCTGATTTTCATGGCCTGTACTCTCGTAAGGGCGAGTCGAATAGAGAGCTTGCGGCTGGCACGGGGGAGTACAAGAGGCCACCGCCTTCCGCGCCAGCCTGGGAGAAGTTTCCGAACCTCTCCAGGTATTATGGTGGTGTACGCACGCTGCTCTCTGCTGGCCAAAACCAGCCCGAATACCCACCGCCGTCGGGCGAAGGCGCCCCCGCGCCAGCAGGTAACCGCCAGGCGCGAGACCTAGCGTCGAGCAAGGCCTTCGCTGCCGAGAACCCGGATGCAATCTTCTCCACCTCCCCGAGGACTTTACCGAGTGTTATCTGGATGCCGAGAACACAATTCGAGTGCCTGGTGTTCGCTACTACGAAGGTCGCCCACAGGGATTTCCCGACCATGTGGTTGGTTCGTACGAGGCTCTCGCTCTGCCCCAAGATATCTGCTTCGATCGCTTTGGTCGCTACGGTCCTTATGGCCTAGGTTACTCCCCGCGACAGGGAGGGATCGGCAGAGGCGATGTCGGGGACGTTGAGGGGGCCGACCAAACCTGGACCGGCACTTCCCAGGTCGATTATAGGACAGTCGATTGGGCCGACGCACAGAGGCGCTGCTACCGCTCTAATTCGGCAAGATTTGCCCCTCTTCCGCCACGAAAGCCTGAACCTCATGGCTTTTTTGTCGACGAGCTCCCTGGAGCGGCCGCTGCTCCCTCGGACGACACGTTAACCAGGAGGGCGAATGCACAGCGGGCGGACGATCAAGGTACCGGCCCCAAGGTTCAGGGCAGGACGGCCCTGGTTCTCCGCTGCTGGGACGACATGGAATGGCAGGCAGACGAGATCATGTACGTCCGCTCGCTGATCTCGGAGCTTTCCTTGGCGTCGGGCGGCCGCTACGACGTCCATCTTTTGGTCCAGGTCAAGGATGAGGGGAACAACCCGATTTGGGCCGACCCGCCTCGTACGAGCGCGTGGTGCGCGAGCGCATCCCCGAGAGTTTAGGGGCCTCGTCACCCTGTGGACCCAAACCCAGATGCTCGCCCTCTACCAGGGCATCTTTGACCTGTACGTCAAGGGACCCGAGCTGCCCGTCCACGGCCCTTACCGCGGCCTGCAGATGGGGCTCCAGCATTTCGCGCACATCCACCCCGAGTACGAGTACTTTTGGCACTGGGAGATGGACATTCGGTACACGGGGCACTACTACGACTTCTTCACCAAGATTGAGAACTGGGCCCGCGCGCAGCCGCGAAAGGGGCTCTGGGAGAGAAACGCGCGCTTTTACATGCCGAGTGTCCACGGAAGCTGGGACGAGTTTGCGCACCTCGCCAAACTCCAGACGGGCATGACGTCCGCAACCCCGGCCGCCCTTCGATCAGGCTTTCCTGGGGTGCGGCCCGGTGACTCTATCCCGGAAAAGACGGTCTGGGGCCCCGAGCGGCCCGGCGACGAGGACGATTGGTTCGAGCACGAGAACGACCCCGTCCCCCACCGCCGAGGAGCAGGACAAGCACGTCTGGGGCGTGGGTGAAGACGCCGACCTCATCTCCTTCATGCCCATCTTTGACCCCGAGGGCACGACGTGGGGCCTCGCCGACGACATCACGGGCTACAACACCAGCCAAGGGCGCCCCCGCGCCGCGCGCACATCAACACCGCGTCCCGGCTGTCCCGCCGCCTGCTCACCACCATGCATCGCGAAACCACGTTCAAGAAGCACTTTGCCTTTCCCGAGATGTGGCCCGCCACCGTGGCGCTCCAGCACGGCTTCAAGGTCGTCTACGCGCCCCACCCTTCCTTTGTCGACCGCCAGTGGCCCCCGAGCACTTTGCCCGCGTCCTCAACAGCGGGCGCAACGGCGCCAGCGGCGGGTCCCGATCCAGCGTCTTTGGCCAGGAGAGCATAATATGCACGGCCTCAGCTGGTTCTACCGGTCCGATTTCGCGCCCGACTTGTACCGCGCGTGGCTCGGCTTCGAGACGGCGCACGGCGGGGGTGCGGATTTCGAGCTTCGCGGTAAAGGGGGTAAAGGTGGCGAGGGCCGCATGTGCCTTCCTCCCATGCTTCTTCATCCGATTAAGAATGTTGGCATCATTGTGGAGGCACCTCCCGACGAGGAAATGAGGAGGCTGGATGATGCGGGGCAGGATTCGGAGTTTGATGCGGGTTCGTAAGATGGTTGGAGAGAAAAAAAGTGAGGGCGAGGGGAACGCTCGATGAGCTTGGTTGTTGTTTTCTTCTTCTTTTTTTTTTTTTTGCGAGACATGTCCTGGCGTTTTCTTTTCATCACTTTGACTTTCTCTTTTCCTTTTGGCGGGAGCATATTGCCATTGTTCACCATCCCTTGCATTTGGGCCCTTGCAGAGTTGGCGGCGTCCTTCAATTCTTTGTTTTAGATGGCCTCCCGAAGACGGAGGGCATCAAGTTTGCAGCATAGAGAGCATTAGACATGACACGCGATAATACGACTTCAAACAGCGGGCAATAGCCCCGCGCGGCCACCGGCGGGTTCGTTGAGGTTGACACATAAGTGAATTTGAACATGGAAGAAGCTCCAGCGGAATATAGACAATCATTAAGTCGTGTTTCCCTTCTGGATTGTTTGATACCTCCCTATAATGGTACACCTTATACACGTTCCGAGGCGTTTAGCACCTCCCTCCCACATGGCTTTTTGTAACCCCCTCCTCGTTTAGGGAAAACGATAACCTAGCCATTCCAATCTCCCTGCACCCTTGCATATTAACCCTTCAGACGCCCGACGAGAACCAAGGAAGAAAGCGGCCTTGGACTCCTCGGCATGAGCAACCCATCTCCATTCTTGTGCTCATACGACTCGCTTGACCTATAGACGAAAGGGACGGAGTCGAGCTGTCAGCGATTCGGTTCTGCAAGGCTCCCTTTCCAAACTTGAACTGTATTGAAACTGTGACGAAAACGCACGTGATGCCGGCGCAAAAGGCAAAACGGTGAAAATGACGAAAGTATTGAGAAACAAAAATAGCAGAATGACACGCTCAGGAGACGGTTCTCTTGTTCTTTTTCTTTTTCTACTTTCGTACCTCGAAGAATCGGCGGAGCCACCAGACCTGGAAGAGCGACTCGCCGATGACAACGCCGATGACAAACATGTTCCACCACTTGACACGGCTGTTGGTGCTCTCAGCGGTGTTGCGGTGGGTTCGCTCGCGCACGATGATGTAGGATTGTTCGTCTTTGACCTGGTTCAGGAGATCGGAGAGTTTGCGGACTATGTATCGCGGCGACAAGGTTAGGGCTGGACAGAGCAGGATTTGAAAAAGGGACCAGGGGAGGGAGCATCCCGCGGCGTGACCTACCTTCTTTCTCGAGGGGATCAGAGGGAAGGTCCTCTTCGTTGACGTATACAATTCCGTGGACATTGAAGGAAACCTCCTTGGAGTTGGCACCCCAGTGCTCATTTCCGAAGCAGTAGGTATGCCTGCCATCGACCTTGGCGTTGAAGGAAAAGTCGCCGTTGGACACTGACTTCTCGAAAGTCTCATACTGTCCCGTCGGGTTCGTGATCTGTAGTAATGCCATTGGCATCGATGTTAGCCATCGTGATACGCGGGTTACCACCACCCCTGTTCCAAGCCAGCCGTATCATACCCAAAAGTCGATGTCAAGGTTTCCGGCACTGCCAAATTCTCGGTCGCCAACCTGGAAAGTCACCGTCATCTTGTCGTCTCGGTGAAGCGTCTCGTGGAAGCATTCACGGCCGTGGGCGGGCAGGGCGATGTTGTGGGCGCTCGCAGCCGTGAAGAGCGTTGCGCCCGCGAGGAGCAGCCTCGCGGCGGCCGTGAAGAGCATGATGATGGCTGGAGCGAGGTACCGTTGAAATGGGAAAAAGGGGAGGCCGGCGCACCGAGTTGAGCGGGGCGATCTCGAATGGAGGAAGAGGGGATACAATCTTCTTCGTGGGCGGAATGGGAGATGGGGAGCCCAAAGGAAGGAAAGAGAGGGTTTAAGCTGGCTCTCGGCGACTCCTTCGTTGTGTCGTATGAAGCTTGGTGTTGACACTTTGGCGTCTTCCAAGGAAATTTTGGCACTGTCGGGAGAGCACTGTACCTTGGGGACTGGGGACAGGCCAGCTCAGCTGTATCAGCAGGAAAGGGGTGTCCAGCGAACGGCCGAGGTTTTAGCGATACAATGGATAGATCAGTGCCTGGGAGAGTCAAGAGCAAATCAAGGGCTAAGGTTAGGTTGGGTTCAGGGCTTCTGGTTAGATAGGAGGTCCCCCAAATATTAGCGTGGGTACTTTTGAGATACATGTCATACTTTACATTGTCCTCGAAAGTGTACTGGAGGCTGTCACTACTATTCGTGGGTTAGCCCAGGTACTGCTGAGGCACGAGCCAAGTACCGGTTGAATCACTACTGGACACTTTTCAACAATTCTAGCCACCAGACCAGACCATAGAACCCCAAAACCAAAGACACAGCGCAGTGCACGGCACAGGCAGCAAAAGAAAGCCCTTGCTTGTCATTTCGCCATCAAGAGCAGTCCCCTTGAAATCTGTATTACCTAAACAAAAATCTCTCTTGTTTTCGAGGCATTGGCCACACCCTCCAACCACCGCCGCCCCCTCTGTCCCCTCATACACCGACAAACATATCCTGGACAACAGTTCGCCTCTTTGCAGTCCCTCCCAGTCCAGTCCATCACCAGTTCCTCTTCTCGATAGTTCTGATCACCGCGCCGTCCTCGTGTGAGTAAGTAGCCAGCTCTCCGCCCATCCCAATGTCAAGAATGCATCCCATCTATCCTTCCGCCTGCCCCCACCCGCTCTTCCCCCTCTTATCACCTGTTCCGCCACTTGCCCCAACCCAGGATTGGCAGCGAGTCGTCAGGGGCCCATCCAGAAATTCTTCTGCCTGTTCCTCGGATGCTCGTGCTCGCCCTCCCAGCCCCGGGTCCTTCTTCGTCGCCTAGATCCCTACATGGCCCTTTCCTCTACACACTCAGCTCAAGCTAGACTCGACGTCGTCGTCCTTGAACTCACTTGTCAAACGCCTTCTTGATATCTGTCCTTTGTTCTCGTCGTGTTGCCGTTCCTCCTTCTTGACACCATTAAAAGAAGGCCCTTCTCGTCTTCCAACTCGCCCCTTTTCTCCAGCTCTGGCCAAAACCAAGCAACCAGCCCCTCTCTTACTTCTTGGCCTCCATGCTTTTTGCCCGTACTAGTGGAGTTGCTTACAACGTGGCTCGCCGCCTTCTCTAGGACTCGGAACATTTGTCCCTTCTCCACACACCCTAAACCCCTCTTACTTGTGATATCGTCAAGTAGCCGCTTCATCAACCGCCAAGATGGGTATGACAATCTCGAAGATGTTTGATAGGCTCTGGGGGAAGAAGGAGATGAGAATTCTTATGGTCGGTCTCGATGCCGCCGGAAAGACCACCATTCTCTACAAGCTCAAGCTTGGTGAAATCGTCACCACCATTCCTACCATCGGTGAGTAATCGTTGCATCTTTCCTCTCTTTGGCTCGCTCGGGGACCTTGACCCTGTCGCGGCCGACGTTTTCTCCAGCGAGCCTGGACCGGTTACCTCGGCAGGCGAATGGCGCGGATGAGTATTCAAATCGACGGCAGATGAGCTAACTCTTCTCCTCGAATCAAGGTTTCAACGTCGAGACTGTCGAGTACAAGAACATCTCGTTCACCGTTTGGGATGTCGGTGGTCAGGACAAGATCCGTCCCCTCTGGCGACACTACTTCCAGAACACCCAGGGCATCATCTTCGTCGTCGACAGCAACGATCGCGACCGTATCACTGAGGCCAGGGAAGAACTCCAGCGCATGCTCAACGAAGACGAGCTTAGGGATGCTATTCTATTGGTCTTCGCCAACAAGCAGGATCTCCCCGTATGTATACCCTCTCAATCGCAGACCGCGATGCCGTCACGTGGCCTATGACCGATTCGATATACTAATCCGCTTTTTTTTCACTCTCACAGAACGCCATGGCCGCTGCTGAGATCACTGACAAGCTTGGCCTCCACAGCCTGAGACAACGTGGCTGGGTAAGTGCTGGCTGAAGGACTAGTCTTCCATACTCGCCTAACTCCACCTTTGCTTGCCCCTTGAAGCGCGCGGAATCATGCTAACAGCTCTCTTCTACTACAGTACATCCAGTCCACGTGCGCCACCTCCGGTGACGGTCTCTACGAGGGTCTCGAGTGGCTCGCTAACGAGCTCCGAACCAACAAGCAGCCTTCCTCATAAACGGTGTAGATGGCACCTTTTCCGCGAAGAAGAAACAGGAGACGGCCTTGTCTCAATACTCCCATTCCTCCTTCCCCTCACTCTCTCCTGGCTTTGGTTGTAATTTGCAAATCTGCTTTGATCAAAACGCAATCGAATAGTTCATAAACATCGCATTCTCACATCTTCTCTTTTTTTTTCTTCCCTTTTCCCTCCTTTGTCGCGTTTCTGTCCCTCTTCCCACGAGATGCGCTGGTGGCTTTTGGCGTTGTGAAGTAGTGTCTTCCGGCCTTTAGGCCTGCCTTCTTCGTGTTAATGGGATATGGGGCGTTAAATGCTCCCCGACTGTTTAATGCTATCAGAGTGATTGGATGAGATACATGACAACGCTATGGCGGAACTACTCGTCAGGCGCTCGCTCCTCGAATGATTTCAATTGTTGTGCTTGATGCTTCCGACGTGTACTCTTGCATGGCTGGCTATATGTACCCCTTAATGCTCTCTTGAGAAGTACGGTAGCCTTCACAAACTGCTCTCCTTCTCTTACCATCATGGCGTCGGGAAACTAAGATTGAGGGGTATATCGTGGATCACTTAGATTGATTAAGAAAAGAAAAGAAGGCGCAAACAAATGCGGTTCAAAGCATATTTCAATGTCTGTGAAAACGAGGAGCCCTCTCTGTAAATGAAATCCATCCACACGCTTATCATCTTGCGCCAGCTTGAAAACAAACATAAGGCAACCTCTCATCCCCTCCAAGCGCAAGCTAGGCAGCTCACACTGGCGCTAACATGGCCGAGAGGCGCGGAGTATACGTATAAAAATCCGCACAAGAATCCGCACCAGGTCCAACAAACTACGCTATAGAAGGAAACGCAAGGCAAAGCAAATAAAGATGTCGATACTCGGCCATGGCGAGTTATCCAGGAAAAGGGACATGTCTATGTACAGCCTTGGCCTCAAGCCTTGGCATGACTTGAGATACTGTTATGTTCAATCCGAAACAACCAGCCTACTACCTACCCAAGGGCTAACATCTCCCATTGTACGTGTAGCATGTTCAGCCCCCTCCCTGCGGCCTTGCCAACCCTACCCAACTTATCCTAACTCACGGCGAGGTCCCTAGCCAGCCCAGCTCCGTTCGGGGCGTAGAACCTACGTGTAGGCCCTGTTGACCATGGCCTGCTCCACTCTTGGCGAAAGACAGTGTACAGTGTATCCATGCCCGCCCTAGCTGAGGCAGATCGTGGATGCGGTAGGCGCATTAATCGTGGCGCAGCGTAGCTGCCGAGCCATCAACCTCTCGAGACCGTTGCTCCTGTGAGCTGGCGACCGCCAGCGTTTCCGACCTCGACAGCTTCTTCTGCGCTTCAAGCTGGGAGCCTAGTTTGCCTGTGGGTTTCGCTGCTTGCGCGCGGGCCTAGGTGAAAGAGAAGGGGGAAACGGTTAGAAATCGGAACCACATTCGACTTCTAGAGCTCGGCAGACGAGCTAGAGAGCGATTGGAGAGCCTCGACGTTGTGGGAGGTGGGGAGGGAAGGAAGGAGGGAAGAAGGGCGGGTAAAAGGGGAGGGAGTGGGGTGGGGGAGAATCGTCATACCTCTGCGGCCGCAGCCGCCTTCCTCCGCGCCTCGTCAGGGGTAGAGCTTTCGTTTGCGGCAGCCGGACCGCCCAGAGTTCGGGGCGGGCCGCCAACCTTGACGGTGCTGGGAACGGAAGAGGTTCCCGCTTGCGGTGCCGCGGCGCCGACGGGGCGACCGACGCCAGCGAAGTTATCGCTTTCCTTGCTACAGAGCCCGCCCATAATCGATAGAGGGGGAGGGAGCTGGGGCGGAAGGGCAGAACGAAGGAAATGGAGGTGGGAGAGGAGAGGAGCCGGGAATTTACAAAGAAGATGGCCGGCCTTCTTCGCTGCTGTTTCTGGGGGAGGGGGAATGGCCCAGGCTCCACGGTGGAGGCAGGGAATCGACTCCTTGCGTACTGAGTGCGATGATCACGCCTTGGGGCGGCCGAGCTTCTCCTGCGAGGGGAAAACGACGAGGCTGCAAAGGTCGGGGGCGGATGAGTCGGTGTCGGGGTTGGTCGGCGCCGGTGTGCGGGCAAGGCTGGCGTGGACGAACCAAAAGGGTGTACGTGCTCAAGTCGTGCTGTCTTGCGGGGTTGGTTGGTTCCACACTTTGGCGTGGCAAGCACGGGCAAGGAGCGGGAGGTTCAGCGTGGTGAGCGAGGTGCGGTATGTGGTGTACATGTGCGCTAATGACTCTGAGCGCTATCAGGTGTGTGGTAATATTACTCCCGCCTCAAAGGTACCTCCATAGTGTACCCTCTGTTCCCCGTTCCACCTAAATCGATCGAGCAAACGGAAGGATGCGGGTTCGCATTGAAGCGCCAAGATCACGTCACGGGGGAAGGGGAAAGGGTACATTGGTGCACTTGGGAAGGACATGCCTCTTTATCGGGTCCCTTTGGCCTTGTTGGCAGGGGAAATTTGCTCCTATGGTCGGCGTGTTGTCACAGGAATTTTACCTCTCTTCAATTAATCTCGCTATGTCGAACGATAAAGACTGCTTGCTTTCTTCAGGCCCCGTGAGAAGCTGGGTCGTGATTTACAATGAAAAGAAACACCCTAGAAGGATTGCGCAGTTTACATTCTAGATCATTTTCACCACCGAGCCGCAGTCCCTTCTACAGAGGCTGAGGGCGCTGGTCACTCGTCATCCGCCTGGTGGTCGATTAGTGGCAGCTTGGTTTTTAAGTGTGTATATCAATGTTCTTTGTGCCTTGGATCTTTTGTTGATCTTTTAGATGGGTCGGAGGAAGGCACCAGACTCGGAAGAATCTGTCGGGTTAGCTGTGGTTGTACTCGTAGGGCCAACAAGACGAAATCGAGAGAGAGCTAACTTTGATGGACTTAAAATGGCCAGAAAAGTCCATTGGACACCAAAAGATCCACTCTCTCATTGGTGGGGGTTAGTTCAATGCTATCTTTGGGGGCTCAGTTCAATGTTGTGCTGCTGATGAAGTCGAGGAATGGGAAGAGTATGTAATCAGTGGCTCAGGATTTGCGTTCTCTTTGGGGAAAGTGGCCGGCAGAGGAAAAACCCCCATGTCATCACACCCACGATTACCGCTGACTACATTGGCGGGCCAAGGACCCCTCCCCCACCACCCACCACCCACCACCCACCAGCACCAGGATCAGGCCCGGGACCAGGACGGGCAATAATACTCTTTGGAAACTGCCCTGACCTGCCCGCGACCCAAAACTCAACCTTGGGCGAGACGCAAAAAGAGGCCATCAAGGTCCTTTCCACCCACGCCCACGCCCACGCCTACGCCCACCTTGCGACCACGAACCGGCGCAGCATGGAGCCTCCGCTGCATTCGTACTCGTTGGAATTTGCTTGAGAGATTGCCGGCCAGTGGTCAATGGCTGCATCTTTCAACACAAATCGAATTTTGCACCCTTCGAGCCCGTGGCCTTCACCTTTCTCACATTCCTCCTTCTTCCTCCCTTCAACTTTGCCTACACCCGCCTTGATCGTCTCTTCTCGTCCTCGTTCTCCCTCTCGTGCCTCAATCAAGATAGAAACTTGTTAGCCAGCACATGAGCCAGCTCTCTGCCTTTGATTCCGCCAAAGTTGCCCTGCACCTCGGAAGCACATCCACCCCTCCACCCCCTCTTCCCAACTTTTAAAACCGTCTCGGCTCTCTCTGCCGCGTCTGCTGTATATCACCAAGAGCGAGACACTGCATTATGGTCATTCTGGATTACTGTGCTCCTGATAAAGACACTGCACCACCGCTTGGCGAGCCAAACCTGTCCAGTTACCACCTCACATCTCAACCTCCCTCACCTTCTCTCTTCGATGTCCAAGGCCACATACCAGATTCCACCCTCGAGGATCCGTTGGCGGATTCCGCATTTGTTACTTCGCCCTTTACTTCATACCCCGAACCCGTATTTCCCCAGTCATTGACATCCTCGGGCCCATCACCCTCCCCTTGGCCAGGGAAAAGTGCCTGTATATCGCCTGTCCTCCCCGATCCCGATGCAATGGATCCGTCACACCTTTTTCTGTCCATGGCGGACGCCGACTTTTCTAGATATGACCACCACATGGATCCAGACGGCATCTACGCAGACGAGTGCAACTCGCCTTGTGCAGAGTCTTGCAGGAGTCAGTGTGGCGAAGACGGTGAGGCCGACATCTGCTACGACCCAAATTGCGACGAAATTTCAGACCTTTGCACCAACGATAGCTGCGTCGACCAGATCAAATGCTGCCCTGTATCATGCCCTGTTCCCGCCCTCTCGGAAAACGACGAAGATGCTGCTGTTACGCTTGCGTCTATAGGTTCGGGCGACCAGCCTGCGGGGAGCCTGCTCGACGGCGACCTTTCTCTCCATTCTCAGGACTCGCTTCACCTCGCTTCCTCCACCTCTCCGCAAACCTCCCTCATGTCCTCCCCCATCTCTCGACTCAGTATGACCCCTCCTTGTATCCCGACTACCTTCTGCCGCAGCACCAACACCAGCACCAGTCAGCCATGATGGGACTCTACCCATCCTTTTCCGGAGAGTTTACCCCCAGTCTAGCACTCATCGATGACTTAATACTGCACCACAACCCTAGTCAACCTCCTCATGCAACCCCTCACTTTCGCCCGTGCCCGTTGGACAATGCCACCTTCATCACGAGACGGTGCATGCTGCCCCGGTCCGTGTACGACGGCGCGGACGCGCAATGCGTGATACAAGCCACGGAAGCGACGAATCCGCACATGCTCGCAAACCCCTGCGGCGTCTTTCTGTCTGGCCCAGACGATGTGATACCGCACATTGCTAGCACCCACCCGCACGCCTTCAACACGTTGCAGTCTTATCTCGAGGCTGGCGCAACATACTCGAGGTTAAACGAGTCTAACCGACTCGCCTTTTACTCGCCATGGATGCCATGGGTGTCGCAAAGCCTGGCGACGGCCGGAGCCTACTCGACGCGTGCAATAGCACGACTCCTTCCTCGACGCCTCATGATTCCGCTACCCCACAAACTCAGCAAAGTGACGCAACCTTTGACACCCTCGACCTCGGGCCTCAGTTCTGCTGCAAATGGCAAGAGGACACAGGCCTCGTCTGCAACCAAAGTTTCGACGACGCGGAGAGCTTACACCAACATGTGCTGACCCATAGCCGGAATCTGAAGAAGTCTAGTACAGGACACCGGTGTCGATGGGTCGCGTGTTCGCGGCCCGATGGCCCCAAAGGTTGTTTTCCTCAGCGGACGAAACTAGAACGCCACCTACAAACCCATACCGGCTGTGAGTTCTTGCTGATCGCCTCCCTCGTTTCCCTACCACCAGTAACGCTCGCTAACTATTCATGCAGTCAAACCTGCCGAGTGCTCCATCTGCGGTTTGGCTCTCTCTGGCGCTCAGGCTTTGGCCCAGCACATGAGAACGCATACAAACGAGACTCCATGGAAATGCACTTTCGAGGGATGTGGAAAGGAATTCAAGCAGCAGAGCGCTCTTAGTATGTTGTTTCTCGCCCCTTGGAGCCCGAGCCCCACCCCATGGCCCAAAAGATTGGTCTGATAAAGACCTTCCCAACGATGATAGCATGCTAACTCTTTCCGAACCCTTTGCAGCTATGCATTTGCGGACACATACAGATGAGAAGCCCCTTGCTTGTGATATTTGTGGAAAGCGGTTTTCCGAGTCGTCCAACTTATCCAAACATAAAAAGATTCATTCAAGAAGCTTCAAGTGTCTCGTGTGCAACAAGGACTTTAGCCGGGCAGACCAACTGCGTAAGCACGAAAAGCTCCACGAGGCGGCTGGAGAAGGCAGCGTTCCTCTATCAAAAACGCACGGAGGCAGAATATCGAAAAAGACCAAGGCTTCATGAGGATGGAATGGCTATTCTAGTCACTGCAATACCTACCCTGGTGCTAAATTGCCGAATGGTTTTCTGGCTCTTTTTCACGACTTTCCCCTTCTCTCTCTCTATCTTTCTCTTTCTCTGTCATCCAATCCAGGTATCGGTTTTCAAGATACCTTCTTACCATACAAAGGGAGAACATCGAAGAGTTTGTTACCCCTAATTGGTGTTCTCCGGTTTATCCATACTAGGTCGGTTTATGTTTGCAAAGGTCGGGTGGACAGCACTCCCGAAGGGAAAAAGTTGTTTCATGGGCATGAATGGGTTAATGGGCGGCTGGCTATCTGATTTCTACAATAAATCACGTTTATCATGTCTCTTTCTCCTAAACCCGGAGGTGTGACCTGCCCGCGATGTTCAGGAGCTGCTACTGTGATTGCTTGACAAACCGACTTCCCCCAGTCTAGTGCAAATGGAAGACGGTAATGGCGGCTGCTCGGGGAGAGCATTGTAATGATGGCAATACGAGATTTACGAAGGTATATATAGCACGTTGCCTTCGAGGTTTAAAAGGGCGGGCTAGTTGTATTCCCTTCCTTACACCTGAGGAGAGGAATATCTCGGAGCGAGGGGTTTAAAAAAGCGGCCTGGCAACGGCTTAAGTCTGAGGTGGCAAGACAATCCTTTGCAAATATATGCGTTCATGCTTGCAAAGGTTCCCTTCCAAGACTCTATCCAGGAACTATATGCTCGTTCTTGCTGAGCAACAGCCCTCCTCCTACACGGGTTCTCGTGTGATCGAGTTCATTTACGATGTTCAAGTACGTGAAGCGACGCGTACAAGTGAAAGGCGAGTGGATGGACTTGAACATGCGTCAGAGTATCATGAGTCTTGAAGTTCGGCTATCTACCTTGCCAAACTGATTCGCAGGGTAAAAGTGTTGAGGGTCTCGTCCTCCTGCCTGAATGCCAAGAACATCTAAATACAGACGGGGAAAAGCTGTAAACCCGAATCCCTGAAGACCGATGCGATGCATGGAGAGAAAAGTTGGAATCTTTTTGCCAGAAACCTACGCCACCGCCCCGTTCGTTTGTTTTTGTTCTTCCCATCGTGAAATCAAAAAAGTCAACTGGTTGCCCGGAGAATTTAAGCAGCCTATATTACAAAGACTTGTTAGTCGCATGCCACCTTGGTGCCCCTTCAAGACGCTAAGTAGGACGGGCATCAGGAAGGCGCAGGGCCGGCAGTTCGGAATCGTACCTTGACAGCAAACTTGCGCTGGGGGAAGTGAGTGTTGCGCTTGCGCCTCTTCTCGAGCACAACAGAGCTCTCCTTCGCGGATAGACGGCGGCGGATGGCACGGGTCTGCTTGGGTCGGAGGTCGAGGGGAATGTACTTCTTGTTCTTGTAGAAGAGACGGAGTTGCGATCGCTGCTTGGCGTTGATGACGGTGAGGACACGGGCGATGGACTTGCGGAGGTCGTGGCTAGAACGAAAGACGTGTCAATAATCCCAAATTCTTCCTTGTCCCTCATCGGCGATCCCCTTATCCAATTCAGGTCCACCACGATCCTCGACGGTGAGTACTCGGATCGCGCCTCGACGGGGAGGGGAAGAAGCGGCCCGGACTCGGGGAATCGAAACTAGTGAGACGTACATCTTGTTGAGCTTGGTGCCGGAGGACACAATCTTCTGGATCCTGAGCTGACCGAGCTCGGTCTTCAACTCGCCGAGCTGCTTGGTGAGATCATCCTTGTTCTTGTTCCAGAGCTGGCCGGCCTTGACCTTTCCTGACGACTACAATCAAAGTCAGCATTCCAGTCCCTTTCCACCAAATACAAAATTTGTCCATGATGTATGCGTAGCTATCGAGAGCCAAGGTTCTAAGATGCTGAAGTGGCGAGCAAGGGCGGTGTTCTTTTTTTCTTTTGATTTCGCAATGGTGAAGTAAAGTGTCGGTTGCGCCTCAAGACTACTCGACGAAGAATTCGAAGACGGGAGAGATAACCAGGGGCAGACTTACCATCTTGACAGTGAGTCTGTGATTAAGGTGAACCTAGAGTCTGTTCAAGGAAAATTGATATGACAACCCTTCGGGATGGTAGGGTGCTGAGGTTGGGCGCTGGGCGGATGGGAATGAGAGTCGATTGTCGTCGGTTTCAATCTTCACACTCGTCTGAGGCAGTACCCTCTGTGTCTGGAGAATTCGACGAGCCTAGGAAAATTTGCCCTAGGGCTCAAGCAGGGGAAAGGGCTGTTAGTCAGCAAAACCGCCGCAAAGTGGAGGTGCAAAAAAACATTTTGGTGGGTTGATGCAGTTTGTGTGGACCGGTCCTGGGACCATCACGTGCTACGACACCTTGAACATTGAAGTTCATGAGACACTAGTCCAGGATGGTCCTTTAACCGAGAATATGCCGCCACGAGCTTTTTTTTTTTTTTTATGGGCCCTCAGGGTCGGCGGGGTTAGCATGCAGGTGGGGGATGTGATAAGAGAGCTCGTCAAGCTTATCGGACGTCAATACTTTTTTCTTGAGATCGTTTCTGATCATTGCCTGCTTCGTGACATGGGCAGTTGCTCAGACAAGAGGGATCTTGTGGTGTATGCAGAATCATCAGCAAGACAAGGAATACAATACTTTCTGTTTTCTTCCCTGTCTGTAAATCTCGATGCTTATTACTGCGTTGCCCAAGGCTTAACCATCATTATTCCCAGTCCTCGATCGCAGCTTCTCGGGAGCTCATACCGGGGGCAGAAAGAGTGAGAGCCAGATAGCCCACCTTCATAACTGTAAAAGAACGGATCAAGTCTTTAATGCCAGACAACTAAGTGATTGAACTGTGTGATTAGGATGGCCATCCTTGGCCCCATGAGGTGAAAAAGCCACATGCGCTATTACTTTCCACGCAGTTTCGCAGTTTGTCCCTTTGCGCCTATTCCTTTTGTCAACAGGGTCCATCCATCCCGTTTCTTCCTCGGCGGGGCAGGCATAGTTTTCGCTAATGGCGGGGTAGCAGAGCTTTTCTCATGACACCACCATCCGCACACCCTGATTTGCGCTCGCTCTACATGTTTTGTTTTTGACTTTCAAGGCTCTCCTGTTTCCCTGCTCTTGCCTTGGTAAATCCTCTTTTCAAGTCTGAATAATCTCCCCTCTTGAAATCTACAGCAGCACGGCTTTCAATTGCCCGGTACCATGTCAAACCAGCAGATTGCCATCGTTTCCGTCTACGACAAGACCGGCCTGCTTGACCTTGCCAAGGGTCTTGCCGAGAACAATGTTCGCATCCTAGCTTCTGGTGGCACCGCTCGCATGATTCGCGAGTCTGGCTTCCCGGTTGAGTACGTGGCCCTGTGAAGTGCACTACGCCGACCAATGCTCCCTTAGGAAAGAACGTGCTGCTGACCTTGATGTCTTTGCGTTGTTCATTAGAGATGTTTCTGCCATCACCAAAGCCCCCGAGATGCTCGCAGGCCGGGTGAAGACTCTCCACCCCGCCGTCCATGCCGGCATCCTCGCCCGTGACCTTGCTTCCGATGAGAAGGATCTCGCCGACCAGAACATCAACAAAGTTGACTACGTCATCTGCAACCTTTACCCTTTCAAGGATACCGTTGCCAAGCCCGGCGTCACCATTCCCGAGGCCGTTGAGGAAATTGATATTGGTGGTGTTACCCTGATCCGCGCTGCCGCCAAGAACCACGCTCGTGTCACCATCCTCACCAACCCTACCGACTACCCCGAGTTCTTGAAGGAACTCAAGGCCGGTAGCATTTCCGACGCCACCCGTCAGCAGTATGCCCTTAAGGCTTTTGAGCACACCGCCGACTATGACGCCGCCATTTCCCAGTTCTTCCGTCAGCAGTATGCCTCTGATGGAACCAAGCTCATTAACCTGCGCTATGGCAACAACCCCCACATGAAGCCCGCTTGTGCATACGTAACAGAGGGAGAGCTGCCCTTCAAGATCCTCTGTGGCGGCCCTAGCTCCATCAACCTTCTTGATGCGCTCAATGCTTGGCAGCTCGTCAAGGAGCTCAAGACGGCTCTCAAGAAGCCCGCGGCGGCGAGCTTCAAGCACGTTTCTGCCGGCGCGGCTATTGGTACTCCACTTACCACTGAAGAGAAGCAAGTCTACTTCGTTGAAGACATCGAGGGCATCGATAACTCTGGCCTCGCTCAAGCCTATGCTCGCGCCCGCGGTGCGGATCGAATGAGCAGTTTCGGCGACATGATTGCTCTCAGCGACATCGTAGACGTCCCTACCGCTAAAATTATCTCGAGGGAAGTGTCTGATGGTGTCGTCGCCCCTGGATACGAGCCTGCCGCTCTTGAACTTTTGAGGAAGAAGAAGGGTGGCAAGTACCTCGTGCTTGAGATGGACCCTGCCTACCAGCCCCCGCGCATGGAGTCCCGCATCATCAACGGTGTCACCATCGCCCAGCCTAGGAACGACGCCGAGATCACTCCCGCCTCCTTCACTAATATCATCACTCCCAAGGACCTCACCACCCTTCCTGAGGATGCCCTTAGGGATCTCACCGTGGCTACTATCGCCGTCAAGTACACACAGAGCAACTCGGTTTGCTATGCCGCGCGCGGCCAAGTTGTCGGTCTCGGTGCCGGCCAGCAATCCAGGATCCACTGCACTCGTCTTGCTGGAGAGAAGGCGGACAACTGGTGGCTCCGATTCCACCCCGCGTCCTGGGGATCCAGTGGAAGAAGGGCACCAAGCGCCCGGAGAAGAGCAACGCCATTGACCTCCTCGTCAGTGGACAGCTCCCCAAGGATGGCCCTGAGCGGGAGGGATTCGAGGCCGTCTTTGAAGAGGTGCCTGCGGCTTTCACCGATGCCGAGAAGGAGGAATGGCTTGGAAAGCTTACCGATGTAGCGATTTCTAGTGACGCCTTCGTGAGACCACCCCCTTTCCCTCTTACCTCGCCGTCACAGTTCAATCTTAAGGGTTGCCACTAATCTGTTATAGTTCCCCTTCACCGACAACGTTTACCGCGCGGCAAGGTCCGGCGTCAAATACATGGCTGCCCCCGGCGGAAGCCAGAACGATCAACCCGTCTTCCAGACAGCTGAGCAGCTCGGCATTACCTTTGTTCAGCAGAACACTCGCCTTTTCCATCATTAAACAAAGCCATTCCCTTTATTCACATTGTAACTCAAACAGCTGGGGAGATAGAAAAAACCAAAGGCACTTCATTGATTTTTATTTTTTTCTCCTTTCGTTTCTTTGGTGGAGAGTACGGAGTAAATGGTCGAAACGTTGGACGGGACGCTGAGGTCTCAACTACCTTAAGCCGGCGTGCTTGCCTCAACATTGGTTGTTCCTTCATTTTGTTTTTTTCCTTTACTGTTTTTCTATGCTTTTCTTGTCCAGATATGTCGGGAAACGGATTAATTCAACAGAACCACATGATAGAAGTTTAGTTAGCGATTAAAAAAACGGACACACATAAGGAATGTCGAAAGGGACGTGAAGTTTTGCTGGCCGAAATGAACTGCGCGCTCTGGAGATGTATGACTTGCATCAATCTTGTCAAGGGCGACAGTGCGCTGCGATTACGTAACCTCCCGTCCAACCACTTGTCTTTGAATAGACCCCCAACTCTTCCGCCTGGCCCATCAAGGATGCAGGGATACGAAACTAACCACATCACCATTGACGTCGGCTGAGGCGTCTCAATAACCTAATAGCACAATGGCCTCCACAACAGGCAACTCGGGCTGGGCCCAACTGCGCCAGCAGGCTCGAAATCTAGAAAGTCAAGTAAGTCCTTTGGCATCGGCAGTTGATACTCCGGTGGTACCGGCAACGAGCGGCGGCGAGATGCAATGCTAACAGTCGGCGACCAGACCGAAACCCTATTCCAGACCTACTCTCAATTTTCGCAAGCGGCAAACATACCAGCGAAGCCGACCGACGAAGAACGCAACACTGAAGCAAAGTTAGAGGAGCTCTTGGAAAAGGTGAGCCTTGTCCGGCCCTCCCTTGGCAGCCTACCGGCCCCGGGAGAGGAAGCTATCCCCGTGGCTTTCGCCCACTGACACCGGACCACATAGCGCGAGGCTGTAATTGGAAAGCTCTCCCGGCTTTTGGACTCCGAAACAACACTTACCTCATCCGCCCTCAAACAAAACAACCTCTCTCTCCTCCGGGACAAGCTAACCGAGCATCGTCGAGATCTCGGGCGTCTGCGTAGCTCCCTCCAAACGGCGCGCGACCGCGCGAACCTCCTCTCCAACATCCACAACGACATTGACGAATTCCGAGCGAGCAACCCGGCCGCGGCCGAGGCGGAATATATGCTTGCCGAGCGCAACCGCATCGACAACAGCCACTCGATGGCCGACAGCGTGCTGAGCCAGGCCTATGCCGTCAACGAGAATTTCATGGTGCAGAGAGAGACGCTGAATAATATTAATAGGAGAATCACGATGGCGGCTGGCAAGGTCCCCGGGTTAAATGCGCTGATTGGCAAGATCTCTGCGAAGAAGCGGAGGGACGGTATCATCATGGGGGTTTTCATTGCTTTTTGCTTTGTGACCTTTTGGTGGTTCGTATAACCCAGCATGCACGCGAGCAGAACCGGTTGGGCAAGAAGAGTCGGGGAGGAATGGATTGGAGAGAGGAGGTAGATGGAGAGTGAGCGGCGGGGGTTGATTGGCATGTGACTGCACAAATAACGCATGACGGGTTTCTCCTAACGAGGCGTTTTGATTTCTTTTTTCTTCCTTTTTCTTCACCCATGGCTTGCAGTTAAGGGCGGATTTCCTTCAAATCACAAAGGATATACTGCATCCTTGGCTCGTACTCCGAGTGTGTAATTCTTTTGTACATCAATCATGGCTGGCTAAGAGGGGTTTACTATGTACTCTATACAAATCGCTTTTGTGAACACTTTATGTTTCGAGTCCTTGCAGGATCAGTCGGTGATTTACAGTTTTGTGGGGGCTCTTCCCCCTGGGGTTGGATCTGTTCGGCAGCCATCTGCTCAGCTGCCATCTGCTCGCCAATCTCGCGCGCCTCGCCCACAAGCTTCCGGAAACCCTTGACGAGGCCTTCTTGCTCATCAGGCAAGCCCGTACCGCTCGCCGCCCAGCGTATCCTACATTGAGGATCGACAAGATAGGTATACCCGACCTTGCTGTTGAGTAGACCGATCGACTCCTTGATGTAGTCGGTGACGCCTTTTGTACGAGGAAATACCGGCCCCAGTTTTCCTGGCCAAGGCTCTTCCTCAGGGAGCCCATGAACATGCTAATCAGCCACGCCTTCATCGAGTTATCCTCAACGTTGATCCGTACTATCTGTCCGTGAACGGGATCGCTATCTAGGATCTGTCCTAGCTCTGGGTTGGCCTTTGCCGAGATGAGAGAATCGACCTGCTCTTCGCCCCATTTGCTGCTGAAGATGGCGACGACGGAGGCGCGGCCCCAAAGCTGAGGGGTGGTATCGCGCTCGAGGCCATCTTTTGGAGGGTTTTGCCGTAAAGGTTGGGGAAGTAGAGGGCCTTGTCTGCACGGAAGAGGCGGGGAGGCGCGAGGAAAGATTTGCCGTCGTGATACTGGAGGTTGGTCCAATCGCGAAAGTAGGGTCGTGAAATCTTTTCCTTTCTGTGTAATTTCATGAAGTGAGCATATGTGCGGAAAGAGAAGAAAAAAGAAGAAAAAAGACGGTGGATCAAAAGGAAAAGGCCAAGCCAAGCCAAGGATGGCTGAAGCTGTGGGTAGTCAAAACGTACAATTGCTTGCGCCGAACAAGGTGCTTATCGTAGTCGACAAAGTCATCGCGACGCTCACGGATGGAGCGCAAGTCGAGTCCCGTATTTTCGCCGGGCATCGGAGGTTCAGGCATACCGATGGGCCGGGGAGGGGCTGGGGAGTGAAGTTGTCAACGCGCCTGCCGTAGGATCTCGGGGCTTCAATGGCCGCTCCGGCCGGGACATGCTCGGCGCGGATGGAAGGCCTGGCTGGTTTCGTTTGGGCAGCATCAGGCTCGGGCGGCGCCGAAGGTTTCGAATCAGGAATCGCGCGTCGAGAGGTCGCGGAAAAGCTGCGGTTCCACTGGCAGAGGAGACATGGGAGGGGCCGTTTCGAGGGCGCGATGAGGGCAAGGGCGGCCCTTGTTCGAGGAATAGCCATCGGGAGCTCGATTGTGAAGGGCCTCGAGGGATGTAGATGTGTGCGTGACCACTAGGAAGGGGACGCGGGGAATTGCGTCAAGTTATTCAAAGCGCCTAGTAGGCTGCTTGAGGGTCGTGGAGTCTGCTCACATGAACCGAGTTGATCCTTGGAAGTTCTTCGGAAAATTTTCATCCAGGCGTAAATAGCAGGTGCAATTGACAGCAAGCTCTCTAATCATTTCTTTTGGGTAGAGCATTCAAGGCGCGCCACACTGGGTCCCGCGCCACTCCAGACGAACTGGGGCCAGCCCACCAGCAACGCTAATCCCAGAGTTGAATTGAGCATTGACCTACTAAACCGAGCTGCCCCGCGACGTCACATTGCGGCGGCTTAAGAAGGCCCCCAGTGGGAAACCAGTCTTTCGGCTATCCACGGTGGAAGTGATGAACAATGACACAATGCCACACAATGCCGAAGCTGTCCATCTGAGCGTGGTCTCGGCCGTTAAGCCGTCGCGGGGATGTTGGAATATTAGAAAATTCCCCTGTGCGTTAATACGGCGTGGCAGTTTCTACCTTCACCTTCAATTCATTTCTGTTTTCGTGAAAAATAGAAGTTGCCGCCTACCCAATTGACTCCCTATTCACAGTCATGTTTCTGCAGCGTGGTTCTCGAGCCCTCCGGGCTATGAACCGGCATTGGGCCGTGTCCGGCGGAAACATCACCAAGGCCGCTCTCGCTGCGAGTGTGAGCGACCACTCAAGACTATTCCACGCAACGGCAAGGCGAGAGACGGTAAAGCCAGTATTGCTCGCCGACATAGGAGAAGGTAATCCACCCCCACCAATGGGCCCCGTCCACGACCTGCGTCAAGTTAAAGAATAGGTTGCTGACTCCGATTGAACCGCTATCTCCAGGCATTGTGGAATGCGAAGTCATCCAGTGGTTTGTCCAACCGGGTGCGAGAGTCGAGGAGTTCTCCCCGCTTTGCGAAGTCCAGAGCGACAAAGCGTCCGTCGAAATTACTAGCCGCTTCGCCGGCGTGGTCAAGAAATTATACTACGACGCGGGCGACATGGCCAAGGTTGGCAAGCCCTTTGTTGATATAGATATCGAAGGAGGTGCGGTGCAGGCCGGAGAGTCCGCAGCCAAGGCTGAGCCAGAAGATGCAAAGGCGTCGGAGCCTCGCCTGGATGAGGACACAATCCGGGAAGACGCAAAGTCCGACCCGCTCCTGACTCCCGAGGAGCAGAGGCGTCGCCAGATACGAGAAAACAACAGGGCAATCGCCACACCGGCAGTCCGCCACCTCTCTAAGGAGCTCAATGTGGATATATTACAAATCGACGGCACAGGGAAGGACGGAAGGGTGCTCAAGGAGGACGTTTATAGGTTTGCCCAACACCGGGACGCTACCAATGCGCCAGCCCACGCCAGCAACTCGTCGTCGGTAGCACCCACCTCGCCAGTCGGTCCTCAAGCGCTCGGCGGCGGCGGCGGACAGCCGCGCCAGCCCTCCGGCCAACAAGAGGAGTCGGTTGTGCAGCTGACCAATACCCAACTACAAATGTTCAAGGCAATGACACGCTCACTCGCTATCCCGCACTTCCTTTACACCGACGAGATCGATTTCACAAACATATGCGAGCTCCGCACGCGGCTCAACAGGGTCCTAGCCGGCCGCCAAACGGATAGTTTGGCTTCGGCGGCCCATGGGCAGGAGCATGGTGACGTGGCCAAGCTCTCCTACCTCCCCTTCATCATCAAGGCCGTTTCCATGGCTCTGTACAAGTACCCCATCCTCAATGCGCGCGTAGACGTGGACCAGAACACGCAAAAGCCCGTCGTGGTACACCGCAGCCAGCACAACATTGGCATTGCTATGGATACCCCGCACGGGCTCCTCGTGCCCGTTATCAGGGATGTCGGCTCGCTCAACATACTCGCCATCGCGGCCGAACTCACACGTCTGCAGGGCCTCGCTCATGCGGGGAAGCTGGCTCCGCGGGACATCAGCGGCGGCACCGTCACGGTGTCTAATATTGGCAACATTGGCGGTACCTACCTATCGCCCGTCATTGTGGAGAAGGAGGTGGCCATCCTCGGTGTCGGGCGCATGCGTACGGTGCCAGCCTTTGATGATGCGGGGAACGTGGTCAAGAAGCAAGTGTGCAACTTTAGCTGGAGCGCCGATCACAGGGTGGTGGACGGCGCAACCATGGCGAGAGCGGCCGAGGTGGTGAGAGCGGTTGTGGAGGAGCCAGACGTGATGGTGATGCACCTGCGGTAAACCTGCTTAAAAATGGAGGTTCGTGCAGCTTTCGAGGAGGGGGTGGCGGCGCGGGGAGGAACCTGGGGCATTTTCTTCTATTCTTTTTCTCTTTACGGGTATAGTTACCCTATCCGGTGTTTTTGACGACTTCTCGAGTCGGTCTTGGACAACCACACATTGCGTCTTGCTTGGCCCATCCCATTGAAGCGGGGCAGGCGCGCGGGCTTAAAACACGCATACGGGGAGGGGAGGGGCATTTTCTCGGAGTCCTCTACATCATACACCGCATTGATCGATTGGGTTTCCATAGGTTTTTTGATACTTCGCAATGTACACACCGTCGAGCGCGGTGAATTGCAATCGGGACATGTTCATAGGCTCCAAGTTGATTGCTGCAATAAAAGCCTACATGGATACATTGCGGAACTATCTCTCCCGGCTGGACTGTCCAGAATTCTGTTTTGTTCTTGGCTTTCAAATTCCACTTGTCTCTATCGATCCATGTGTTGTATGAATTCTATCCTTTCCGCGAGGAAGAATTTTCATTTCCTTTTGTTTTCTTAAATCGAATTATTTCTGGCTTCTCTCCTGTCGAGAGTCAGGGTGATGCCTTGCCCGGTTACGCCGCTGCAGCAATTGCCAACGGTCAATCGATCTATCCCGCAGAAAAGGGGGTTGCAGGAGGAGCACGAAAAATTAGGCTTTCGAGGACGAAGCTCGGGGACCGCCCGCCACGGCCGGCGGGCGAAGAAGCAGGGTAAAACAAAAAGAAAAAAGAAGAGCTCAACCCCAGTTCAGGCCAGAGGGGAAAAGTCTCATCCCGCCGAAACAAGCGGCACTGATCAATGTCGTGGCGGCGTGAAAGACGCAGCATTAGGACGTGCAACGTAAGACGGGTGGGGACCCGGGAAAACACATTTTCGCCTGTGTAAACATCGGCGTGCGTTCTAATCTTCCCTCCCCCTCCCCTCCTCACCTGCGCGTTTTGGAGCCACGCCCAAGATGGTTAACAGCGGCATGGGGCGTGGTTTTGGTGTGCGTGTGCGGTGCACATGGCGAAAGGATAGAAGTGCTTGGCGAAGAGCCCTGCCGAACTGCATAGCTGATCCTCTAAATTCGGCCGCGACTATTCCGACTCCTTCGCGGGCCGCAGGTCCCCCAAGGAGGTCACGTTGACACTACACCCCTCCTTCCCTTTATTCTCCCTCATTTCAAGGACAAGGCAGGCATGTAGGCAATCTGCCAGCGCGGCTAGAGGCCATTCGTGTACAATGGTTGATCGAACATCGCTTTCTGGCTGCAGGCGGTGATGAGTGAATTGGATGAAATCGTGGAACTAACGCCACCCGATACCCCGGATGAAACGAGTGGTATAACTGTGAGAAGCTCTCACGGTTTCGGCGTGGGAATGGTTTCAACTCGAGTGCTCTTGAATCGGGGACGAGGGTGATGTTTAGAAGACGACATCAATTGATCGTGGATGTGTCGTCACACCACCATAACCCCGTGTCGGGAGAGGGCTGTAGTCGCAGAATGTAAACCCGCTGCCAGTGTGTTAGGTGCTACAAACACGGCGGGGAACCCACTCAAAGACATTGAGTAGAGATTTGAAGAGACAGTTGACATAGCCTGCATGTGCCAAACAATACATCTACTCGTATCGATGATGCTAGAGCACGAGAGAAATCAAAAGGGAACATTGAAAAAAAAAAAAAGAATTGAGATAACAAGACAAGACGTTCCATTATGTATACATTTTTCGCCCCACCATCAATATCATTGACCCAGGGACTATGCTTCCTCCGACGCCAAAGCCTAAAAATCAAGACCGATCCAGCATCAACCCAGCTGAGAATACCGAGATCACCTAAACGCCACCAAGAGTCTGTAGGGCTGAATAATGCATTCCGGGGACGGAGTGAAAGCGCTCAAAAGCAACCAGGGAAGGACGAGAGAGGGGTGGGAGGGTAGACGGGGAAAAGGAGATGTGGAGAAGGAGACGATGAGCTCCATCGCCAGCCAGCCCTGTCTCCCGCAGACACCAACCAGAGATAGAAAAATAAATTGGGGGCTTTGAGGCTTCTTGGCCCTTGCGATTACTGTATTTGGTCCTCGGGCCATGCCTGAGCAATCCTAATCCGTCGTTGCCATGATGGCGCGAGCCTTGGCGAGGGCATCAACCTGGACCTCTGCGAGTGTTCGGGTGACGTCGATGCTGATGACGTCGTTTTCGTTAGGCCCAGGGGTTCTAGGATATCAAACTGGCTTTGAACCATGTTGGCTCCCATGTAATGGTTCTGTCGAAGGCTGACTCGTTCGAGGAGGAGTTCTTCGGGCGCGGAAAGGTAGATAAAGTGAATTAGAAGCGAATGATCGAAATAACCCGCCACTCGGATGACGTCGCGGTATTTTTGCTTCAGGGCGGAGCAGGTCAGGACGACGCCCTCAGAGCCCGCCCGAATCTGACGAAGTGATTCTTCGCGGAGCGCAGTGAGCCAATCCCAACGGTCTGCGTCTGTCAGGGGAATGCCGTTGCTCATTTTCTCCACGTTGCTGAGAGGGTGGAACTAAGGGGTTACTGCGATTTAGCACTTACATTGTTTCCACAAGGATGGCGTACGAGGGAGAGGGTCCATTGTATAAGGGAAGGGGAAAGAGCTAAGGACAGGTGGGTTCCTCTTCTTATTCCTCTCTCCATCCTAGCTCTAGCAACGGGGCATGTGTGGTTTGATGATTAAAGGGAGCAGCTACTAACCTCGTCACCTTCGATGTAAGGGAAGCCCAGGCTCTGTGATAGATAGGCAGCCACGCTGCTCTTGCCCACGCCGGCAGGTCCAGTTACGAGAAAGATGTGGTGAGATTTGGTCGGTTTGCCAGTTTGGCTAGCAAGCGTGGCGTCTGCGGAGCCATTACCTAGGGCGGGAGCTCCAACCGACTGGGGCGCTTGGACTCGGCCAGGAATACGGGATCCGTTTGTGGCCATATCTACGGCGGCGATAGAGGCAGATGTTGTGCTGTTTCCGCTGATGATAATGGGGTTGTCGTAGGAGAGCATGACGAAGAAAAGGCTAGGGAGGAGGAGGAAGAGGGGAATCGGGCAGAGATGGTAGGGGGCGACGATATCAGGCTTTATAGGGCTTCGTCCGGGAGGGTGGTTGACATCTATGATATGGTCTAATTGTTGTTTGTTCGAAGCAAGCCGAAATGTATTTAGTTCGGCCGCTGCGGGAATGCGGGAAGGGGTGTAAAGAGGGTGGAGAAGAGGAATGTCCCGGCAGGCGCGCTGCCTGTAGTTAAACGATATACTACTGGAAGGGTTAAAGGAAATAGAAACAAGCAAACAGCCCGAAACGAATCAAAAGAAAATGGGTTTAGCAAGGCAAAAGGTAAGACTGAGTCAAATGGAAGGGAAAACTTGGCGCCATCCAGGGATCGTCCAGGTGTTCTGGCACTCCCTTTATTATTAACAAGCTCTAGACCAAAGCGAGGCAGGTTCCCTCATCCGTGTCCACCAATTTTTTCAAAAGTCGGCATGGGGGTCGTTCGTGGGCTTAGCTGGATCGCACGCCGGGGTAGCGTTCCGGAAAGAAGAGAAGGGGGTGGGAGGGGGGCAGTCTTCCAAACCCAACCGGTAGGTGTTGGCCAAACAGTTGGGAATATCGCCCGAGGAGGAAAGAAAGCTTTCTCGGGTCAGTCTCAATATTGATGACTCGGCCCCGCTGCGTAGAGTTCCGGTTCGGTCGGTTGGCGAATAGGACGAGAAATTGAACCCCTGCCACTTGTACCCCCGATTACAAAGTGGGAATTGGTTGGGGGTAGATGCGCACAAGTCCGCTTCAGGGTGGGAGGCGTGTACAGATACCTCTGGGCTACTGCACTACTACGACACTACCACCTTATTACCCCAGACCGTGACCCAGGGAGGCAAAGGGAAAAAGAACAGAGACAACGACTGACCTGCAGTTTGGGAAAAGTCCGGGAATGGCGTGGGTGGCACAGGGGCATCAACAAACCACTCGCAGACACACCGGTCGCTTCTCGTGTAGAGCCTTGCCCGGTATTAGTGAATCAAATGTCACTCACTCTTGTTGGGCGGCAATCGCAATGGATGGCAACAGATACCGTCCACAAATATCTCTTGCACCCGTGGGTACAAGGTTTGCGAGGTTTCCGTCGTTGCTTTTTGCGTCTGTTGAGGACTCGACCGTACGATTAGGAAGGCAATGGGCGCGTGGTGGCACAAGTCTGCCGTGGGGAAGGAGAAGAAGGGACAGCGACGCGAAAGCGCACTCAATCCGGGCCACCCTTGAGATTCACGAGTTGCCTCTTGCAGCTGCGAAAATAAAGAAAGCCCTCTTGCTTGTCGGTAAACGAGGCAAGCATGTAACCCCCATGCTGTCAACAGCAGCCGCCACCTCGACTGCGCTGCAGGAGTAGGGGACAGACCGATCAATTGATCCCGTGCGAAGAGGAAAGCGCGCTGGTCTCGGTTGCATGCAGAGATAGGCAGCAAGAAAACCCTCTTTGGAATCAAAGACAGCACGGCCCCTAGAGCTCTTTGAAGGGGCACTGGTTAAGTAAACTATCCAGAAGACATGGATGCTACAATTGATGTATGCCAGGTTCAATCAATGGAACGCAGGCGCGAAGAGCTGTCGGGTGGTGTGGCATCCAGCAAGGCCGTGATAGAAAAGGACAGGAGCTAGGTGTTCCACGACCGGCACGCTGGGTAGGTGCGACTTTGTGAAGAAGGGAGGGAATGCCTTTAGGCCTCAAAAACCTTGGAAGTGCACTTCAATGTTCCTTCTGAAGACGAGCCGGTGTGATGGGGAGCCGATGATGAAAGGCAGGCACTCGCCTGAAGCTTCACCGACAAGCATCCAAGGCTTTTGGAAAAGAGACTTGTCACAATCCCATAAAAAGTGGGAGCCATGAAGAATGTGCTTGGCTCGATTGAAAGAACCCCCGAGGTAATTGGGGAGGGTGAGGCGTCATTCGTGGAGCCTTCTCTAGTAGGTTCGACTACCGGTAATTGCGAATAAATCAACGAATTGTTCAATTGTTCCCAGCATTTAACGGGGGTCTAGAAGTGCTCAGAGCCGATCGAAAGTTGGGCCTACCAAATATGAAGAGATGAGGCAGGCAGGATAAAGCGAGCTGCACAACAGGCACACGCATAATGATCCACCAGACTTGACAGAAACCGAAGCAGGCGAGCCGCGGCAGGGCAGCGATAATCAAAGAGGTTTCTCCAGTTCTCTAAATCTCTCTCTCTCTCTCTCTCTCTGGCTCTCTCTCTGGCTCTCTGGTGATTGCCATCACTCTGAAAGCGATATCTTTTTCATGCTCAACCACATCCGAGCCGAAAGCCATAGAGCACGAGATCCTGGCCGAGCCTTTTAGCGGCCACGCACAAAGTATTCATTAGTTCAGGGGCTTTGGGGGACGATCTGAGGGTGTGGACGCCCAAAGACGAGGGTGGGCAATCCTGGAAACTGCCCGAGCGCGCCGGAATTATTGGCTTGGGAATGATCGATACCCGTACCCTGCGTGTCATCGAACCGTACTGGTACCAGCTCGGCAGCCTGGTAGATGGGTCATCGAAGAGTTCAGTGTTGATGCTAGGCGACCCCACCGTCCCCGCTCTACAGGATTTCCAGCATCTGTCCCTTCCCCAAAGTCTGGGTGAATGACAAGGGTCTGACTCTTAGCGTGGGGGCACGCTCAAATCCTCACCCCCGTTGGCTTAGGTTTCAACCCCCTTCCCTCTTCTGGCTTCTCGCAAGGGACCTAGAATTGGCACCCCCAAGCCTTCAATCCTTTTCTGAGTTGCTAGCATCTCCTTCGTAACACTATGCACACTATCGTCGTACTTGTAATTGCCAGAGAGTTCGTTGCGATGCCGCCCACTTGCACACAAAGGATATTCTCCTCTTTTTTCTTCTTCTTCTTTTTTGTCTCTGAAACGGCTTGGATTGTGGGGATTAGTGTCTTGACTCCTGAGTTGTCTTGTGGTGGGCAGAAGAAACCAAAGGCAGCTGCCCCCACAGTGACGACAGTTCGAAGGGACTCCGTGTACTCTCGCATCGTCCTTTTGTTGATGGATGCGCTTCCCTCGGGCCGTCATCGAGCGAGATCCACCCGAGTGAATTTTCCCCCTCCTTCTTCTCGTAAAGAACTCGCAAGGTTCAAGTAATAAAAGCCGAATGAAAATTCCCACTAGGGCTTCACCGTCCCTGTTAATAGACCTGGTTTAACCAGCATCGGCCTACGCCTTCTTCTCGTGTCATCGTCCTAGTCACAGGGGCAGGATCCCTCCTGTCGTGACCGATGCTCATGCTAATCCTGCCATCGCCGTCATTTCCTTGAATGGGTCCAAAATCACGCCAATCACCTCTCTTTATATCATAGAAGCAAGCTAACTGCCGATGAGGTATTTGCGGTTATGCTGGCCCTTCACTTTATCCACGATTGCTCTCTGGCGCAGTTTGTATATTATCCCTCGGTCACGACGACCACTTGCTCTATCTCGAAAGCTTGGCCCCCAATTTCCAAAGGTCCCTTGTCCACTTGACATTGAGAAAATTCGCCAGTGCCCAATGAAATCCTACTGGATTGCTCCGCCGCTGGCCCTCCGCCCCGGTCTTGTCGTGTCTAGGCTACACGTTTGCCTCTGGCCAATTGCTCTTCGCTGCTCATGTGTGCAGTCTCGGTAGATCCGTTCAGGATAGACCTATTGCATTTGAACCGGTATTATACGCTAAACAGAACTTGGGGCCGGGCTTTGGAGCCTGAATCAACCACCACGAGATCCTCCATCACTCGAAACCACGCTGGCCGTGTGTAAGTGAAATATTAGTCGCCGACCTTTTGAGGGATCCCTGTAATATCTCAAGCTCCTTGCTCTCAAGCACACGAGCCGCCTCGCGTGCATCAGAACCCTTCCGTCCGTTTCGTTCTCAAGTGTAGGTTGTACGACTTGGAGTTCTCCAGGGCTTTTCATCACTCTTCACACCGCCTCGAGTCTGCAGCGGCTTGATGCAAGTGAAAGTAGGAGACCCGAATTGGCCGGGTTGCACATACAGCTGACGCGGGGAGTCGAGGTAGAGGGGTACGATCCTGGTAAATCCAACCTTCAACACTCGTTACCTTGCAGGATGAGGCATGGGCCGAACCTTGTCACCACCTCTCACCCACCCTTTTTCCGCTGGAGGTTCCAATGACGCCTATCCCGAGTCCGTGCTTTCTGAACAATAGAGGGGCTGTAGGATGTCGCCAGTAGCCAGCCACGTATCCTTGCCCTTCGGCGATCTCAGGTAGGACAGATATATATCTCACAGTTTCAACGTCTCTCCCTCTCTCTTGGCCCGGTGAGAGCTTCCAAGAGTGGTAGGTATAGTGGCGCATAATATTTCGCTATCCGGAGCTATCCTCCTATTTTGGTCCTCGGTTTAGTCATGGCTCAAGTGCGCGGTTTGTCCGCTTCTCTTCCCTGTCAAACAGCACCTCTCGTCGCGGGCGACAGCCGGTAACCCCCTCCTTCGCAAGCGGACTTCAGTGTGGATAGACGTGCTGTACTTCGGCTCTACGCGCATGAGATGCATCCTGCGCTCACCCAGCTTGTTTTGGTGTCACCCGCAGCCGAAGGTGTCATGTGGTTTGAACCAAGCCGGGTTGAGGTGCAGCATCATCCGTCCTGCTCGGATCGCGGAACAACAAATGAAAGGAGCATTGTCTGCGGCATCTCTCTGACAAGGAAAGCCATGCAAGAAAAAGAGTCAAGTGGCTGTCTGCGCTTGTTAATTTTCCGGGCCTAGGCATCAGTGCATACCGAGGAGAGAGGGGCGAGTCCCCTTCAGGCCCCAAGATATTCGGTCCTGCGAGCGGTCTCTTCACCGAGATTGGGTAGATTGGCATTCAGATGTAGGATGACATTGATATCCATAGTTGGAGGTCCCTCTTCTGTCTTGACCCAAACCCGCGTTTTGTGCCATTCCCTTGCCGGTCAAACATGTGCCAAGGAGCCTACGTAAGTTGTTGGAGGTCGTGATTGAGAGCTATCTGGGCGGGGGAAGGAGAAAAAAATCTCCGAGTTCCCCGCTAAGATCTGATCAGTTGTGGAGACACCAACGGTGGAAACCCGTGCCAGGGTCCCGAGCACAGCGACGACACTTCATCCCTGATTTTGCAAATACCGACACGGCGACGAATGGCGAGCTAACACCTCGCATAGGAGCTCTGGATATTCTAACTTGTGTTTTATAGAACTATACTTGATTCAATGGATACAATCCCACTATTAAATTTATCAAGAATGAAGAGAGCGAAGTGCACAGCAGCATTCTTTCTCGATTTGCCTGGATCTATCCATCCATTGATAGATCTCTTTTCGCCTCTCCCTTCTCACACATTCGGCTCAACGTTCACTCTGGACATGGCTCCAATTTCCCGCCTCTCATCCCACCTCTAGGCCATTTCTCCCCTCTACCTATTGAGCTTGTGCTTCGGCACCCTAGCGAAAAGAAGACGTAGAAGTGTGCAGATTTAGGGGGCTCCGGAATGGCCCAAAAGTTGATCTTGACGCCGCGCTGGATTGATCCTGCCCTTCATAAGGGCAGAGGGTGGATGGCTATCCACAGCCGAACCATTAACGAAAAGGAAATTAGATGTCTACCTGATGATATATACCCTCACGATCGCATATATCTTCATCCTGGGAAAGGTTCTTGGTAATTCAGCCATCAAATAGGTATTGGAACACTTCACTGTCTCGTCGCTCACAGCCGTTCACGACGGGTTTCGTTTCCTTAAAACAATGCCAAAGTTGGTCAGATTATGCGGTTGATGTAGCTACCTATGGGGAGTACGACTGGTGTCTTCCGTGGATATCAGCGTCTCTGTCCGTGATGTCTATTGTGCAAGGAGTCTCGGTGGGCCTCGCACTTGGACGCTCAACCACATGCATACATTGCTCGAAAAATGCATCTGGTCATCAAATGACAGAGGCCGTGCTATCGATATTGACGAAGATGGATGGTTGTGCTTGTTTATAAACATCATATGAATCCGCTTGCCAGGCTCTTCAATACCTTTCGCCAAACCCATAGGGCTGCTTAGCTGTTGTCGCAGACTGTAGGAGCTAGATGCTTAGACTTTCCCTCCTCGCAGATCGAAGTGAGGCTTATCTACTCTACTTTCATATTGCGTACCACCTAGCGGCAACTAGACAGCCAAACAATCGACTTGTGCTCTTGTGTCAATCTCGCCGCTGGGGTCTTTGCGCCATGGGAGTTTGATACCCCCACCTGAATTGTCATGACATCCCTTAAATGCCGATGTCCACACGCAATCGTATAACAAAGGCCGGCCTTTTTATATGTATATAAAACTCGACTTGCTTTGATACTCTAAAAGGTCTTAAAAGGGTCAATTGAGATAAAATAGGTATCTTTATATTCAAGTTCACGGGATGCCCATGACTAGTGATGAACAGAGAGGCCGTATCTCTAAGCTCTCTACCTCGGTAGACAAAAGGTGTAATGTATCAAGCATAACCCAGTTCTTGAGAGTGGTTTCTCTGTCTACGCCTCCTGTCCCGTATATTTTGCTCTATGATAGCGCTAGGTCAATTGTTTGGTTGATTGCTTGGATACTGAGGAGGCGTTTTACTTGATCTATATCTACCGAGGTATCGTGAATCAATGATCATTTCAAATGGACACGAGTGGAATGAGGGGCCTGTGGACGGAGCTTCGAAGGGCTCTGCACCGATAGTGGGGTACCAACGCCAGGGCCAGCTCCACGTAATCAATCCTACGCTGAAGTCCAGTGCAATTTGCCTGCGTGAGGGGCCGTCGTACGAGCGGAGCACGTGACAGAAGATCAGAGGTTCAAGCTTGAGTTGGTTGACGGAACCTGAATGTGGACCCAGCGTGACTTGACTGCACTGCTAGTGTGTAGTACCACAGACCTCTTCATGTTGTAGCTGGCTGGGTCCGTGCCGCCATGACTGTGCTGTAGTGGTGTCCTGGTAATAGTGAGGAGCCGGAGCCCATAGAAAAAAACCACATGCATGCTCAAAGCTACACCAAAAGTTCCAATCGCGTTGATTTTGTATACATGGAAGCACCTGCCTGTTAGATCTAAGGATGCTTCCCCGCCGTTGCCTTTGGCGGCCGGACTCGGGCAACCGGCGTCATCCGCCACTTTTCTTAAAGCATCATCTTTGAAGCCATCTCGAGCTATAATCCGCCATCTTCACTCTAAACACACCACTCCCACGAAAGCTCTCTTGTCTTTGTCTAGATCATACACCGTCCGGAACAGGCCCAGTCTTAATCAACCTCATCCAACAGGACCCACCCTTCCCGGCGTCTTCTCCCGCCGACTCGCAACAATGAACGTCGAGGATCTGAAGCATTACCTGGCGGATTCCCCTCCGAGCGTCGTTCGGTTGGAGATCGAGAAGCATTTTAACCCCTTGGCTGACAAACAGAAGCGTTATTCTCACTATATTAGCAAGTAAGTGGCCTCCGAACATCTCGGCGCCGATCAACCCCGGCGTTGTTAGTTTTGACCCCGCAGACTCTTCCTCCATGGCTTACCCCACCTTTTTCACCTCCCAGGGCTGCATTTGCTGGTACTCGAATTGTTTTGAGGCAGATTTCTCCCGAGTCCGAGGCTATCTATGACTTCATTCTGAGCCTGCATGAAGCCTCCGCTGGCGACTGGCCTTCCCTCGCGAAGAAGGCCGGCGTCAGTGAGAAGGACTTGACTGACTTCCTCGACTATGCTGCTATGTTCCTTGGTAACAATGGTAACTATAAGAGCTTCGGAGACTCCAAGTTTATCCCTAGGTGCGATGAGTCCGTATTCAAGGCATTGGCTGCCACCTCTCCCAAGGCCGACCAGTTCTACAGCGCCACCAATGGAGCCGTCTTCAGTGCTGATAAGCCTGGTTTGTTGCATCTGGGCTATGTGGAAGATGGCCATATGACTACTTACTACCCAGAGACCGCCGCCATTGCCAATGCCGAGATCGATGCCATCTCGGCCTGGATGGAGAAGAAGGGCCTGCTGCCCGAGAACACTAGGCTGCGCAAGACTGGCGATGGCAACTTCGAGCTTCTCATCGCATCTGCTATCAGCCAAGTACCCTCGGAAGGTGGGGACATCGGCCAAGAAACCGAGTTTGTCATCGATGATGGAGCTCTGAAAGGGAAGACCATCAAGCTTACGTACGGCGACTACTCCAAGGAGATGAAAGCCATCGCGGAGTATATCAAGAAAGCCGCGGAAAACGGAGACAACCCCACACAAACGGACATGCATACAGCCTACGCCAAATCGTTCGAGAGCGGCTCCTTGCTTGATTTCAAGAACAGCCAGAGGTTTTGGATCAGGGACAAGGGTCCCATGGTGGAGTGCAATATCGGCTTTATCGAGACCTACCGAGATCCGGCTGGTATTCGAGGTGAATGGGAAGGGTTTGCGGCTGGTTCGTTCGTCCCCGTATCCAAATATGATTACTCGCAAGAGGATGATGCTAATATGATATATCTTCACAGTCGTCAATTGTAAGGAATCAAAAATAAATGGAGCGTCTTCGGCTGCATTCTAACAATTCGTCTAGTGGAACGCACTCGTGCCTTCTCAGAACTCGTCTCATCCGCCCCTGGCCTGATTCCCCTTCTCCCGTGGGGTACGGATTTCGAGAAGGATGCGTTCCTGTCGCCCGACTTCACCTCTCTCGAGGTTCTCACTTTTGCTGGTAAGGGGTTGCCTGCTCTCGCAGCGATGAATCGAATGGCGTAATTAACGTTGAGTTACAGGATCTGGAATCCCGGCCGGAATTAACATGTACGCAATTCCGCTTTTACTAGCACGCGCCCTGCATACGCGCTACCTACCACTCTGCTAACTTGGATTATGTATAGCCCCAACTATGATGATATTCGACAGACCGAAGGCTTCAAGAACGTCTCACTTGGCAATGTTCTGAGCGCAAAGGCCCCCAACGAAAAGATACCCTTCATTGCTGATTCGGATCTTGAAGTCTACAAGAAGTATCGGGATGCATCGTTTGAAGTGCAAGTTGGCCTTCACGAACTCACTGGTAGGTCCATTGGCCCTTCGGACTCTTCGCATGATGCTGATAGAACTAGGCCACGGATGTGGAAAGCTCCTCCAGGAAACCTCGCCTGGTGTTTTCAATTTTGATCACGCAAGCCCCCTGTCAGCCCGTTGACTGACAAACCCGTCACGACCTGGTATAAGCCTGGGCAAACCTGGGGCTCCGTCTTTGGCAGCATCGCCGCGTCCTATGAAGTGGGTTTTTTTTTTTTTTTTTTGGTGGGATGCCTCCTCACGAACTATTCAGAGACTGACAAGTGCGCTTAGGAATGCCGGGCGGAACTCGTTGCCATGTATCTGAGCTGCGAATTCCCGGTTCTCAAAATCTTCGGCTTTGGGGATGGATCGACTGATCTTGATGGTGAGGCTGGCGATGTGCTCTATGCGTCGTATCTGTCCATGGCGCGTGCTGGCCTCGTTTCACTCGAAATGTGGGATCCCAAGAGCCGGAAGTGGGGACAAGCACACTCCCAAGCCCGGTTCTCGATTCTTCAGGTATGGGACCCTCCCTTATTCGCACTCTCTACGCTTTTTCTAACATTTGTATCTTGCTAGTGCTTCCTCCAAGCGGGCGATGATTTCTGTAAGCTCGAGTACAAGAATGATGACCTCTCTGACCTGACTATCAAGTTGGACCGGTCCAAGATCCTCACTGCGGGCCGAGATGCTGTTGGGAAGTATCTGCAAAAGTTGCACATCTACAAGAGCACGGCCGATGTGGATAATGGTAACAAGTTCTACACAGACATGACGACTGTCGATGTGGACTTTTGGGGAAATAAGGTCCGAAATGTTGTGCTCCAAAACAAACAACCCCGAAAGGTATTTGTCCAGGCCAACACGACCATTGATGAGGCCACAGGGAAGGTGAGCATTAAGCACTACGAGGCTAGCCCAGCTGGAATGATTGAGAGCTGGGCCGAGAGGGCACTTTAGGCCGCCATTTTCCAACCGGCTAGTGTCTCTTCTGTATCTCTTGTGCGCTGTACGCTAGGGTCTGAGGGTTTTTAATGGAGTGTATCTGAAATCGACTCGCGGGGGTGTGGGAGTCAAATTCGTTGCATACGCATAGCGAATCATCAAGGCCGCGATGCGCCTAAGAGCATAGACACACTTTACATCTTTGCCTTCCCGTCTTGTGAAACATATGTGCCCTTCTTCACTTGGACTACGCGTGCTTGTAGATTGTGACCTCTTCGCAGTTCAAAAGACGGATTGCCAGGGAGCATTACCCCTCTACTCTTAACTAGCCGCTAGTGTACCAAATGCAAGATACAAGGGGAATCGTCGCCTGTTTTTTTTCTGTTGTGCGTAGTTTTTTATGATCTTTGTGTTGACTGTAGAAATTCATTACCTACAGACGCCAATAATGAGACCAAAGCCCGTTCGTGTAGCTTCCAAATGCAATTGGCTGAGCCAGACCATTTCGCGAAACCGGCCCTCTAACGTTATCTCCTTTTCCACTTCAAGATCCACCCGCGCGTCCAAGAATCGACAAAAGTTTCCTTTTCCCCTACTACCGTTGTGTATGTTTACCACTTCATCTCGTGGGGCTTGTCACCCTTTCGCAGAGAGAAAGAAGCGGCGAGGTAGCTGGGAAGGAACTCGACCTTCTTGATGCTGGCGATAAGGGCCTTGTCGATAGCCTTCTGGTCCTCCACGCGGTTCTTGCTAACCTCCTTCTTCTATAACAGCGGAAAGAAACGACCATGTTAGCCAACTACACCTTTCTAGAAATTCGAAAAAAGCAAAAAGCAAACGGGGTGCGTTCAGTGTTAACATACCACGGGCTTCTCGCCTTGCTTGAAGAAAGCATCCTCGCCAGACTTCTCCTTCTCCTTCTCACCGACGAAGTACTTCGGTTGGGAGATCTCCTCGATCTTCTTAGCATCTACGCCGGAAACATCGACCTTGTAGGATGTCGAAATGACGTAGCGGGCGTTGACTCTTCGGAGGGGGACACCGTTGATCTTGAAGGGGCCGGTGACGAGGAGGACACCCTGGTCGAGGGCCTTGAGAAGAACGACGCGCTTGCCCCTGAAACGACCAGCGAGGAGGATGAGGACGGTACCGGGCTGGAGGGAAGATCGGGGGCCCAGGGGCGGAGAGCCTTGCGGACCTGAAAGTCGAGGAGACACGTTAGCTGTGCTTGATTCGAAGAAGCGAGGCTGATGCAAGTTCCATCCAACCACCGCAGCGCGCAAGAACTTCGTTTCTTAAGATCCTAATTCAACAGCCGGCCTATGCTCTAACCGATATCGAGAGCCCGTAAAGTTCTGGTTTCCGCTGTCGCCGAGACCTCGTCGACCATTTTCGAAAGTTGACAATTTTGACCGAAGACCCTCCATGCCCTATCCCGCCAAAAATTGTGTACCACAAAACACGTCGGAGAGACAAAAAGTCGATGGCGAGGACAAAAATTCAACACATCACGATGCCACATACCTGCTTCTTCTGGGGCTCGTCAGAGGTGGGATACCACTTCTGGGCCTTCTGGGAGGCGTGAGGGACCGAACGGGTCGACGAGCCGAACTTCTTGGACGCAGGCTGGGCCGACATTGTGATTGATTTGTTGAGGTGGACTGATGGGTTTCCAAATCACAACCGTGAGGTTAGGGGAGGGATGGGGAGGAAGGAGGAACAAGAACAGGAAGTAATCAAAAGGAGGAAAAGAATTCGAATCCTGTTACCGAGCCCTGTGTCGGTTGGTTAGTATGCGCCGGATTTCTTGTTGCTGGGAATTCTTTCTCGTGGAGTAGGAGGCCAGCGATTTGTGCGAAGAGCTGCGAAAACCCTTAGACGCTAAACCCTATTCGGAATGGAGGATGTGGGACGGGCTTCTTCAAAAGGATTTTCCGTATGACCTTCCGAACTTTAGCCATTCCACTTTTGAGCATGAAGCGACGATTGTGCCACAGCGTGGCTAGTGCAGAATGTGTGGCACGACCTTCCTCTTGGTTCAATTGGAAGTCTCCAGAAATTCTTGCTATCACCTGCTAGAAAGTTCATGACGATTCTATCAGACGGCTATCAGCCGAACTCTTCCTTTTTCTAGGCGACAGCCTCCGAATCTCTACCCCTAGATATCTGCAACTTCTTTAGTTCTTGAATATCCCTGCATTCCATTTTGCACTCTTAACCGCGACTTTCCCATGCTTTCATCCCCGTGACACTCGTAGCCCACCCCGATCGAGCTCGACAGTCTTTGATCTTAAGCTCTAGACATGCTAGCCCGAACTCAACGATTAGCGGGCGCATCGAGGAGAGTGCCGCATTTTAGCTCTCTCGGTGTCGCCCTGCGAAGCCCGAATCCACGATACACCCTGCGTGTTCCTCCAACTGCGATACCAAGCTCCCTGACGAATTTTAATCCTGCCTCCTCGACCCGAAACTATGCGAATGGACGGCCTCACCCGCCGGGAGGTACCCACCGTATGAACCTTGGCGGAGAGCCTGAAAAATCCGCTCTTGATGAATTTGGCGTGGACCTCACTGCGAAGGCCAAGGCGGGCAAGCTCGATCCTGTCATCGGTCGAGACAGCGAGATCCAACGAACCATTCAAATCCTATCACGGCGAACAAAGAACAATCCCGTGCTCATAGGTAACGCCGGAACCGGAAAGACGGCCATTTTGGAAGGACTGGCCTCAAGAATCATCCGTGGAGATGTGCCGGAGAGTATCAAGGATAAGCGTGTGGTAGCGCTTGATCTCGGCTCCTTGATCGCAGGTGCCAAATACCGAGGAGACTTTGAAGAGAGGCTGAAAAAGATTTTGACCGAGGTCCAGGAGTCTGATGGCAAGGTTATCCTGTTTATCGATGAGCTCCATATTCTACTCGGGCTAGGCAAGGCGGAGGGTTCTATAGATGCCTCAAATCTTTTGAAACCGGCCTTGTCTCGCGGTGAGCTTCAGTGCTGCGGCGCCACTACTCTTAATGAATATCGCCAGATCGAAAAGGACGCTGCGCTGGCCCGCCGGTTCCAGCCCATCCTTGTCAACGAACCCAGTGTCCAAGACACTATCAGCATACTTCGCGGTATCAAAGACAAGTATGAGATCCACCACGGTGTGCGTATTACCGATGGCGCTCTTGTCGCCGCCGCCTCTTACTCGAACAGATATATTACCGACCGTTTCTTACCTGATAAAGCCATTGATCTCATGGACGAGGCCGCTAGTCATCTTAAGCTTCAGCATGAATCCAAACCTGAGGACATCATGGCTCTTGACCAAAAGATTATGACAATTCAAATCGAGCTTGAGAGTTTGAGGAAGGAAAAGGATATTGCGAGCCGTGAGCGGAGGGAGAAGCTCGAAGCTGATCTGAAAGGACTGCAAGAGAGTGTCTCTGAATTAACCCAGCAGTGGGAGAAAGAAAAGGGTGAGATTGATGCCGTTAAGAAAACGCAAGAAGAGCTCGACTCGGCCCGGATAGAACTGGACCAGGCCCAGAGAGGTGGTAACTTTGGTCGCGCTTCGGAACTGCGATTTGGCATCATCCCAGATCTAGAGGCAAAGCTTCCCAAAGAGGAAGAGAAGGCCGCCGGCGCCGCCACTCATTCACGATGCCGTCACAGCCGACGACATCGCCGCCGTTGTGTCTCGGATAACGGGTATTCCTGTGTCGAAGCTGACATCAGGCCATATCGAAAAACTTGTCAAGATGGAGGATTCACTCCGAGAGTCTGTGCGAGGCCAGGACGATGCCATCAAAGCCGTGTCGAACGCGGTTCGACTTCAGCGCGCTGGCCTTAGTGGCGACAATCGCCCGCTTGCATCCTTTTTCTTCCTCGGACCTACCGGTGTCGGCAAGACTGAGCTGTGTAAGAAGCTTGCAAGCTTTCTCTTCTCTACCGAGTCGGCCGTTGTCCGTTTCGACATGAGCGAGTTTCAAGAGAAACACACAATTTCACGTCTCATTGGTTCGCCTGCTGGCTACGTAGGCTATGACGACGCTGGCCAACTCACGGAGGCCGTCCGTCGGAAGCCTTACGCTGTCCTGCTCTTTGACGAATTTGAAAAGGCTCACCGTGATATCTCGGCCCTGCTTCTTCAGGTCCTCGACGAAGGTTATCTGACTGACGCCCAGGGCCACAAGGTTGATTTTCGCAACACCATCATCGTCCTCACCTCCAACCTTGGGGCCGATATTCTAGTCGGCGCCAATACTCTGCATCCGTACCGGGAAACCCCCGAGGGCGAGGTCGCTCCCGAAGTCAAAAACGCCGTCATGGATGTTGTCGCCGCCAACTATCCACCCGAATTCCTGAACCGCATAGACTCTTTCATCCTCTTCAAGAGGCTTAGTGAGAATGCCATCCGGGAGATTGCCGACATTCGCCTACGCGAACTGCAGACCCGGCTCGATGACCGGCGTATCGTCCTTGATGTTGCTGATGACGTCAAGGATTGGCTTGCCAAGAGGGGTTACGACCCTCGCTTCGGTGCTAGGCCACTCAACAGGCTCATCACTAACGAAATTGGCAACGGGCTTGCTGATAAGATTATCCGGGGAGAAGTTCGCACCGGTGATACTGCCAAGGTTAGCATCAAAGCAGACGAGTCTGGACTGGAGGTCGCTAAAGCTTAGACGGGTTGGTGAATGGAACAAAAGACTTTTAGAGCAGGCATCTCTGAGCTAGAGGAGGTCGCTTTCACGATTTAATGCTCTTAACCATGTTATACTACGATTAGATGTACATCTCACCCCTTAATTTCTTGCCCAAGTTGTATCATACAGACAAATAATCTCCAAATTCATCAAGATATGTATTCAGACTAGCTACACCTTAATCCTTTTGTCCTCGAGACAGCGAGCGTCCTGTCCAAACAAGGAGAGAAAAGAGAAGATAGATGCCGAGAAAAATAAAGGAAAAGATAAAAACTCCCGTATTGACCCAAGCCATATTGACCAGAGCCAGGACCCATTCCAGCCAAGCTCTTCCCAACCTAATGATAACTCCAGACCGAGGAAAGCGATTCGCTAGAAAAAGGATTTCAATAAAAATAGGGGCAATATAGAGGGCAGGAGAATGAGCAGCAGCCTAAGTGACGGTATATCTCCCCGACGCTGGGGCTCGGCTCATGGCATCTTCCGCAGCCCTCGTGCCCTCCTCGAGCAATCTAGTGAGCTCCTGAAGAGCCATGGCAACTACAAGCTCAGTATCTCCTTCCACGAGAATATAGAGCTTAGGATCAGCGCCCGGAGGAGGGTCCTTGCCAAGCGGGTAAAACGTTCCCTTGGTGGTAATGGATGTGCTGGTGGCCTCAAGGATCTTGGCAACGTTAGTGCGGTTGGTCACAGCCCATCGCGCCTTCTGAGGGAAGTCATTGATCTCGAGCGTCGCGTGGAATGCTCCCGCATCAGGTCCCTTGTTGTCTATGGGTTGGCCCGTACGAAGCTGTCCAGCCTTTCCGAGACGGGAATTGATCGCGCTGACAGCAGACGAAACCTTGTCAAGCGGATCCTTGGAGTTGGGGGCTTCTTTGGCATTCGTGCCCGCCTCGGCCTGTGCCTTGGCTGCTTCGCGAGAGACAATAGCCGATACAGCGGCCTTGATGCTAGCACCAGATTTGGATTTATCCTCCTCGGTGGGCTTGCTGTCCTCCTTGAAGTCTTCCTCCTCGCCCTCGGCCTTGTGTGTCTTTCTCTCGCGCATGCGTGCAGCCTCTCGCTCCTGGTCAAGCTTGTCGAGGCCTTTGCCACCAAAACCGGACGACTCTTTCGCCTTCCCAGACTTAACCTTGTCTCGGTAGGCCGTCCGTAGCTCCTTGATACGATCGGGTACAGGCTGGCCGCTCTGCTCGAGGGCCTTGGCGATGCACGCCGCGCAGTTCTCTTGCTCCTCAGTCACGAAAGTGACGGCAGTACCCTTGTTTCCAGCACGGCCTGTTCGACCGGCACGGTGGACATAGTCCTCCAAGTGGTTTGGAGCATCATAATTGACAACAAGCTTGAGCTGCTTGACATCAAGACCTCGCGCAGCAATGGAGGTAGCGATAAGGATTGGAACAATTCCCTTCTTGAAATCAGATATGGTCGAGTCTCGGTCCACCTGATCCTTGCCACCGTGGATTGACATGCAGGGGTATCCCTTGACCATCAGTTCCTTGAGCAGATCATCTGCCTTTTCCTGACGTTCAACAAAGATCAATGTCCTGGCGTCCTCATCCGTGTCATAGAGCTCACCAAGAAGCTCGAGCAACCGGAGAAACTTGGATTTTTCATCGCGGACCTCGACCAACTGGGTGATTTCTGCGGCCACAACGCTCCTACCTCCTACGGTAATCTCTACCGGATTCTTCAAAACTTTCTTAGTCAAGGCATCGATAATACGAGGCATGGTCGCAGAGAACAGGATAGTTTGCTTATCCGGTCGCATGTTGGCAAAAATCTTCATGACCTGAGGCTCAAAGCCCATGTCGAACATTCTGTCGGCTTCATCAAGGACTACGTACGTGACTCTCCTCAAGTTCGTTACTCGTCCTTGATTCGCGGCTAGCAAGTCAATCATGCGGCCAGGGTGCATACCACGATCTCGGCACCACGCTTTAGTTCCGAAATCTGCTCGCTGATGGGCGCGCCACCATAGGCGCAAACTGAGCGCAAACCCATGGTCTTCAAAAGGCTTTACAGTCACGGTGGATCTGCACAGCCAATTCTCTTGTCGGCGTCATGATTAGGCCAATAGGCCCTTCATTATCCTTGAGGGGTGACTGGTCCTTAATATGCCGGAACATGGGCAGCAAGAACGCAATTGTCTTGCCGGACCCGGTCTTGGCAACCCCGATAACATCGCGACCAGACATGATGACCGGCAAAGCCTGCATCTGAATAGGCGTAGGCTTCTCGTAGCCAAGATTGTCAATGGCATCTAGTGTTTGGCGAGTCAAGCCGCACTGAGCCCATTTCTGAACGGGTCGCGGTATATCCTTACCAGACACCTTGATGCCGTCGAGCTCAAGCCGTAGCTCGGTTGCCTCGGCCTCCGTCAGCGCGCTCAATTCGGCCGGTTCGACCCAAAAGTTCTTTCGGATGGGCTCAAGGTCAAGTTTGCTGTAATCAACCGTTGGCAAGTCCTTGTTCTTGCGACGCTTGATAGGCTGCGCAAGGGCATTGATGCTGCCCTTCTCCCTAAAGGCGAAATCATCATCACTATAATATGCTTCGGGTTCCGGAGCGTTTTTGGCAGTGCCTGTCCGCGTCGGCCCATTCTTCTTGGGCTGGGTCCGGAGATCCGCCATGAAGGCATCGAGAGGGTCGACATCAAGGTCCTCTTCCTTGTCCACCTCCATTGAATCTTCGGTAACCTGAGGCTCCTCAGGCTCCGCCGCCACAGCAGACTCTTCGACAGCGGCACCATTAGGCTTAAGCGCGGTGCTGTCGGCCATGACAGCATCAGCTGGTTCGTCAGCACCTTGGTTTTCTTGCTGTAGGCGCTTCTCGTGGGCTGCGCGGACTGCGGCGGCTTCCTCCTCCTCAGTCGCAACCACATCATCAGCGTCAGATTCTCCATCATCTTGGTCAGCGTATGGTGTGTCATCGGCCTCAATAGGAAGCGAGGGCAACTTGACTAGTTTTCTTTGTGACGCGACTTCCTCATCTAAGTTGATCTTGCGTTTGCTAGCAAGCTTGTCCCCCTGCTTCTGGAAGCCGAAGCTACTCATGTTTCCACGGTTTGACAAGAGGCCGGATGGCTTGGGCGACGGGGCCGGCATAGCTTTGGCGGTGCCGTTTGTCACTGGGATAGAGCCGAGGGCAGAGCCTGTGGCGTGTTTTGACGCGGAGGCGGATGCAGACTTTTTGCAATGGCTTTGGGGTCAAATTTGCCTGTGAAGGACGTAGCGGGGGATGCATCTGCAGGTACAGACGTTGGCCTTGGGGCAGAAGAGGCAGAGACGGGGACTCAACAACGGGTGAGACGGCGGCAGCGGGCCGGTTCGCCTTTTCGTCCATCTCAGCCAACAGCTTCCTCGTCTGTAGAGGGTTGGCGTCATTTTCTTTGGCGGCCTTGCTTTCCTTCTTCTTCTTCCAGGCCTCTAGTCTGGCGAGCCTTTCGGCCTTCTTGTCAGCCTCAGATTGTGGTTGTGTGGACTTAACCTTGGCATTCTGCACGGTCACGTTAGCATGATTGACTCCAGTACTATGACGAGTGTTTTGGACAAGAGTGGGAAATAGACCTACATCATTTGTTGCGGATGCAGGACTCATCGTGGCGTCGTTGGGGGCTGGCCCCGTTGACGGCTATCATCACGCCTGCTGCGAGGCCGGGAGTCAGGTGTGCCATCTCGGCGATTACGAGCACGGTCTCTGGAGTCGTCTCGCCTACCACGATAGTCCCTATCATCGCGACGGCGCCTATCCGGCGACCTGTCGGCATACCGATCACGCGACCTTCGACGGTCCCTCCGGCTTCCTCGTTGTGCGTCGTCATCTCGACGGTCTAGGGATCGGTCTCTGCGGCGATACGAATCGTGGTCGCGATCTCGGTCCCGCCTTTCACGGTACCGACGCTGCGAGTAATCGTTAGCCAGTGCGTTTTCGCGGGTGGGGAGCGTGGGATAACGCAGGCTTACATCTGCAGGGCTGCGCGACCTGGCGCGGTAGCCTCTACCGCCGTCATCACGGCGATCCCTATCGCGTCGGTCGTCATCTTTCCGGTGGTGTCTTCCTGGCGATGGTGAGCGGGTGTCTCTAAGACGAGCCATGGTTGATCCCAGGCGCGGAGGAGTTGTGATCGATCTCCCCAAGACCTTGAGCGGCTCGTCGCCCGAGGCTTGTGTGTTAGAAAAAAGTTTCGTACTCTTTTGTATTTTAATTTCTTTATTCCTTGGCTTGGAATGATGCGATGGCGCAAATTATTCAGCTAGATGAAGGAATTCTTGCGGAAGCACGACAATCGATGGCGATGAGCTCAAGCGATGGCAAGACTTCTGAATGAACGAGGTCTCGAGGGAAGGCTGCGTTGAAGAAAGCTTGCTCAGCGGAGGACGTACGAAAGTCTTGAGACGAGGCGAAAACCAAGTGAGTGGGGCCGAAAATGATTAACCGGCGATCTACCGTCCACACACGACAATAGAAGATATAGAGCCCATCCAGCGCAGAGGCACCGTCACGACCTGCACACGAGCGTCAATCAATTGATACTGGCTGCCCATTTTCGAGTCGTCGTTCCCACGTATTTGGACGCGGGCTTCTCGGCGGCCCGTAGGATCTTAAAGCATTTTTAAAGGGTTCATTCCGCATAGCTGGCCAAGATAACCACTCACTCTGCTCTAATCCACCAAGCCAAACTGTGTGTGGGTGTACCCTGTGAGGTGTGAGCCATGGCTGGTCTTGTTAGTTACGGGAGCAGTAGCGAGGATGAAGATGTCCAACCGCGTTCTCCGCCTCAACCAGAGGTAAACAACCAAAAATGTGCTCTATTCCCTACCGCCCGTTTTATTAACGTCAATCTCGCTAGAAATCGAATGGGACGGCTACAGAGGTTGAAGTTGCCGGCGCCCCCAAACCCGAAGCCGAGCCAACCGGCCCATCGCTTCCTCTAGAAAGCTCCGCCGCACCACCAGACGCCTTCATCGGTCCGGTGCTTGCGCCCAGCGGACCGACGGCAGGAGACCTCCCGGAACCAGACCAGGAGCCGGATATCCTCACCATGCCCCCGGATCTCCCTACACCTCCACCCGCGCCCTACTCCGTGACCTCACCCTGCCTACCCACCCAAATCTGGACCTACCCCCTCCCCGCCCGGTTCTCCTCCTCCCGCCCTGACGAAAAAGGTTGAAAACTTTCTTGAGCTCAAAGACAAGGGCGTGCACTTCAACGCCAAGCTTCAGTCCTCGGCGGCCCTGCGCAACCCCGCCCTCCTCGACAAGCTCCTCGCGTTCGCAGAGCTTGATGAAGCAGGCCCGCCGGTGGCCCGCAGTACGCCACGACGCTTCCCAAGGAACTATGGGATCTCACGTTGCTCCCCGAGTGGGCGCACCGGCAGGAGCTTCGGCTGGCGCAAGAGAGGCTAAGAAAGGAGCGGGAAGCCGAACGATCTGCGACGGGGAAGATGGAATTCGTGCCTGCCTCTGGTGGTGGATCCAGTGTGTCTGCCAAGTCCGGGCCAGGAGGCTTATCGAAACGAAGGAAATTGGAGTAGGAGCGTCTTTTTTTTTTTTTTTTTTGGGTAGTGTTGTATTTTTCCCTTGTCGGTTCCCCTGATTTACGCCCTTCTGGGTTGGGTCAGGTTCGTAGGAGGTGGAGGGGAGGGGCAGGATTTTCCTCTCGGTCAGCCATGGCATTTTCTGCTCCTCGGTAGCATATGATCGCGGGTTTCCCTAAACACCCCGACACGCCACATAGAGCTGCTCCCGTCGTGTATCCTCACCCCCGTTCCTTATCCCTCTCACCCCCTCTCATTGTTCTTGCCCCAGTCCCGCTTCTATTTCCCACGGGGCAGATCATCATCATATTCTTTCTTCTACTTGTACCCAGCTAGCTCGATCTGGGGCAAGGGGGCCGCAGAGTGTAACACCCCATGTATTTATTTTTGTAGATACCCACAGGCTATATTTGTACACAACAAGGTGTCACTATGGCCATGCTCAGTATTCCGAGTTTTATCATGAGTCTCTCGATACGAGGCAGCACAGCTTTGTCGCATACAATCGTTGCTTATGAATGATTCCGCTGTTTTATTCGCCCATCCCGGCCAATTGGTATCTCATCTCGATTAAGTATGTACTAAACTGGTATCATGACAACCGGGTAGCTCGCCGGGGGATCTCCCTCAGATAGTCTCATCTCACCCGTCCTAGTTGCAACGTCTTTTGTTGAAACGACTCCTTCCGCCCCGAAAGACGATTATAAAGAAAAATACATGTATACCACACGTAAGAAATTAAGAAGGATGAAAGAAAAAGAAAGAAAAGGCTGGTTCCCTCTCGTCCAGAGCGAGAATGCCACGTCCCGATCACCTCTCTCCCTCCTGACTCACCCCTTCCACTCTGGCCCTAATTCTACTTGGGCCAAGACTAGCGAATAGCTAATGGAACGGTGATACGGGACGAAGAGAGGATGGTGAGCAGGCATTGGTCCTACTAACCAAGGGTTTACTCCTCCTCTTCAGAGTCACTTCCACCGGTGTTGAGACATCAAGCTTAAGGCCGTTCCTAGCGAAGGCCTCGGTGAGAGGAATGTCAACAGCCTGTGTAAGGGCCCTCAGGGCGCCAGCAAAGTACTCGAGCTCCTCGCCGTCGCGGGTGACATCGAGGCCGACCATCTCGAAGGGGATAATGCCATCGTTGCAGTGAGGGCCGCTGGTCATGGCGTCAAGGACGGGGGCCTGCTCAACGTCGGCGGAGATGAATACATCGTTGATGCCGGGGTTGAGAACGAGGTTGTTCATGTAAACGGTACCAATTTGCTCGCCGTCCAGCTTGTTAGCAAAGGTGGCGTTGCCCTACACACACGACCCGGTTAGTAAAATGAGCTTGGAGAGGGAAGGCTTAGGAAGGTTTAGGAAGGCTTTGGAGAGCTTACGATTTCAATAGTAAGGATAGAGGCGTTGGGGATGTCGACGGTGCCGTTGAAGTTGTTGGTCTTGGCGGCAATGTTGATGTTGGCATCGGTGACCTTGAGGCCGTGGAAGCCGTTGAGGCCCTTGAGCTCGACAGTCTTCTTGAAGGTGACGCCGTACTTCTTGGCGATGCCCTTGACCTTGACGTGGGTATCACCCTCAATGGTCATCCTGAGGGTTTCGTTGGCAAGCAGCCAGGTGTTGAAGGTAGTGAAGGCCTCCATGTTGGGGATCTCGACAATCTGGCTCACGTTGACGACCTGGAGAGCATCAGAAGTAGTCTCGGGGAACTCGACGCTGGCGAAAGGGGTGTGAGGCTCGAGATCCTCAAGGTACATGACACCAGTGAAGGCGGAGATGGTGGCATGAGTCTTGCCGTCGGTGCGGATGGTGGAGTTGACAGCCATGTTGTATTTCGTAGGCCGGGTGTCAGAGATGATGATGGAGTCAATAGTAAGCTCGGCCTGGTCGAGCTTCTTCTGGGCGATCTTGGGCACACCAACAAAGATGCTACATGGTCCGCGTTAATAAAACAGAGGTTCATCTGAAATCAATCGTACCCGAGAGGGCGATAGGGATACTTACATGAGAACGACAACCAGCACAATTACAACGACGGAGACGATGAGGTACACCCACCAGAAGCGCTTGCAGTGGCCGGCGCAGCCGCGCTTCTTCACGGGGGCGTTCTCATTCTGAGTGACGACGTCCTTGTCGCTAGCCATTGTGCGAGGTGCTCTTGTTCGATCTTGCTAGGGCACGAAGGCAATGCGTAGTTTTCGAGGTCGGCCCTGTAGGGAAGGGGAGGGATGGCTCAAGGTGGACGGGCGTAGCAGGGGCAAGGGATGGGGGAGGGGAAGCACGAGGGGGGTTTCCACCGGCGAGATTGGGGGAAGAGGGTTTACTTATACAAAATGTATCAGGATGTGGAGGTGGAGGCAACGAGAGACCAGATTGGAGAGCCAGGGTCACAAACAAACTTCTCACCAGGTTCAATCGAGGTGGGACTCGGAAAGTGGGTGCACCCTTGATCTATATACTAACACCGGCAAACCATCTCAATTTCGAGGCATACTCCTGGTACTATCTTGTGGGTGGGAGGGGGAGGGACCCGAACCCGAACCATACAACCTCAATTGGGGACGATTCGATGGGTAGCATAGGAGCACATGGGAATAGAAAAGGGGCCGAACGATTTAACTTGGTCGGGGAAGCTAGCGTCGTTGGTTCGGCGAGGCGTCTCTTTCGAGTAACAGGGGAGCCCGTTGTCGCCTCTCGGTCTCGCGGATCTTGAATTGATAGCATGCGATAGGTACGAAGGAGAAAAAAAAAAAAAAAAAAAAAAGAAAAAGAAAAAAGAGGGTGTATGGGGCAGGGGCGTCCTTTCTTACTTACACGCCACACCACACAACACACCATCCAACAGGAACAATGACAGTCCGTCCGAAATGGGCGACAATACTTGGACGAGTTGTCGATGCTAGTTTGTACATCCATTGATCCTCGACCACAGGCCTCGACCACACCCACATGCACCCCACTGATACCCCAATGCATTTAGTACATGTAGGCAAGCTAATTATACACAGATGTAAGACGACGGGAGTGCGACAAAGGTAGAGAGGGAGAAAGGGGGAAGGAGGGAAAAGCGAGTACACCCGTCCTCCACTCCACCCATTCATTGAACCGTTAATCCTCCCAAGTACGATCTGTAATAGCGATGAGATGGATGGGCCAGAGTAGTTCCGAGGGCCTCCAGGAAACATACACTGCCCAATGTAACAATGCAGTGGATTTCAACTCCCACTCCCGGCATCCAGACTCTCCCTTCAGCCCAGACGAAACAGGGAGGGGACTTGAGCAGACTGATCATCTCCCTACCTCTTCCGATCTCCCAATATTAGCACAAACATCCGAGAAGAAAGAGAATGGGTGGGAGTAGCATGGGTGGGAGTAGCATGTGCGGCCGACCAGCTTCAAGTGCCTTGGTTGATTCCGGGCGCCGCCGAGTCATGGTGCAGCGCTCCTCGAAGCACAAGCTTGAGGGGGTGCAGGGATAGAAAGCCCTTGACGTCGCACATTACATCTGTGATTTGTATTGATCCCAAAAGCCTCCCAAGTGGGTGATGAGGACAGGGCGTGACCAGAATGGCATGGCCCGAACACATCGACAATTGATGGTTCGTTCGTACTTGCCAACTTGCATACCCTGCACTCATATCAATTAACACCCTCCCCTACACCAAAAGCGAAGCTCGAGCCTCACAGCCAAGACTCTCCATCGTCTACTAGGCAATGAAGCCGCCGAACAGTGCTCCCGTTCTGGCTCATATCGCCGTAATAGCTTCAATTTGCCTTTGGGCATAGGTACGCTAGAGACAAGGGCGGACAGCCCGGGACTGGGAATCGGGCCATCCGCTTGTGTAAGAAAAACACCTCGGGATCCTGCCTCTTGAACCGTCACTTTCAAAAACTCTCTTTTTCTTTCTCAACTTCTTTTTTTTTAGTGTTTTTTTCTTCTGCCATCTCAATTCATCTCCGGGGAGAAGATGGTGAAGTCGAGACCACATTTACATTAAAAGTACTTGTGTATGGGGTAATAAGGAGGGGGAGCTAATGAGGAAGAGGTACAAGAACAAGGAAGTTCCGCCGTGCCTTCCTCCACATTGGGGAAGAACAGAGCGGTGACCAACGAGCTTGGTTAGAAACATGCTAAGATTACTTATTCAATCGCTGGTTGTGGACCATTCGGACCTAGCATGGGAGAGGGTGGGGCGGGGAAGTGGAAGGGAGCACCAAGCCACCAAGCACATCCTCGTGAAGAGTCAGCTGGGGTGTGAGTCTCGTCAGTCAGAACGGAAAGAGCCCGGCCCCGAAGTACAATTGATGCTTTTAGTTTGACCACTGCGAAAGATCAATTGCGGACGGGAAACGACAGAATCCTCTCGGTGGGAATCGAGTAAGAAGCCACGGAGTAGGATGAGAAATGCCCATTGATCAATTCGTTTCAACGGCCACCTGCTAAACACCTAGCAATACAAGCCGCGGAACGGGTTCAGATGCGTGAACAGCCCTAGATCGACGAAATTCTACTCTGAGTCTGAGCAGTGAAGCTGGAGGCGTTCCCAGGTTAGACTAACTGCCAACGCATTGGATTGACAAAGCTGTGAACATCTTAGACGGATGGTTGATCAAATTACAAGTACTCGTAATAATTCGTTGATCGTGGAGGACCACACTTCAAATGTCAAGCTAGGGAGCACAGCACGCACTGAAGTGCCCAGCGTTCCCCATATTACTTGGCATGCCGCTGATCGGGAAAGGCGCCCAACCTTGTACAAGAAAAGTGGGAAGACCAAGATACAAGCAAGGGTTCCCACATGCATGGACCAGCTAGCGGGACTTGCGAAATGTCGTCAAGGTCGTGTGCCACCATCCTAGTCGGACCCAGACCGAGAGACAAGCACTCGAGAGAGGGAGGAATTGCCAAATTGGGATGGAAGCCGAGCATCTCCGCACTACTCGGACGAGATGCCAAGCTGGTGTTTTTTTTTTCTTCCTCCCCTTCCTGGTTCACGTTCAAAATTAATCTTGGGGGTACCCTTTCTCCCTTCGCCCCTTCGCCTGTCGGACTGACTTGCACTATCGTCTTTTCTTGTTCTCTCTGTCCTCCCGCACCCCACTCGGAGCACAGACGGACAAGAATCGACTTGCACCTGCATGTCCTTGCCCTTCTGGAGCATGGTGTTACCTCACCTCTCTCAGGATATCCACCAAAGCAGGCACACCCGCTCCAGCACGACGAGGCGGAGCTCTTCAAGCCTAGATATCCGAAACGTTTTCGAGCTCACTAAGTGCGGGCTGGATGAGTAGCAGTAGAACATGAGGCCGGCTTGAGGGCTGCAGTGACCCGGCTGCTGCAGGCACGCAACAGTAGCACGTTCTCGATCCCTGAGAAAGTTGCTCGCGCTTGCTGAAAAAGAAAAAGAAAAAGAAAACTAAAGGCCACAGCCGATCCCGATTTCCCATAATGGAACGGGTATTGTAAGCGAATGAGAGCAGGAAAAGTTACTTGATGAGATTAGCGTCAACCAGCGTTAATAGGAAAGGAGCGGAAGGAGGGAAGGGCAAAAAGAAGAAGAAAAAAATCCCAAGTAGGGACCACCGATGAGGCGCTCCTTCGTTCCTTCGAAGAAGTGTCCTAGAAACCAAATAATAAGTCGACTCTGCAGCGGAGGAAAGATACCCGTCTGAGGCCCACACATACGCCACCCCGAAAAGTACTTGGTACCTTCCGCTTCTTGCCGTTTTTCCTGGTGCTGATGCGGCGCACTAGTAGAGGTTGCCACGGGGAGTTTTTGTCTATGTTTCTTTCTTTTTTTTTCTTTTTCTTTTTTTTTCCACTAGTTTGATCCCGGGAGCGCTGGGCGCATCAAAGAGAACCTCAAGGTCCCTCCCTTCCTCGGCTGTTGCACTTTAGCGCATGTGAAAGTCTGTTCTTGCTTGTGACAGGCGCTCCGTGTACGGGAGAGACGCCAAAGCCCATTCCCTCGCATTGCCAAGAGATTCAAGAGGCGAGACGCAAGCATCGTCTGCTGCAGGTTATCATGGATGAAGAAATTAACATTCTTGGGGCGGAGAGGTGAAGCAATGAACAATCAAGGTGTGCACTAAAAAAGAGTTATAGTAGCATAACCCCGGATCCAATCTCACCTGGGGAAAGAAGAAAAAATCGCATGATCAAAGAACCCTTTCTAAACCAAAGCCAATACTCCAGCTACCCCAATCCACTGACGACACCACGCGGAGAAGCTTCATTACATTTGATGCCATCCGGGGCGCTAAGTTACCTTGGCCTGGCTCAAGCCATCCTGCGAACATGAAGCAGTGCCCATCCAATCTTCACGATTCCCCAGATGGCTCCTTCCATTCAAATTCAAGCAACATGCCGCTGGCTTGATTTGTTGGCCTCGAGTACGTATACTGCATAGGTTAGGTTTTATTCTCCCAAGTCCCTGCCCTCCCTTGCCACACCCCGCGCCAGCTGATCCATCATTTCAGGATTTACGGACGATTAGGGAGGGCACATCGCCTCAGGCACGCCCCCTTCATCCACCTCCACGCCCCCGCCATCGCCCCTCCTCATTCCACCGTCCCTGTCTCCTGGTCCATTCGCCCCACTCCCACCCTCAACCCTGGTCCATGAACGTCCATGATGCGCCAGGTTGGCCGCTGGGAGTGGCTCCTTTCCCGCAATTTGGATTTGCCCCCATCCTATCAGGGCCCATATTCCACCATCGTCGTTTCATTGCCTATTTCGCGTTAAAAATGCCCACACATACACTACCAGTCGACGGGCCACTTGTACGAAGAGTCCTTTTGAATGGCCCTTGAAATCATCGTCGTATTATCCACACCCAGTGTCCACCAGTTGATGAGCCGGCCGTTTTCCCAATGCGAGGCTTTTTTCTCTCAAGACTTCCTCAGCATCTCCAGTATCAAGGCAAAGAGGACAAAACTACTTTCCCCTTTCCTCAAATCTCGCTAATACTCAGTCCGTCCTTGCACGGGGACGCATCAGCCTCGTTTCAAAAAGATGCGTATTGACATCTGTTTTGCTTTCACGTGTTTCGACCGAACATGGCTCGCATGAGAGGCTCATTCCCAGCGCGGCAAGTCTCGGAGATTTGTCCCCCTTCCGTCATAAATCGTGTGGGAGTGAACGAAACGCACCACCTATGCCGTAGCCTCCTCGACAAGCCAGGGGAGCACTCGTGCTCAGGGCAGGGTGCCCTTGCCTTTGCCTGTACATTGCAAGGTTAAAGAGGGGAAGAAGACATTGATCCATTATCGTTCCTCCCACATGAGTTTATCCTCGACGAGTCGCCCTCAGGATGACATTGACTTACTCGTAGAGATGTCTTGTTTTTCAATCGGCTATCTTGTCTATTACAGATCTAGCCGGAAGCAACCGAAACTACCACCCACCTTGTTGGCACCCTCTCTGATATTGCCACGAGTTGAGGCTAGAAAACCCTGTATCGTTACCTATCTACTAGTAGAGAATTGCCATACAAGGTAAGAACGGCTACCATCTTCTTCTACCTCTCGCCGTCATTATGGTCATGAAGTTCACCGGCGAATCTCCTCCGGGGCAACCCCGTGATCGTGGTACCTGACCGCCGCTCGCCGCTGCCCTTCCTAACTTCAACCCAATGCTGCCCTCTAGCTGAACGTTGGTGTCTCGCAATCATCGCTTGCTGCATAGTTCCCACCCCTTTGAGCCAATGGCTTAGGCTGGTGAGAATCATCGGTAGGGCAGGAAGTACGTGTAGATGGATATAAACAGGATCACAGCCTCGGGTCATAACACCTATCAGCCCATCCCTACGCCTCTCGCCCTCCGCTTTCTGAGGCGAAACCAGCGTGCTAAGGCCAAACCCGATAGTCCCCTTCGCCTGTCTAAACCCTTTCGACTTTGGTAGAATCGCACATTTCGCTTTCCGCCTCGGAAACCTCCCTTTTCCGTTCCACCCCAAAAAAGGCCTTTCTCGCTTGTTGCTACATGTACTATGCGGGCGGCCAATTCCGCCCTTCGGCGATTTCCCTCTCTTCTTCCCTCACGTCTGCACACTATTATGGCAAGACGGAGGGCGCTAATAAGGTGAGGTGATGGGGAATAAGAGAAAATGGAAAGGGAAAAAGAGAAGGAAGGGAGACGGGCTCCAAAACGCCAAGTGCGCCAACCGAGAGACCAAATTCTATTATTTGTCTTAGCGGGAACCAAGCTTTTTTTAAGCGTATTTGTTTGGCACACGCCTTCTTGGTTGCTCTGGCCATCTTTCAATGGTGCTGGGTTGGCGTTGTCTTCCTTTCGCGCCGTTTTTAGTGAGAGCGGGTGAAAATTCAGCAATGGAAAACGCCACTCATACCATCCAACTATAATGCCAGTTCGGACGACCCATAATCTCAACGGTGTCGGCGGAGGCTACTGAACAAGGAGAAGTGGGCAGGAGGGAAGGGAGGGAGAAAAAGAAAGAAAAAGGCAGTAGATGGGACCACAGAGTGGACCAAGATATCCATCGATTGTGGCACTAGAGAAAAAAAGCTATGCGACTAGGCTGGACTATCTATCATCCACAATGGCGACCACGAAATGAGGGCCCATAGCCTGTGGGTTAAAGCTTTGGCGTCGGCCCCGTCCAAAGTCCCGCAATGTCAAGACCGCTGGGCCCGTTGTAGATGTCCCTCTCGACGACACTGGTGTTGACCTGGATGGACGCGAACATCGCGAGGTTAGGCAAACTCGAAAATGGTTTATGGAGGAGGCGACGAAGGTGGAGGAGGCGGCGCTACTTACAAATCGTGGGCCAAGCTGATGGACCGACTCGACTCCCAATAGCCGCACGCACGTCTCGGTCTCTGCTTTGAGGACTGTCATGGCAACTTGGTCAGAAATCATGGATGCATCCCTATCTTGGTTTGCTGCTTTTCTTTCCCCGTTTTTCTTTCCTGTTCTTTTTCCCTTCATTTTCTGCTGGACGGGTGGGCACTTGACTTACTTTCTAAGGTTCTTTCGACACCGGCTTGACCACCGGCTCCAAGGCCAAACAAAGCGGCTCGTCCGAGTCCAACGCCCCTGGCTCCGAGGCACAGGGCCTTGACGACGTCGGTCCCGCGCCTAATTCCGCCGTCGACCCAAACCTCGATCTTGTTGAGGACCTCGGGGCAGTATTTGCGAATCTCGAGGAGGGTGTGGAGGGCCGGCGGCGCGGTATCGAGGGCTCTTCCGCCGTGGTTCGACAGCAGTACGGCCTGGACCTGAGGGGCGAACTGGGCGGCGAGGTAGGCGTCCTCGTGGGTCTGCACGCCCTTGAGGACGATGGGCAGATCCGTGTTCTTGGAGAGCCACTGCAAGGTCGTCTTCCACGTGAGGTCGCCGGCCGTACCCCAGAACAGCTGCTGCCCGACGCCGCCGCCACCGGGCCTCTTGTCAGAGTCGCCCTTGCCGCTGACGCTGACGTCAAAAACGCCCTCGAACTGCATCTTCTCATCGTGCTCGCGCTTGCCGGGCACGGGTGCGTCAAGGGTCAGGCAGATGAATTTGATATGCTCGCGCAGCTTGTGGATGCGGTCGAGCATGGCGACGCTTCGGCTGCGGTCCTTTTGCACGTAGAGCTGCCAGCCAAAGACTTGGCCGGGGGCCGCGTTGTCCACAATCTGCTCCGGGGTCATGGAGGCGTTGTTGGAGATGATTTGCATGGCGCCGAACTTGGCCGCGGCCTTGGCGATGCCGTGTTCGCCATCGGGGTGGGCAAGCCGGGCCATGGCGGCAGGCGATATGAAGATGGGGAGGTCTACCTTGTTGCCCAGGAACGTGGTAGAGAGATCGCAGGCCGTGCAGTCGATGAAGACGCGGGGCCGGAGGAGGATTTGGCGGTAGACTTGGTTGTTGAAGCTCTTGGACCACAGATCATCGCCGGCAGAATAGTAGTAAGACCAGGCCCTCTTGGAGATCTTTTTGGTTGCTAGAGCCTCGAGTTCGTCAAGGTTCAAGAGGGACTCGAGGGGCGGGTCCCGGTCCGACTCCTCAATCTCCTTTTTCCGCTCTTCGCTATTCGAGGGATGCTTGGGCATCGCCGAGGTGTCGATGGTGCCAACCTTTGTTACCCCTACCATCTCCTCGTCCAAGGTGCCAGGAGGGTGGATGGGGTCAAACTCCTCGGTGGCGTCCTTGCCGGCCAGGCGCAGGATGGCTCTGGAGCCTCCCGGATGCTCGTCGAGAAAGCCCGTCACGTCATATACGGTGCCGTAGAGAGTAACCCAGCAGCTTTCGCCCGTGTTATGTTGGGCCACTTTTTCAGGGGACGAGTTTTGTCCATGTTAGTTCTGCATGCATATATATGTGTCTTAGGAGGTGCGTTTGTAAAGCTCCCCTCCACCCCTTCCCTTCAGCCTTGTTCCTCCACCGTCTGCCCCAGAATGGCGGGGGAGGAGTGAAGGGAACCGTCCAAAAGAACAGGCAAAAGTGGAGAGGGTACGGAGCGGAGCCGGGCCAGAGGACATGTATAGGTGAACCGTACCTTCGTCTACGCTGAGGGTCTTTGCCTCGTCTCCCATCTTGGCGGAGGTTCCACTGCGGTATTAAAGAAACACGATTGCACCAAGGGTCTGCCAAAGGCGGGCCGATGTAGGGATCGATCTGGCGGGGGTTCCACCGGAGATGACGGCACGGCAGGCGGGTGTGTATGCCCTGTACGGAGCAATAATTTCACAGGTCAGCAAAAGGTGGGCGTATCGGCCGGGTGCAGCGGATGGTTGGTGGGAGGGTGCAATGGACAAGGCAAAAAAGATATGGTCGAAATGCTTGTTCTCGCTTGGGTTACCCCATGAAGCTCGAGGCCAATGACGGGCTGGTGGCTGAGGAGATGATTGGATTGGCTCGTCCGACCTCGGCCTACGGTTGTCGGTGCTTCAAGGGAGGGGACTAGGATGATACTTTCATAGCGCAGAGGCCGACAAGGGTTCAAAGAGGAACGATTGGACTAATTTTCTTGCTCGGAGACCATTATCGCAAAGCGAAGGGACTGGAGGCATAGGCTACAGCTGAAAAAGATGGAAAAAGATAAAACGTCACTACTCAAGAGATGAAATATTCACAATCCTCTTTGAAAAGGAGTCTCAGAAGGGGAATTCCCTTCACCAAAGGTTGAGAGATGAAAGGAACAATAGGGGTTCCATTCTATTCTCATCACTGAAAATTGAAAGCCTGTGATGCCGGTTCCACCTTCCTCAGGTACAGCCAGGGGATCTCCGCGCCGAGGATCGGTGGTTTTCCAAAAGACCAAGAAGCTACAATAAGATTCAAGACTTGGGACTCAAGGAACAATGAAAGTCAATGAGCGAATGAATAGACAAGCAACAAGGTACCCACGCACGCGGCGCTTTGAGCGGCCCATTCCTATGTCGCCTGTGGAACAATGAATCCTGGATGGATCCATTGATCAGGGTAGCCAGCGTGAGCTCAAGTCGCCCAGCTGAGAGTGGCAAGCCCGAGAGTCACACAAAACACCGAGACGACGTCATTCTAAACTCCGTCAGCTCCGAACTTTTTTGAGCTTTTACTTGTAGGAAAATCTGCCCCTTGACTCAACCACTTTTTTTTCTTGCATGCCGCAACACATTGAAACCCTTTCCCAAACAACCCAAACATCTTCAACCACGAATTACGATCTCTCACGCCGAGAGCCCCCAAGAAAGGAAAAACGAACAAGAGCCCGATCCAAATACTAAGAGGAGGGAGGAAAAAGAATCTGGCAAATTCACGGGCAAGCCGAACTCGATGCCCTTCTCGACATTCTCCGCGAGCCGCTCGGCCGCTCGCCTCTGCTCGCTCTGCCAAGCGACCTCCTCGGCGCGGACGGCCGCGCTATCACGGCACAGCACAACCGCCCTCCGCCAGGGCACCTCGCGATCAAGCGGGCGCTCACGACACGCTCAAGCCCCCGAGCGTCGCTACATCTCCACCTCGAACCGCCGCCTCCTCCCCACAGCGCACTACACGACTTCCGCACGCCGAGAGAACGGCGCGGTGCCTCCGCCGCCACCGCCATCGCCACCGGGCTTCTACGACCTCTTCCCCGAGACCCTCCCCGGGGGCCACCGCCGCACAGCCCCTTTTCCATAGACGTGCGCGTGCTCCGGCGCGAGTTTCTCCAGCTGCAGGGGCGAGCGCACCCGGATCTCCACGCGGCCGAGCACAAGGCGCGGGCGCAGGCCACGTCGGCGCACCTCAACGAGGCTTTCCGCACCCTCGCGCACCCGCTGCTCCGCGCCCAGTACCTGCTCTCTCTGCGGGGCATCGATGTCGCGTCGGACGAGGCGGCCAAGGTGGCGGATATGGAGCTGCTCGCCGAGGTGATGGAGGCGAGGGAGGAGATTGAGGACGCCCACGCCGAGGCGGACCTCGAGGGCCCCAAGGCCGTCAACGACGAGCGGATCGCGGCGAGCGAGGAGGTGCTCGAAAGGGCCTTTGCGGCGGATGATTTGGAGGCGGCGAAGCGGGAGGCGGTGAGGTTGAGGTATTGGACCAATATCAAGCAGTGTTTGGATGACTGGGAGCCCGGTAAGAGGGTTGAACTTCAGCACTAAGCGCTGAAATTACAACTACGAGGACGAGGGGTATCGTGACGAAGGAAGAGGGACCACCAAGGGCGGGTCAGCGAGTGCTTTAGGAACTTTATTTTTGGAGAGCAACCCCTTCCGGGGATGACATCGCCCAGGTGCCACGGGGAGCTTTGAGAGGCTGCTACGCTGGCCATCGTAGGAGCCTTCCCCGAGCACATGCGCATTTATGTAGGATAAGTCAGGCCGTTGGGACGGCGTGAATACAATACTGAGCCGAAGGGCAAGGTATGGTTAGGACGCGATACATGATAATCGCGGCGACGATTTCACAAAGGTTAGACATGTTTGGGCAATCCAGCATCGATCAACGGGCGGACATGAGGGGAAACAGGACAGGACGGAAATAGGAACAAAGAAGTAGAACGACGCAACGATATAAACTAGGAAAAAGAAAAAAAAAAGAAAAGAATCCCTCCTAAGCCGCTCCCAGATATGCAAGAAACAGAACAATAGGTGAAGTCGGGCTGGCGGCTTAAGTCGCTGTCACATTTCGATACTTCATCAATGTATTAAAACATGGCGTTGTCGCGAGTAGCCATCAAGTCTGGTCCATTTATCATCAAACTCTGCCCACCTCGTTCAAAATGCTCCCTTCGCCCTTACATCAAATCAAATGACAGGGCTTGTCTCCAAACGCCAGGTCTATTGCTGTCAACTGTCTGTTTCTGGTCCGAGACCAACGGAGAAAACGTGACTCGTTTGTCGCTGCTAAGTTCATTCGCACAAAGCACGCGACACCTCCGTCCCTCCCGACGAGCCCAGTGGCCAGTCAGCCCGAGCACATGGGATTTAGGCGGGGATTTTACAACCCCGTTGGTTGTCGCTCTCGATCGCTTTTGGAGAGTCGGGAGGGTAGGCAGAAGGGTTTATGAGAGTTCACTTGTTCTTATTTTGAGGGTCTTTGCCACCTTGTTTTCTTTTCTTCCTCATTTTTTTAAATGGTTCTATTTGGCCTTGTTTCCCCTCATTTTCCTCATTTTCCTCTTGCCTCATCAAGTTCCGGGGCATTTTACTCAGCTTCCATGTCCGGTGGTTAGGTTGCGCTTTCCGTCTTGTCACCATCAGGCAACAACCGTCGTTGCTTCGCTTGGTCTCTTCTTCTTCTCTCTCCCCCCCATTCTCGTCCAGTAGTGTTCTCTCAACTTGCTACGTGTATAAACCCTGCTCCGACTTGCCCCAGAGTGTGTTGGAGTGTTGGAATCGCCGATTGATGCTTGTAGTCCCGTATGCAAGGGACCAGGACAAACGCAGCTCAATAACGCCTGCCTGCCGTTTCCGGCCGAGCACCAAAACCACCATCTCTCACCTCCTCTTCTTCGTTGGTGCAACGCTGCGAGAGCCCTCTCTCGCCAAAGACAATAGATTTTCCCTTGTCCGTCCCGAAGCACTTTCTTAGCCCACGCTGAGCCCCCGTCCTTCCCCGCCCGGCCGGCTCTTGACCACCACCCGTGCTCCGGCCTGGCCCACCCTCCCACCTACCATCCCACCTTTCCTTTCCCCCCGCTACCCCGCCACCCCATCAAACAGGCGCCTCTTCCGTGACCGCCTTTCCCTTTCCCTTGCCCCCATCCCCCGGTTCGTTGACCATGGCCGGCCTCAAGATTCTTTGTTTCGGCGACTCCCTCACATCGGGTTACTTTTGCTTCGGCGTCGGAGAGCAGCCCTATGCCGAGGCTCTTGGCCAGCGTCTCCGGGCCGCGCTCCCGGCCCAACTCCAGCCAGCCATTTTGAACGTAGCCGGCGAACCAGGCGCTCTCGCCCGCCAGTTCTCTCTCCGGATGCAAGTTGAGTGTAGGTTTCTCTGATCCATGACCCCTCAGTTCCCGGATCTGCACTACCCACCCACAACCCCGGTACCCATCTCGCTCCTCTCTTATTTCTTCTTCTTTTGTTGTTTTTCCTCTTGCCTCTTTCTTGCCATGTTTCCTGGGGAATGCTTTGACTAGGGTCTCCTTCAGGCCTTAAATCAAGCGCTTGGGATGGCACATAGATTCTTTACAAAAAAACAAGACACTAACGTGAATCCCAGGTCGAGACGACAAATATGACTGGGCCATTATTCTCGGCGGCACTAAGTATCATCCTCCCCCAAACCCACAACCCCTCCTCTTTGACCATGACCCCTCGAGCCCTTTCAGCCGTGGGGGCCACCTCAGACCTAGCATGCTGACTTCTACCGTTAGTGATATCGGCTATGGGTTCCCCCTAAAGACATCTATGACTTCTTAAAAGAAGCCTGGGCCATCCCGCTCTCTCGGGGTACCAAGGTGCTCGCCCTCACGGTGCCCGAGTGCCAATCTCAATCCCGGACCGCCACGAATACACGTAATGAGCTCAACAGGCTGATCCTGCAGCACAAGGAACCAAACTTGTACGTGTACAGAAACCCAGCGTCCTTCCCTAGACTCCTGGCCGACTTGAAGTTCGGCTGGCTTGCTTCACGTTCCCTCGTCGCTAACCACAACTGTGACCCGGCAAAAGCTATGCTTTCGACCTCAACGCTCACATCCCCTACCACTCACTGTCACCTGAAGATGTGGAGAAGTATTGGGACGATGGCCTCCACCTCTCCGAGGAAGGCTACAATTGGATGGGCGGCCACATTGCCGACGCCTTTATCCCGCTCGCTCAAGCTCATGCCGCTCCTACCGCCACCGCTGCCGCGGCCGTCCCGGCCCCGAAACCGGAGAGGAGGCGCAAGGCAAGGGGACCGAAAGTGTACGGCGACGAGGCAAGCGTCGAGGAGGAGGACGGCGACCCAAAGAAGCTAACTAAAGGGTACGTTGTCGTGCGTAAGCGAGACTTGGAATGATGCTACGGGACGCCGCCCTGAACGACCCACGGCTTTGGCACCGTAGTACCAAGCCCGACGCCCACCTCTAGCATCTACTGTCGATTTTTTTGATTTTTGATTTTTAGTCTCCGTGGCGTTTTTCCCCCTTTTGTCTTATTTTCCTTTTTCTTCCTTTGAATTGGTTTCGCTTTAAGAGGCTCGTACTTCCCGGATGGGTTTTTGAATAGAACATAGGGTAAATGGTCTAGGTCCGAATCTACCTAGGAGTTATGCCAGTGCCTGAACGCCGTCTTCTCCCGTTTTTATACACACAAGTCCCTTTCGTCGTCATCGTGAATCGATCCTCCCCATCTAACCACCGCCCCTAAAACCCCGTATACCGCTTCGCATGCCATTGTAGCTCTGTTAGCCGAGATCAAGCCCTGAGATGGGCTGCGACAAAGTCCTGACGAAGAAAAAGGTTAGAGAAGATTGCAAGAGGAGCGTGTGTGCATGTATGCGTGTATGTGGACGTGCAGTGCGGTGTAGCGCAGGAAGGGGAGGGGGCTGCTTACAGGATATTCGTTCTGCAGGGCATTAACAACGTGCTCCACCTCTTCCGCGATACCCTGAACATTGGCGTCCCATCTCCGCGTCTCCTTGCCAACGAGCCGGTCTGCCTTCCCGCTGCCCCGGACTCCCGAAGCATCTCCCTTCTCAAACCAGATGACCCTGTCAACCTGGTCGATGCGACCTAGGAGGCGGCCCTGCTCAATCATGCGAGCCGTCGTGTCCTCGGCACCGGCGGCATCGAGGCCCAGGAGAGCGCCGAGGGCATCGAAGCCGATATTCTCAAACAGGCGGGACGCGCCGAGCAGGTTGTGCTCGACGACGGCCTTTGCCAACACGGTGGAGCCGTTGGTGGTGAGGGCGAGTTGGTGGGGGAGCAGGCTCTTGGCGAACTTGTCCACCTCGTCCTGCGCGAGCAGGCGGTCGAGAAACATCTTTTCCAAGATGCCAAACTCCTCGAGGCCCGAGGACCGCTCGTCCCTGTAGAGCCTGGCGAGGTGTCTGCTGCGGAGGGGCCCCGCGGGGCGAGCACGGCGCACTTGATAGCCATGCCCAGGGTATGCAATCTCTCTTCCTCGGCGATGGCCTTGGAGAAGCTGATATCGTGGTACCTCCGGGAGGCGTCGAGGAAGTCGCGCTTGGCGTCCTGGATCCTGGCCTGGGAGAGCTGGAAGTGCAGGACGAGCTCCGGGTCCGAGACGGTGTGCATGATATTTTTGAGCTTGTTGACGTACGTATCCGCCGCGGGGGTGTCGTCCACCTCGAGGTAGTTGCGCACGATGCGCACCCATATCCGGGCCGTCTCGTCGTTGGTCACCTGCCGCTGGGACGAGTCGATGGGGATGAGAGCCAGGCAGCGCGCGGCGTCGACGTAGTCTTCGTTGCTCTCGTGCGCCGAGGCCATGAGCTCGCGGAGGGCGGCGATCTGGTCGAGGAAGGACGTGACGCCCGAGGCGGCGAGCAGCTCGAGGGCCTGGCTGCCGACCTCGATGCACATGTCGACGTTTTTCAAGTCCCGGAGCGTGGTGACGAAGAGGTCGAGTAGGGCTCTCGTGGAGACGATGCCGAGCGAGGCGGAGAGTAAAGAGGAGACGATGGCGTCGAGATCCGCCGTCGCGGTGGTCGGCGAGGACAGGTCCTTGATGCGGCGGAGGATGGCCTCGTACTGGTCCGGTTTGGAGCTATCTGGCGCGGACTCGGCCTGCGCGAGGGCCGTGGCGACTTTGGACGAGGGCGCCATGGCAAGCCGAAGCTGTGGGTGGATCTCGAGGGAGCAAGGAAGGGGGGGGTAGTGGATAGTGTGGGTAGAGGGGGATGGATGCTGGTGCTGCAGCGGAGATCTAGTGAAGCAGACAAAATTCCAATAGTAGGTCTGGAGTAAAAGAAAACAGACAGTACAAGGAATAAAGAGAGATATGCCGACTCGCCGCGGGAGTTCGTTGGGCGGAAACCAAGTGAGATTTTGAAAGAGTGGGGGAGAGGTTGAGCAGGATCCCACGTCCAGAAGGCGGATGGGAGCTTGGGTTGATCCACGTCCGTCAGCGGCCAGCTTGGCGGGGTAGTTCCCCCAATTGAGCCTCGGAGGGTCCAAGTGTTTGTTTGGCTGGCGCTAGGCACCGACCTTCACCTCCACGCTGACGCCCACACCACCACATGGATTTGTTGGTGGTGGATCACCAATGATCCACAGATTGATTCTTAAGATAGAATGGATATATACATGGGTGAAAAAAGGGAAAGAGGCAAACTGGTGAGAGGTCATATTGAAGGGTTTTATACCCAAGGAATGAAACCTGTCGTCTTTAAGGTTGGCATTTCGGAAACTTCATCCCAGATCACATCCTGAGTTGGAGAGCAAACATCTATGGAACTTGCGGAGTTCATAGAAAACTGTTGTATTCGATTTTCATCAGGGTATCGTTATCGTCATGAATATAGTTCCCAAACAACCTCTTAGCCGTACTTCCCCAAACCCATACAGAAATTACCCAATTTACGAAAAGTTGCTTCATCTTGAACCGGGTCAACTTTCCCCTCTTCACGTTCTTTCTTTTCTTTTCCTCCTGTCCCAATCTCTTTCCCGGTGCACAATACGCGTCATTCTCGCGCCCGTTCCTTCATTTTCCCCTTACCAATGTTTCTTTCTCATCTAGCCAGCATCATCACATCTCAACTCCCGTCCACCTACCCCTCTCTACGTGCCACCACCTGTCCTTGTCCTTCTTGTCCGTCGGAGTCGCATGCACGTTCCATCGGCCATTGCACATGTCGCCTTCCTTCTCTCCACAATCACCAGTCACGTCCCCAATCTCAATCAACCCGCCGTTCTCGTCCCGAGCGCCCGGGTCCGGGCTAAGATCGTAGCGAATCTTGCTCTCGGCCGTGCCCATGAATCCGGCGAGACCGAATTTATCCACAAGCATTCCCCGTTCATCAATGACGTTGACGTGGAATCGCGGGAACCGCCACGCAGCCTCAAGACGGGCCTGCGCCGCAAGCCGCGCCTGATGGAGGTTTGTCGCGGGTGCGAGCAACCAAGGTTCTGGCGCAAAAGAGGGACCGAAAGTCGCCTTAGGCACGGCTCCCGAGGCCGAGGTGGGAGATGGCGGTTGCGAAATCGACCTGCTACTGTCGCTCCTGTTGCGCGCGTGGGGGTGACGGGACGGAACCTGTCACCTGGTAGATCAACGCGATCTCGGGGTCGGCAGAGGACCTGGAAGATGCCCTCGGGGTCGTTGGGCGCACGAAGGATACGAAGGGCGGGGAATCCCTTGGCGGCGATGCTGCGGGCGAGGATCGAATCGGCGGCAATGGCGCACGTCGGGTGGCTTGTGATATCCCAATGCAGCTTCCGGAGCGAGTTAGACGCGAGATAGGGCATGAGCAAGATGAAGTTGTCTTCGGGCATCTGTGGCGGGAACGACTGCACAAAGGCGAGGTTCTCGAGGTAGACGAGGTTCGACAGCACGCGGGCGAGCGCCAGCATATCGTCCATGTTGACATGTCGGAGCACGAGGCGCTGGATCGATCGGCTGGTGGCTCGGGTGGCAAAGTTGGAAAGGCCTGTCGAAGTGATGCCCGAAAGGTACGACAGCGATAGTGTTTTGAGTGGCGGCAGCGCGAGGAGCCCATCGTCCTTGAAGGCGGCGGAGGGGAGACTCGAGAGGAAGAGATGCTGAAGGGCAGGCAGGTATGAAATAGTTGTGCTGATGAGGTTATCGGGAGTGAGCAACCCCCAGGAAGCGTGTGGATCGTGAGTGTCGTCAGGTGGCTCCAATCAAGATGGAGCTCGATGAAGGCAGAGCTCTGCGAAGGGAGGAGGATGTCGGTCGGGGGCGAGAGGGAAGCTTGAGCGCTGCCCATTGTCGGGAAACCCTTTGTCAGTTGGCTCGTGCCCGGTCGGGTGGGTGGCCGTTGCGTGGTGCTCGCGCTCGCGCCCTCGATCATCCAATCCATCCGCTTCAGTCTCCTCCGTGTGGATAGAGCGTGGAAGAGCCGGTCAAAAGCATGCGAGTAGCGAGGGTACAATCCGACGAGACGCTCGAGATTCGGGCAAGCCATGACAACGGAAGCAACCAGGTCATGGTAGACACCGACTGGCGTATCCTCCGGAACAGCCGGCACCTTCAGCGTGTGGACGATGACGGCGATGCTCCTGTTCGCCCGTAGGCTTCGACGCAGGAGAACGAGACGCGGGTTGGCGCAGCCCTTGAAGCGCTTCTTCATCGAGGTCGAGTCAGGACCGTTCAGCTGAATATCCTCATACCTAAAGACCCCGTAGAGTGTTAGATCTCGCTTCTCGTCGGCCCAAGACTGACCCGCAGTCGCCGTTATGTTCTCACAAAGCCTCGCGCGTCTCGCGAACAAAGAAGGGGAGCCAACTTACAACGAGGTCCGAGCAAACTTGCACCATTTCCTCGACGCCAGCGAAATGGAACAGAGGTCCCTCATCCAGCACGTTGAGCAGCTGTCGGCGCTCTTGCCGAGGTGAAGTTTCTTGAGCTCGTCGAGAATAAGTTCCAAGACTTCACCGGGGAGGGCAGAAAATATCTCGTTTGGTTTCGAGCGGTGCAGGGATGGCCTGCCGCTGCTCGCCGACGACCTCGACTGCCCAAACTCGCTGGAGCGCGAGTTGATGAAATCCATGGAATCGAAACTCGTGGCGCTGCTCCATGATGGCGCCCTAGTGCTCGAGGCATAGCTCTCTCTCGAGGTGCTGTGGGAACTGTTGGTAGATGACTGGGAAAGTTTCCTCGGCCGGTTGAGCATCCTCGGATCGGGGTCCGCGTAGTTGATGGACTCCATTGTTGGAAAGGGGGCCCTTGGCAAGGTGATTGGGGTGCAAGGCCCCTGGAAACAGCTCGCTCGGTTCGGAGGATGAAATCGAGGGTCGACTGCTGAGGATGTTGCGGGTGCTGCGCCGGCTGGAGCTGCTGGACTTCGGGAAGAGGGTGGTGTTCAGCCTTGACGCCTTCCGGGACCGTTGGTGGGATAAGGGGCATATATGGGCGGAATCGGGGTGGAGGCTTCAGCAAATTGTTATCAAACCTCGTCTCTCCTCTGACTGTTGGCAAGGATGCCGATCCTGCCCTTCTGTGCACAGGGGTGCGGGATCGTCTAATATAATGGCCAAGGACAAGGTGAGGTTAGCACTGGTTAGCTCGGGTTCGGGATCCGCACCGAGCACGGGAGAGGGTAAGCAAGCGGGACAGCGCGGAATAAGGCCAAAGAAAAAGAAGAGAAGAGAAAGGGGCGTGGGAGAAAAAAAGAAAAAGAAAAAGAACCCGAGGGGTTCACAGAGAAGAGAGAAAGTAGATGGAGAATGCCGCTGATGAGAGCACAGCACCGCACAGGGCATCGATTGGCAGATATAAGAACGAGTGCGACAACGGCAGGTTTTTCTGTCGAAAATGGACCGGGCGCCCACTTTCACTCGAATTCCACAGCCTCTCCACCCTTTCCCCCGATGGGGAGATGGTCTCGTTTAACAGCACGCTTGTACTCGACCAAGGAAGGTAGCTGCCTAGGGTGAGAATCATCGCGCGCCTTTCCCGTCTTCCCTGGGGTGAAGAAAGACACTGGGTACCGACAAGGCCAGAAGCTCGCGAGCAAAAGCCAAGACCACCCCACCCGAGTGTATTTCCAGTCCCGGCATTGGGGGAGGTGGAAAGCCTCACAGGCCTTGCTTGGCCTGGGCTGGCCAGGGGTAAGAGGTTGAGGTAGCGCTAGGCGTTGGCTGGGTACCATCACTCGACGGTGCGGCTGTGGGGACAAGACGAGGTGGCAGCCTCTGAAGGTGTGTGGGACTGCATCCACCAAGGTAAGCATGGCTAACCGTTTCGGTGAATTAATTCAACCTGTTTCGCGAAATTTCCAGTCAAAGATTTTCCCGGGTCCTTTGAAATGTCTTTTGAATTGGCCGGAGAGCGACAATCATAATGACACAAGCCCCGGTTATTTTTCAATATCCGCAATGCCTGGGGTCTTGGGGGCGATCTGTCCCCCCCCTCTCCTCTTCAGTATTATCCCCCTTCTCTCGAAGAGACCTCTCGAGGAGAACGGGGAAATTGATGCTGCCCTCCATTGAAAGAGATGTATTGGAGTTTTTGGCTCAAAGTGACTTGCGGCGGCAAGTGAGCAATTCTCTTTGGCAGAACATGCAATCAGGATTAGAGTGTGGGAGGATGGGGGTATTAATAGCAGTAGGCGGCAGATGTGGAGATTACACGCCAACGTCAATGGGCGTTCAACGTGGAAGTGGAAGGCTTTTTAGTGCGTGGACGGAAGCAAAAAGGGCTCTCAGTGCGAAGACTGAGGGATGATGGACAGGGGAGGGGAAAGGGGCGTCGGCACCGTCCCGATTGTCAGGTACATGGCGTCGCCAAACCAGAACGGACAACTTGGTCAGCTTCGCCCCCATCAGCTCTCTCATCAAGTGATGGTGCACGAACACACACACATAGTGTACGCCGGCACACACCACGACGCCAAGCACACCCCTTTACAGTGCCGGGCCCCTGTGCGTAATAGACCAAGCAAGCCAACAAAGCAAAGCATGCGTGGTGTTGAGTTGAGGTAGTTTAGGGCTGCAGCTAGCCATCCACCCAGTCCTCGAGAAATGGATCCAAGGAAATGGAAGAAAGACAAGAAGGAAAGGATAAGAAAGAAAAAGAAAAGAAAAGAACAAGGGGAAAAAGGGAAGGGATAAAAAACAAGGGGAAGGGGGCCGAAAAAGAAACTGTTCCATTCTCTCGAGTCGCCATGGTGTCATGGTCATGGATCAGAACAATCAGGGCAAGAGTGAGGAACAGGCAGCGGCTTGACTAGCTCCGTGCAGGAAGTCGTGCTAGGCCAGGCACAACAAAAAGCACTCAAAGGCGGTGCACGAGCCCCATAGTCATCGTCGATGAATGCACGGAGCAAGGCTTTGCCCATTTTTCCCCATCTTTTTCGAGACTTGCATTTCCATTGTGGTCAGGCAGGGAAGAACGGGTGCAATGCCATGTTGAATCGTGGGAACGTGAGACCGAATATCGTGTCGGCTCCTGCCAGGGCTTGGCTAGCCCATCCAAGAGAGAGCCGCTTTCCGGCTTTGCAGGGATGATGCTCCTATTTCTTCCCTTTACCCCGGCCCAGCCCCAAAGAGCTTGCAAAGACGAGTAAAAGCTGGCGAATTCGCCAACGTCGCAGCCAGTGCGAGCGTGGGCTCTGCGCAGTAAAATCATTGGATAGAAAAGCTGTGAGCAGAGGGCAACCTCATTTCCCAACGAGCACTGCTCGCCTCATGCCGTCCCCTCGAGTATCACTCGAGCCATTTGAAGGTAGCGCTGGCGAAGGACAACGTGAATCGCACGCGAAAGCTCCACTTGGCAGCTATGCTCCCCAGGTTCCACACGCTAGTTCGCCATGATCGACTATATGTACGAGTATGATATGCTGCTGCACACCCCAAACTGGGTTTTGCTTGCCAGCGCACCATCAATACATCGAACGCAGAGCAACTCGTCGAGAGGTACGGGAGATTGGCCTTCGGTTGTATGTGGGGCACACGGCCGCACCCACAATAGATGAACTGCAGCAAGAAGGGCGGGGCGGGACGGTGATTTGAGGAGAAACAAGAAATATTGGAGGGGAAGGGAATCAAGAAATTCGGGGAAGTAGAAGTCCTGTGTTTTACTTACAGCGGAGAGCCTGGCGGTTCGCCGTGGTAGGAGTGTCGATTTCGATTGCCAGCCTTGGTCGCAGCGATATTGATGTTGATACTCAGACTGCCGCCCGCCAAAGGTCTCGCACCCAACACGGCTCCGTGAGAGCCCGCACCGATGGCATGGCTATTAGCGGAAAGTGGAATCAAACTCGTCGGCGGCGTGTAACTCGACTGGGGTCGTTGATAGGCTTGAACGATGTTCTTTTGTCCGTCCTGTTTCGCCAGGGTTAGCGGCACCGGCTGCTGCTGATTAACGACCTGATGCTGGTCGCGGCCGAGTGCCTTGCTCAATCTCGCAGTTCGCGCTTTCAGGGATTTCTGGAGGGTGAGCTGCTTTGCTTGCGGCTGCTGGGTTTGGGGTTGAGCCTGACTGGCGTCGGCGGTTTCGCGGGAGGGGCCTGGGACGGGAAAAGGTGCTGGTGGTGATGGTGGGTGTTCTGCCGCTGGAGCTTGGAATCCGACGACAACAACAGCTTTTTAGAGGTCAATCGTTGTTGTTTTTGCCGAAGCTGTTGCAATTGGTAGTGAGGAGCTTGCTGTGATTGATGATGGTGGCGGTCATAGTGAAATGGGAGCTGGTCCCTGAAGACCGGCTTCGGCTGGCTCGTATGGCTCAACATGGTTGAGGTGTGTAGTAGCTCCTTTGGAGGAGAGGTTACCCCGCCGTGTGCTCTCTCTCTCTCTCTCTCTCGCTTTCGAAGCGAGGGGCTAAATGAGCACTAATAGTTCAGTAGATGGTCGGAACGGCGTGTCGTGTCGCTAATTCTGCCGGAAGGTTCTCTCACGGAGGAAATTGGGTGGGAGGGGGAGTGAAAGAAAAGAGTAGCTTGTCCAAGGAAACCAAGTAGTCGTCAAATGATATATGTTGATCGGAAAACTGGAGAAAGCCAGTCCTGGGAGAAAGACCACGAGGCAAGTAGCAGTAGCATAAGACAAGATAGACAAAGACGAATAAAAGTAATAATAGAAATGAAAAAGGCCCCAGCAAGGAATGAGGCACAGAGACAGTGTGGGGATTTCTTGTGGGTGTAAGCCAAGGCAGCGACACCCGGTAATAATAGTCGTTCAACTCAGAAAAGAAATCCAAGCCAAGTCTTGTCACAGAGCGTCACCCCCAGGGCAGGCTGTCGGTAGCTTGTGCAATTTGTTTCACTCCGCACCCACGCCCCTTTGGCGGTCTCGTTTGTTGGCCGACGTGGAAAGGTTCGCAAGCTTCGAGAACCCACCCAGTTCGCAAGGGAACAAGGGGAGACAGGGGATTATTCTCCGGTTCCAGGTGAGGAACGGTCGAGCCACTTCGTACAAGTAGGAGGCACGGAGTAAACCACGAGCAGCTCCGATCGAAAGGGGAAAATAACAGTTTGGGCGCTCGAGCAAGAGTTGCAAAGTTGCGGGCAAGTGGGGGAAGGGAAGGAGAGACCAGACGTCAGTCCCAACCAAGTCTTTTGCGTGGACCGAATTTGGCTAAAGTGCAGAGAGGGCAGGAGCGCGCAGGTTCAGGTTGAGGTGGGGTGTGGGAAGGAGCGGAAGTCACTCTGCGACTTGGCGCTGTCGAGAAAGGGGGCAACGCTGCGCTGCGTCTTTCGACGGCTTGTTCTCCACAGCCTCCTCCTGCTGTCAGATAAATAATGCTGAGATCTAAAAAGGCGTGGGAAAAGGACTGTGCGGCCGTCCGAATTCGATGCTGATGGCGTGGTGAGCGGACGACTCAAAGCCCCGGTACCTATTGTCGAGCCCGAGTGCCGGGCTTAGCCTGGGAATGTGTTCTTCGGCTGCTTTTTTCACCCTTGGGCCTGTTGTCTTATATAGGAACTTCTTTGCCGGATCCCGATTTTGGCTTGATCGTGAAATTCGTGGAAAAGTGGAAAGAAAGAAAATGATCAAGAAGAAAGCGAACCTTAGGCGGTTTCGCACGATGTAGTCGGGTTGGGATGAACGGGATGGGAGGGCGATCTTCGAAGATTTCTGCTGATGATGCTGGTCGGTCGAATTCGCTTTTGAACGGGGCCGATCAAGGCTTCGCAACTCTCATGGCGATCAATGAACAGGCGGGGGCTGTTTCAAATGTCCGTCGCAGTGGTGCCTCTTTCGGAGGGGATGTAAGCGCACGGATGCTGGTTAGCCCACTGCTCAGGTCGAGAGACCTGAAGCAGGCAGGTTTGGGGTATTGTTTCCACACACCCGTGTTTTGCCTTGCACCTCCACTCTTCAAATGCTGTTGCTGGCGACGGATGGTGCTTGGTAGCTTGTAGACTCGGCAGAGACAAGTTGTGCGGGCTCCAATGTGCGTCTGCTTGGCAGTACGATGATGGAATGATATGTTCCTCCGACTAGAAGGACTGGGCAAGGGGAACAGCGCCGGAACTCAAAGCAAGAAAAGGCTGGCTGTCTAAGCTGAACAAGAAATGGCACCTTTTATAACATTCAAAAATGGCATAAAAGATCAGATCCGGAAAGAGTTGAGATCAGATCCTTGGTTGGCGGCCGGCGGGTGGTTCCCTTGTCCTTCCTCTTTAAGCGAATCCGTTTTCCTGGTATTATTCCCCTTCACCCTTAGTTCTCTCGGCGGAAGCACGAGCGGCGGCGGCAAGATAAAAAGATGTGTGTGTGTCGGGCCCAGTTGAAGGGGGCCAAAACTTGGAACAATGGGAAAAGACGATGGCGTCTACGGGCGATCCAATGATGCGTTTATGCCGTGTAGTGGCCCAGGTCAGCAAGCCTTTTGGCGATCTGTGAGGTCCCCAGGTGATGGTCCAAGTCCGGCGAGATTTAGAGACAAGCTGCGCGCCCTCTCTCAAACACTGGTCCAAGACACTGATGCAGGCCCAAGTGTTGGCGCAGCGAGTGAAATGCTCCTTAACTAAGATAAAATAAAGAAGAGCAAGAAAAAAAAAAAAAGAAAGGGGGAAAGAAAAGCGTTAGGCCCGATCGGAACCGAACGCTTAGGATTGGGAAAGCGTCTTTACACGCAAGCGGGCGTCGGCGTTTGGAATTCTCTCGGGGTTCGTGCCCTCGCTGGGATTCTCAACGGCTTGTTAGGATTGCACTTGGTTCTCCGCTCCGACAAAGGGGCCTGATTTGAAGGCGACGGCCGCGAAAGGAGGACTGAGATTGAACAAAGAAAGAGAGAGAACCCAGGCCAAGAAGCCAAGGTGGGTGGGCGAGGGAGAGGGTGGTTTCTTGGTCCCTTTTCTATCACTGATATTCTACGAGTATCACAATCTCACGCCGGTTTCGTCGGTGGGCGGTCTATCGACTAGAACAATCCACGTACCTGGCCAGGCAGAACAAAAGAGGATTTCTGGGCTTCTGCAGGCGTGTGGGCTGAGTGCTGTGTCGAATGCAAGTTCAATGCGCTCAAATAATGCCTCCATGCGTCAGACGCCAGCCTAACGCCTCAGCGCATGTAAAGGCCAAAAAACGTTGATTCGGGCAAGAGAGGTCGATCAATTATTGATCTGTGGATTCATGTTGGGTGATGGGGTTGGTCCAGTCCGCAATGAGCCAGCTCAAGCTCTTCCGTGCCACAAAGGCGGGGGGGGCGGGAACTAGCGAAGCCAGGCGTGGGCTGAAAGATGCTATTTTGGAGGCACATCCACCAAACGCTCCCAGCCAGAACGATTTTAGCCGATGCACAGACTGAAGGAACTCAATGGGGAATCTGATGAGAGAGAGAGAGAGAGAGAAGGACGGAGAGGATTAGAGCAAGCCCGCCACCGGCCAAAGAAAGGGCCCAAGGCTGCGATTATCGTCACCAACCGAATCTCGGCTCCGTCAATCCACCTAGCCCAAGCTTCGAGCAAGTCTCCCAGCAATAGGTAAACGAAGCTCGAGAAACGAGGAACGAGGTGACGAGAAGCGGGAAGGAGCCGAGATGGGAAGCCCCGGGGTGGAGTAGTTTGGCACCACAACTAGTGTAGGCATTCAATGTTTATGAAACGCGGGAGCAGTGGATTTGCCCACGGATGCCATTCGGCTTCAGCCATGCCCACAGTCGCCCATCCATTGTATGTAAGTCAACCTAGCGGCAGCCTGTCATCAATGACCACTCCGGACAGTTTGTCGCCTGCAGTAAGAGATCAGTTGGAATGGATCCATTCCAACTAGGCGGTCACTCGTTTTATTTCAAGCGCTATAGCCAGGCCTAACCACGCTAAGAAGAGCACTGGCACGGCCACCAAGAGCACGGCGAAGGACGGCGAAAGAGGAACACAAATTTCCCAAGAAAAGCAACCATCCATCCCTTTCCCCAATTGTCGGGAGGAGGGCAAGGAGGGGTCGCCGCAGGTCCAGCCCACATGCATAGGTTCGCCGTTTCTGGTTTCGGAGTCCGTCTCCTGGCTCATCTGAGCGAACCAAAGGCGGACCCTACGCAGCAAGGAACAAAAAAGCACACGAGGAGAAACAAACAGCACGTCATGAGTTCACGTAACTATTCGCCTCGGCCTTTCTTTTTACCTGCTAGTAAACATGTATGCACCATCTCATGTCTTTGTTTCTTCTCCGTCGCTTGTTCTCGGTATACGATCCGAGGCGCTAGTTATTACGGAGACTGCCAAGGAGACGAAAAGGTGTAATTTGATTTCTCCCAAGACCTGAAAAGAAGGAAAAAAAAAAAGAAAAGAGAAGAATTGGAATTTGTAACACTCTTTTCCTGAGCGAGCCCCATGTCGCCTGCGTGGCGGTAATAATGGCGCGGAAGGACCACTCTGGACGCGCGTTGAGTCGCTTCTTCCCCAACCTCCGCTCCGCCTCCGTGATGAAGTGGCCCAGTCCGGGCTGCGGAGGCAACATTGAAGCTCGCACACTGCCATCCCCACCCAGATGTGACTAATCCATTGATTTCATCGGGATTCAACATCGCAACATCCTCCGGTCCGTTCAGAGAGAGAACCCGCCAAGGCCCTCTCTGTACATGCTTTTTTTTTTGGGCGCTTCAAAGACAACCTCAACTCCTCACTAGAGAGGGCGTGCTGTTTGTTCATTATAGTCGCAGTTGCAACTGTTTGCGTGGTAAGCCGTACCCCGCCAATTTGCTTGTCAGGCCACCGATGCTCAACACTGCTTCCTTCATCCTTCATCCTTCCCATGCTATTTCCAACACAATGGAGCACTCGCTTGATCTTCCCGACGGCAGCTGCATTAATATATCCGCCAATTTATGTACCCTCCAGTGATCAACATGTTGAATTATAGCCCGGGTCGGAGCAGGTGGCGTGCTTAGCTTGACTTGACTTCCACTTGGCTAAGTGTGAGCAAGTGTCCCAAACTTGGCCCTAGCCACCAAGTTGAAGTTTGCTTCCTTGGGTTGAAGGTACTGAAAAGGACGAAGCCTGATCCTCAAACATCCATAGATTCATCTCGAGTCAACGATCGCTTCTACTGATGTCCAATGCATACCGCCGAGCATGCCCGTCGTCTCGAGTGTCTTAATGACCGGCTACACTCCTCGGCATAGCCCTGGCATTAGCTGGAGAGGAAGTAGGTCTGACCAATGGATGTTTATCGAAAATGTCTCCCAGCCAATTCAGCTGGGAGAAGGCCGAACTGCTCGATTGAAGTATCAACAGGTGCATGGCGGCTTCACTCCATTTAGCCATTGAAAGATCAATTGATATCTAACACGCCCTCTTCGTAACAAACGCTCAGCACTCTTAGATCCCTCAAGATAAATCAATAGATCAATAGATCCATTGCATATCGGTGCATATCGGTGCACATCAATTCACGTCAGAGCTAGCGGCACCCTATATGCCCACTCCGCGAACATGGCGGAGTAAGAACAAGCTGATATCAGTGCCCAACGGCCGCCGAATGATTGCAAAGAACAGCGTGCTCGTAGCCTGCCCGCCAATGTTTCGTCGGTTTGGCGATGACATCGCACTGCCACCTGCCGCATCCCCTTGCCACCTACCCAAGACTTGCCTGCCCTCTGACCACTCAGACGACGCCGTTTTGATCCTTGGCGGAAACAGGGTTTGCAAGGGCTGAGCCGCGGGCACCCTTTTGGGCGTCGAGTCCAGCCCTGTGGAACCTCTCTGATGGACTTTTATTGACACAGCTCCTCTGTTTCAATGCCACTCCTGGGAGGAAACCCCGTAGCCTGCAGCAAGAGGGCGTCGGTGCTTGCCAAAGCCTGTCCTCAAACCCTCAACCGACAGCCCAGCTAGTCTCTTCCGCGCCCCGTTTAGGATCCTCGTCTCACTTTGTCCACCCCTTCTTTCCCATTTGCCGATGACTGGTTTATCATCAGTTGACGCCGCTGGTGCTGGGAACGGTGTTGATGTATTAATGATCTCGTCCCAAGGTGGGCTTTTCGCGCCAACAAGGTCTCAGGACAAAACAATAAGAGGATGTCAGGTGCAGGGTCTGCGGAGGGGCCAGAAATCCACGGCTCGGTGATATTCATCCCAGACGTGGAACAGCAAGCACATATCCAAGGTTGCCTTGCCTCGAGGGGAGAGGTCTTCTCCCCCAAGTCCTAGGCTCTTGGCCAGCGGCCGCGGATTTTCCTCGAATGCGAACGTGGTTGACGAACGCCGCCATCGCCGCCATCGCCGCATAGCCTCCTCCTGCCGGTCAGCTTGCATTCCACATTGTCAACAAGATCAATATTTCGGCAATATCTTGCCTTCTCTTCCCAAACAGGTATCATGTTCCACACACAGGCATAAACCACAAGCCCGGTCAGGCAAGTCCTCGCTGGAAGTTGGAAGAAGGGCGGTCAGCCTAGAATACATGATACTCCTAACCCCGATGATCTTTTTGACGTCTTCTCCATGGCTTCAATGTTCTCTTTTGTTTGGCCGCGTCATCGAGCTAGAACTTCCCACCCCTCAGTCCTCTAGTCCTCCACCTAGAGATGTAGTGACAGCGTACAAGTTCCTCCCTCTTAATGGTCACAGCAGGGCTGTTCATTCCAATCAGCTCAAGCTCTCTTGTCATCAGCGTAGAAGAGAATATTGACGTCCGTATACAACACAGCATGCACGACCATGATGCTCTCTCGGCACTTGTGCGCCAAGCAAAGCCTTCCCTAACCCCAGCCCCTGCCCGCCTTTTTTCCCTATTTTTCTTTTTCTTTTTTTCTTTTTTTCTTTTTTTTTTTTTTTTTTCTTCTCTTTGGGGTTTCCTTTCTCCCTCCCCTTATCAGATGGAAAGTGGAGAAGATGAGGGTGCCGAGAACCTCGAGAGGCTTGGCTCTCTTTTTGGGTGAACTATGAAAGGTATATTACCTCTCCACGCAATTTCCATCAAAATGGCCAAACCAGTGCTCCGTCTATTCTCCGACGTAACATTGGAAGCGACATTAACGGACCTTTAAAAGCTCGAGCCACTATCTTAACTCCCGAGATTGCGGAAGGTTGTCGTGAACCACAAAATTTGAGTCTCCTATGTTGCACCACAGCCCAAAGTGATAGTGAGGCGAGTATTGAGAATTCCATATTCCGGAAGAGAAAGGGGAGCGGCGTGAGAAAAAAAAGAAAAAAAAGAAAAAAAGAAGAAAAAAGGCGAGAAGTGAGAAACAAACAAGAACTGAAGCAACATTGAATCTTCTGCCCATTCGTTCCGCATAGCATCCTGTATCAACACAGCCCACGTTCCCACCATCAGTGGTCTTACTCCATCAATACCTCGGTACTACACGTAGCATTCGAAGACGAAGACATACCCAGTTAACAGATATTAGCCGAGAGCTGGGGGCCAAATGATCATCAAACAGTTCCTAGAGATATTCGAGCCACCTCCGCCACTAAATGGGACATGATAATTGCTCCCCTTTCACGTTAAAGAGTAATTCGATGTTGTGACATGCACATAAAGTCCGGTCCTTGTCGGTGCCGTCTCATCATTTCGTTAAATAACGTTACATGCTAGAAAACAATACAAGGGTCGTTGCTTGTTTCCAATCCTCCGCATAACACGATATAAAATCCTCGTCCCTTCATTACCTGAGCTCAACCGTTCGTTCGGCGGAACTTTTACATCGGCTCTAACCAAGATGAATGATCGTTCGAGATCGTATACTTGCCGCATACTGCTGTAATGGCCTTTTGAGGGGTTCGTCGTAGGGTGGAGCATGGCTTCCGTCCTCTCCATCTACGGATATCTAGCTAGTCATATCAATGGGCCCACTCCCATGTCCCTGTTCTAGCTGGGGCATGAAGCGAGGGGACGTGTAACATTCGTCGACGTGCGAAGGCTTTATGGTAATTAGTCGTAGACGCGACAAAAAATGGCTCGTAGGTGCGACCAGAGCTGGAAGATTTCTTTCTAGACCGCCACAGTTCCCCCATTTTGAACAAGATCAATTGATCCATGGATGGATGGGTTTCCGGACCTCAGCTTCCCAAGCCACGGAAATCTGCTGCTCGCTGCCTGCAGTCGCCCGTATGCAAGCCACCATCGAGCCCTAGCGCCATTTCTCGTGACGTTCATGACAAGGAAATTTGGGGTTTTCGCTCCTAGTCTGCGGGACCGGTGCTGTTTAGCGTTCCGGGTGTCCGTCAGGATTCAATTTTATAGTCCGCCAGCAATCGTAGCGCACATCGCACCAAGCTGTAAAGTCCCGCATCCCAAAAATTTTTAAGGATGTAAAGACGGAGTATACAAATCGTCTGCAGCCAATGCATGTACACGCCTGCGTCAGCTTTCGTCGTCCCCCTCCGGCGAAGCGGACCCTACGTGCTGGCCGTGCCGGCAAATCGTGACCATCAAGGTTAGCATCCGCGTCTCCAGAGTCGGGAGTGAGCGGTCTTTTAACCCCGCCCATGTGCGTATGGGAATCGCCTGCCGTAATCGGTGGTTTTCCAACCATCAACCCTTCATCTGAGGAGGCCATACGCCCAAACCCCTTCCCAAACACGAGCTGCGGTGCCTGTAGCGGAGCCATCTGGGACACATCGTCGGTCGTAGCGTCAACTAGGGGCAGTACTTTGGCGTTTAGGATCCAGTTATAAATGGGGCGGTCGTCAAGGATCGATTTGACCTTGCGATGCTCAGCCTGAGTCATGTTTTGCCTCCTAGAAACAATGACCTCGTCGATGCTATCCCGGAGCACGAGCGTCTCCACCGAAACCGGCTTTTGCTGGCTAATCCTCCTCGCTCGGCCGACAGCCTGGGCCTCGACCTGTGGGTTAAGGACAGGGCTCATAAAGTAAATTCGAGATGCTGCCCACATATCCAAGCCGAAGGCCGCCTGGGTGATATCCATGAGAAGTACTCTATCATGGCACGAGAAGCGAGCGGTCAGCGCCACTCTCTTTGGAAAGGGAAGTTCACGTTGGGTAGGATACACACCTGAAAGTCGGACTATGATTGAAGCTATTGACATATTGGGCTTTCTTCTCGGTCGTCAAAGATTTGGCATAGATGAGGTACGTGATTTGAAGCTGGGATTGAGCGTTAGTTAGAAAACAGGAGAGATCCTCGTGTGCTGCGATGTGCCATTGCTGGCTTTAGGCAACCTACAACATCAAGCAAGCTTGCAATGTACCAAGCAATGTTCTCGTTATCATAGAATACTATGATCTGTTCATCTTCTTGGTACTTGGCAATAGCATCAATGAGGTACGACAGCTTCGCAGAGCCCGTCGCGGTCACCATCGTCTGGGCAAGAGACACGGGGATGCCGTGCTCGTCAGCCGTGTTTGATATCTCCGACACCTGGTTCATTTCCGACTGTATGGTTTCGAGGGATGACAAGACACGGCCCTTCCTTGGGCTTCGATTATCACCGAGTTTGGCATTTCCAGCAAGCACGGCCTGGCGCGGGCCAGCCTGGGTGCTCTCTGATTCTTCCGTCGAAAGCGCTTTCGAGCGCTGTTTGATACCCTCCTCCACGAGACCGCCGTTCAAAAGTCTGTTTAAAGCGGAGGGTGAGTTGACGTGCTTTCGAACCATCTTCTGGAGCGCAAACAACATGGGCGCGTTTGTCAATGTAGGCTCTTCATTCTTGTTATTCAGGGACCAAGCGAAGCCAGCAGATCCTGGGAATGCGCTGACATGGAGTGGAATCTCGTGGAACTGGTTACTCGAAGTTCGAATCTCATTCGCCATTGCGACGTGGCCAAAGGCGATGGCTTGGCGTAAGAGAGCGTCATCCTCTTCACTGATAGTGACATCCTTCTTTTCTAAAAACGATTCGGCCGTTTCGATAGCCTTTTGCAGGTCATCCTTGCTAAAAAAGGAGCCACCAAAAAGCTAGCCTGCCGTAGGTTGTATACTAGCTGCATGAGGGCCTTCTTTTGCCGAGGATGGAAAAAGTAATCTTGATCGGTCCTCTGGGATTGTACTGAGTTGAAAACAATATACATGGCAAATATATTGAGCGACATATTGTCTTGATACGACCCGTCGAGGATCACGACCTTCTCATCGACAGATGGTAGGAGTTTTCCAATCTCGGCGACTTGATGTCGAACAATGAGAGAGCTCAATGTGAGGCGAAGGGAGTCGGTTCGACCCCTGCTTTTAGAGCTGTGCTGGGGCTGCATAACATAAACTGCCCAGTCGGCAGGGGTATCTCCCGGCTCGGTGATGGTGTTTGCCCAAGGACGCACCTTTAAGTACAAGGCTGCCATGGCTCCTATGCGCTCGAGATCTTGTGCCTCGCTCTGATTAGGGCCGGGTTCCGAAGACGCAAGGCTAGCGGCACCCCGGGTCGAGTTTGGGCATCTATTCCGTAAAGTCCTTTAGCGGGTGTACCAGTGACTATCCATCGCGACGAGAACCTAAGCATTTCTATCCCCAGAAGAAGGTTGCTTTTCTGTCGAATCTTGGAACCTCCCAGCTTGTGACCCTCGTCCACGATACAGCGTTTGAAGTGCACCTGTTGGAGAGACCGTAGAGAAACCGGGCTTTGGTTTCCAACGCTCGCTGTGTATAGTGCCTCAAACCTCGTTTGAGCAAACAAGATAATATCGTAGTCGAGAAGCTCTCTAATTTCGAGGAAACCATCCTTTCCCAGGTCGAGGGAGCGAGAAATTGTTAGCACCTTGAGCCCGTCTGTATGCTTGTCGATTTCCTGGCGCCACTGGGTGACCAGGTTGTTTGGCACGATGATAACAGTAGCTTTGCTGAGATAGATGGTAGTGTGTTCGAGCTTTCCCGGCTCTAGATTAAAACCCTGCCGGCCACGGCCGCGCCCGCGGAGTGTCACCCGCGTAGTTTCCGCTGGCGGATCTTTCGGGCAGAGGTATTGTCCTGGATGACGCTTGATTGCTTCGATGCACTTGGAAAAGTCCAAGTCGTATTGATCGCCCGCTGACCTCAGGTGGTACTCCCACGGAACAGAGTTTCGAGTGATGAAAGACGCAGCCATGTCCACAAGCGAGCCCACCTTGGGTCTCACGGGAGCTGCACCCCTATACACATCGGGGGCTAGTGGATATAGATGCTTGGTTGCTAGTATGAGGCTGAGGCAGATGATTGTCTTTCCGGCACCCATCTCCTCGGCCAGAATACCTCCCGAGACGCCGTCATAGTAACGTGGCTCTTTCAGCACAGCGCCTGCAGACTTGTCGTAGTACCAAACTCTACCTTCCTGATCAAACACAGACTCTAGTCTCGGATCCATCGACTGGCCCGGATTTGACTCCTTCTCGAGCATGACAGCAGCGGAACGGCGCTGGTATGGATACAGCATTGTTCTTAAACCAGGAATCCGACTGTTTAAAAGGTTTTGGGCCGCTTCGGATACGTGTGGATCGGAAAGGGAGTCTGGCTGCGGATTAGGAGATGGGAGGCTGTTAAAGAGATTTAGTAATGACTGGTGGCCTGTCCGATCTTCAGAGGGCACAAGTACAGTAGGGCGCGGCGATGACACGCCATCTGAGGGACCACGCGGCCAAATGCCTGCCCAGAACTGTGACGAAAAGTCGAGCCGAGCAAGAAGCTTGCGCCGAGCTTTCTGGAGCTTCACATCACCCCGATCGACCAAGCGACGATCAACGTCGTCTGGTAGGACATACACCCGAAACAGAAGACTTTCGTGCTCGGCGGAGGATCGGTAAGAAAGCAGTATCCACTTTGACAGCACAAGTTCTTGGAGAGGTTTCAACGCTGCACAGCGACTGAGGCAGGCCTCGACAAATCTGGGGCTCCTATCTAGGATCCCGCGCTCTAGGGTATTTGCACCAGATCCTGGGCCCGCGGCAGGTGGGCTATACCACAGCCAGTCCGGCTTGGATAAAAGGTCTGAAAGTTGTTCAGGTGTCAGGCCGGAATTCGTGGCTGGAACACAGAATACGCCAAGGCCTAGATAGCTCTGGAGGGCTGGGCCATCCTGGCCCGCGGAAGCTTCAAGCAGGGCGGCGGGGCTCATGGCAAGAGGCAGCTTATCGATTCATTCTTACACGGCACACTAGTAGGGAAACATATTGCGCCTGGGAACTTAGTGTCGTGCACTGATGGCATATAGGGCATATAGGGTATGTTAGAGGAGGGGGAAGATGAAAGTCAAGCAACGATCCCTCACTCCTTGAAGTTGCCTATCAGCCTATTTCTCATTGCGACTTGACGCTTCTCAAAGGGCAGCTGTCGGCAGTCCGATGCAGCTGTCGGGCAAACCCACAAAACACGTTCGCTGAACATCACCTCTCGCTCATTGCCTAATACCAACAGGACGATTTCAGCCTCTACGGCCATCTTATAGATTCATCCAATTTTAGTATTCTAATTTTTATCGCTATACTTGATCAATAGGCCGACTTTGAAGCCGTTGTACCGTCTCTGATCCTCTGGTAAGAGTAGATTACTTTGGTCAAGATAGCTTATTGATTGATCCAAGGCATCCCTAGCGAAGCTCAGATCTTGGATATCAGAGGTCACGGGTTCTGTAAGTTTATCAGCCGTATCGCGGTCGATTATCCTGTACAATAGTTTGATGGCGTTTTTGGGACCTTCCGCCTCCTCGCTTGAAGAGTAGGATATGCTGGTATTTAGCATCCATAGATGTAGCACCTGCTCGGCGTGCGGCGGTCGAATATCACCACTCTTGACTTCCACAGGACTCTCGTAGAAGATGGGCAGAACAACTGCCTTGGCGGAGCCTGAACGTGAAAATGATGCTAGCAGGGTGGCTGCGAGGCACTCTGGGGCGGTTGGCGCTCTTGAATGTGTCATGGTTTCACAAGTAGCTTGCCATTTAAATAGGCTGATCGAGTGTCGCTCGGTGCTCAGCACTCCAACATCCATGTCACACTTGGCGCAGGTGACGTTATGGAGACCCCGAGGATGCGAGCTATCGCGAGACTGTTCAAGGAGTAAGTTAGGTTGTGCGAACCACTGCCGCTAGCAATGCTAGAAATGTCCTCTCGTTGTTCCCCAAGCACGCCATACCTCAGAAGTGCGCGGTTTACAGGAGAGTCGGCCAAAGCCCATCAAGGAGATGGTTCGCATGAAGCGAAAAAGCATGGCAGCGAGGTTGTTTACTTTTGGGGTGTTGTATCGGTGACCAAGCCACTGAGGCGCATATATAGCTGGCTCGGCCACCTTCTTGCACCCCTATAAGCGCTAGCGAAACGAGATTATATCACCAAATAGACTAAACGTGGGATATTTCCTACCTTGAGATTAGTCGTATCGGAATCGAGTACGAGGAAGGATGCGAGATCCACGAATCCAATCGCTGCCTGGGCTGATATAGAGGCACTTGCCCCGTAGCCTCGGTTGGTGAGATGATCAGTGTCATGAGCTTCGGTATTCTCGGGATCGGGCTTATGGCAATGCCAGAATTCCATCATCTCCGCCCAATTTTCGCTTGGCAGATCTTTCCAAACGGTGATGATCCCGGCGGGGACAAAGGTCGCCTTACAATGGCGACAGAGAATGGCTGACTGAGGACGTAGATCAACCGATGTCCAAGGCAGAGAAGGATATGGGTCGTGGCCCAAGAGATTGTGAGACGGATGCGACTGGCTCAACGGAAACTTCCACGATAGCAGCCTTGGGGTGTTGGAAGGTCTCGCGATAGGCAAGCGCCCGGATACTCCAACAGCTCCCGGCAGGCGAAGATCTCGGGAATCGCTGCCATGATGGATTCCAATGCGGGTTCCAATCTCGAATACCTCGGCCTTAGTTGAGGAGTCAAGGTCAGAGGGCAGCGACACAACAACGGAGACTTGGCGGAGGTTGAGAAGCAACTCGGAATATATAGTTGGGACCATGGTATAATTTGATGGCGCGCTTCCGCCGCGCTGCCTGGGTTATGAGGGAGGGAAAAGACTTGCGGCGTGCATGCTGCGCAAGGTGCGTAGTGTTGACTGAATTAATAGTTGGTCGATCGAAGGGTCGGAAAATCTGTGGGAAAACATCCATTACTCAGTAGATCCATGATCAATGCGACGCGAGAGGTACACAGTCGGACAGTCAACAGTCAAGCCGGCCAGGCACAGTCGCGGCCTAGTTTGCTAGTGTAATAATAACTGTGCCTTCTTTTAGCGGAGGGAATCTTCATCTGTTCCCTGTTGCTCGAAACGGTCAAGCGTGGCCGATGACTGGCCCCGTTAAAAGGTACCTCGTACCTCCATCGATGGGAGCTCATTAGTTTGTTGAGCGTTGGGTGGGACGACTGAGTGACGTCTCTCAGCGAGGGGCAGAATCGGAACACAACTCTCAGATCCGATCCATTCGTCCTTGTCGCATTTTTACACTACGTCGACAGGAACCTGCTCTTCCTTCTATCCCGCAATTCCATATCTGAACAGGGGAAGAGACTTGGGCCATATTATATCTCAGACAAGCCCATGTGCCACATTCAAGAAACTTTAATTCTTTACTTGAACCAGCCGAAGCAAGACAAGTAAACCAGGGGGAGCCACTCACTCATTGCACTTACAGATTGATCTGATCAGTTCATCATTTCACGATTTTGGGTTCTGTCGGCGCCCATAAAATCGCTGCAGATCCCAACCTTGTCGCCTGACATCAAATCAATCCACATTCAACTAACAACACCCCTCATTCGCGCTCCTTTCTTTAGCAGAGAGCAACGCTGTGACGGCTGCTCACCTAGTTGGCGCTGATAACCATGTCTTCGTTCCTCTCATATATCCCCGTGGTCAACCGGCTGGTGAGCTCTCATACCCCGGCGGACCAAGTCTTTGACTTGTCTCCTCCCGAGACTCACAACATTGAGACGAACCCGGACCGTCGTGCGCGGAGGCTCAAGCATCTAATCAAGGCAAATCATGCTAATTACTCCATCCTCTACCATGACCTCCGGTTTCACAACCACAACGCTTATATCCTTACCTCAGCTTACCTTCTCGGTGCGAATGAGGACCAGCTCCGGACGCTCTACGAAAAACAAATAGGCGAGCTTGAGCCGTGGTCGGAATCTCCCTGTGAAATCACAGAGGATGACTGGGTTGAGTACTTGGGCGATGGAACTTACCAGCGGGCGTTTGTGGACTTCTTCGAGGATCAGCTGGTGATGCGTTTCTCCTATGACTGGAAGAAGCTCTTGGAGAATTATATGTTCCAAGATAAGAGGCCGCTGATCAGCGGACTCTTTGGAGGTCGTAAGTCCTATGACGCGCACATTTTCCCTCACTTATATATCCAATTTCTTGTCTTGTCCGGCGGAATTAAAACGTCTAGCTCACTGCTAACCACATGACCTTTAGTTGGGCACCCCTTGATCCATTTTGGCTATGCTTACGAGGTCAATTCGAAGGAGCTTGCAATCGAGGCTCTAACGATGTCCGCTGTGCAGTTGAACTACTTCCACAAGTATCTGGACAACCCGAGTTATACGCAGCCATCCTCCTTTTCAACCTATTCCCTTGCTGAACTTTTAGAGAAAGTAAGGGCGGATTCTCGCTTCAAAGATCTGTTTCCTACGCGGCGACTTGAGAATATTGACCAGCTTTTCGAGAACCACGAGAGCTTGGTAATGGAGTACTGGAATGCTTGGGAAATCAAGGATCCCGAACAGCAGTTCGAAGAGTGTCAAGCGACTGCAGTGTCCCTTCTTGTAGCAACGGTTGCTCCCGGAACGCATAGCTACAACTATCTCTTGGTCCATGTCCTCACTACTAGTCATGCTATAAGGGTATTGCTCCCGCTCATCCCCGAGAAATTCCACGCCATATTGGTCCGCGGTTGGGTCCTTTATACGTTGGCCATATATATCTCGCTCCTTCGGCCTGAGATTGATCCCGACTACGTCGATCCGTCCGCAATCCTGAAAGGTAGACACTGGACTTATGTCGAGCATCAGGCCCTCGTTTCGCCATGGTCTGCAGATGCCCATTTCGTTGAAGGTTCGTCTTATAACCCTTTCTCCACTCGTAAAAAAATGCAAAACATGACTAGGTAGAAGGAGGAGGAGGAGGAGCTGGGAGATGAAGCTGTTGGGGTGATCTTTAGCACTTTCCATCCTGGCTTGCTAACAAAGCACTATTTTTAGCTGTCCGTGCTATAAAAGGGGTAGCTCAAACATGGGGCGATGTCCACGAGCGCCATCTTGCAGCCGCCGTTCGGTTTGTCGACGACTTCCACGGCTGGAACTTCACGCAATAACTTGAGAGGGCCGATGACACCATATCAGAGTCTGTTCTGCATGGAATTGGGTGCCTGTCCCGAGGGCGGTTGGCGATGGCACCATTTACGGTGCTGAGCGCACCTATCCGAGGTAGGGGCGGAATAGTCAGAGTTTGACTATCCAGAGAGTTGTTGAGAAGCAATAGATAGGGAGCAAAGGGGGGATGGTAGGAGAAGAAAGCCCCGTTCTAGAGCTGTGTTCTCGTCATCTCAATTCATTCCTCCGTTCATAATTTCGGTGGCTGTCCTCTGAATTGAGGAAGGGTTGATGGAATCAATTTGGTACGTTCATGTGATAGCACGATGGTGATTATTAGCGCTTAGGGTGGGAGGACGAGATGTAATGCTGGGAGGCAGACTAAATTTAGAGCCAATGAATAGCCGTTAGAATTGAAGGACCCTCAAGAATTGAATGGAATTGATCTGGAGAAGGAGCACTTAAGGTGGTGTCGCCCTGTTATCCACAGTAAAGCTCCGCCCTATCAGCAAGGCTGAAAATGATGGTCCCACTGTGCTGATGATCCCCACGCAACCACGTAAACAACGGTAACTAACTTATTATCGAGCCCACCTGCCCACTCCTTGATCTTTTATCATCCACACTCGGCTCGTCGAAGATTGTCAACAGCAGCATCTGCCGAGTTCCCGCTCAACGCCGGTACCCTTCAAAACTGACCCATCTCAATAGCGCCATCCCCGAATCGAATTGTCCATCCCGCCTCCCCACGATTCTCAACTCACTAACCGTCGCGTACTTCTTATCGACTCAATCCATGACTTCCCTCTAGTCGGGCGCCCTCTTCCCACTCAATGGCGCCGCCGGCGAAGCGGCGAAGGAAGAATGTTGTCGAGACCTCCGATGAAGAGCCAGATCGGCCACAAGACAATGTTTTGACTCGATTTCTCAACTCGTCCCCCGCCAAACCGGGTTCCTCCAGTCGTGCCATCACTGCGTCCCCTAGCCCGGCCAAGAAAGGGACAAGAGGCGCCTTGAGCGTAAATATTCACCGGTCCTACCTAGGGAGATATGTGTGCTTCTGGATATATGTATTAATGCAAACATGAATTTCTTAGAGTAAGAACGGTGCGAATGCGAGTCCATCTGCGAGCCCCGAGAAGCGCCGATCCCAAAAGAAGACAAAGATCGAGGAGAAGGGGAGAACGGCCGACCTCCTCACGCTCTTCTCCAAGCAGGTTCAAAATCCCAGTCTTCTGCCGCCACAGCCCAGGCTCAGGCCAAGACGGAGCCCTTGGACGAAATTACGGCTGATCCCATTTCTGACGAGGACGATGTTTCGTATCGAAAGGCGCACGTCTCCTCCATCGTCGGGGAGAAGGCGAAAAACGCCTTTGGGGCGACACCCAGAAAACTTCCATCAGCTCGACTCCGAATCCGACCCAGATGTTCGTGAGACCGCCTAAACCCGCCCGTCTACGCGGCGCAGACGATGACCTTCGCCCATGGTCGGAGCGGTTCAGGCCGCTTACCCTCGACGAACTAGCCGTGCATAAGAAGAAGGTGGCCGACGTTCGCCGCTGGATAGAAGGGGTCCTTAGCGGTCAGCTGAGGCAACGCATTCTCCTCCTCAAGGGAGCCGCCGGCACCGGCAAGACAACGACAGTAAACCTACTTGCCGAAGACCTGGGCTGCGAACTGCTCGAGTGGAAGAGCCCCCTTGGGAGCTTTGTCCCTGGCATGCAGTCACCCTCTGCTCAGTTTGAAGCCTTCCTTGGCCTGGGCGGCAAATTCGGTGGCCTTGAGCTCGAGGCTGCCGGGCCTGAGAACCAAGCGCCGGCAACCCATCCAAGGTCTGCTAATCTACGGCGGCTGATACTTATCGAAGAATTCCCCAATACCTTTACGCGGTCTTCTACCGCCTTAACTAGCTTCAGAAACGCTCTCTTATCATACCTCAACGAGAATACGCCTTCTGCGGCCGACTTTTCTCGGCCAAACCAACAACCTGTGACCCCAGTTATACTGGTTGTTTCGAAACGCTGCTTACGACCACGTCATCTTCGGCTGATAGCTTCACGGCACATCGTCTGTTAGGCCCGGAGATAATGCGGCACCCGGGCACTGGGCTGATTGAGTTCAATGCCATCGCCCCCTCCCTTCTATCCAAAGCCCTAGAGTTGGTCGTGCTGAAAGAAGCTAGGAAATCGGGACGGCGCCGAACACCCGGCCCAGAAGTGCTCAAGCGTCTTGGAGACATTGGCGATATCCGAAGCGCCATCTCATCCCTTGAATTTTTATGCCTCAAAGGGGACCAGGATGCCGACTGGGGTGCCAAAATTTCGTTTACAAAACCGAAACGCGGAGCTAAGAGCGGAATCGTTTTGACGCGTGGGGAGTCAGAGAGCTTAGAGCAGATTACGCAACGAGAGGCTAGCTTAGGAATATTCCACGCTGTTGGCAAGGTCGTCTACAATAAGAGGGACGAGCCTTTGGCCAGCAGCCAAGTGGAGGCACTGCCGTCCTTCCTTCGGCACCACGCACGCCCAAAACGATCCCAGGTTGCGGTGGATAGCCTGATTGACGAAATAGGGTCGGACACTGCCACATTCATCTCTGCGCTCCATGAGAATTACGCCTTGTCATGTGACTCCTCATGCCCTGGAGAAAACAAAGATCCCCTCGATTATGTCAACGGCTGTATCGACGCGTTGTCGGACAGCGATCTCCTTTGTCCATCCCGGGATTCCTTTTGGTGGCAGAGGCGCGTTTGGCATTTTTGGCAGGGACACTGGCAGCCACATTGTTCGGCAGGACGAGATGGCCTTCCAAGTCGCTGTCCGCGGCATGCTCTTCGCCCTCCCTCACCCCGTCAAAAGAATAGCATCGGGGGCGGGGAGGAGCCAGGATTCGTTCAAGATGTTCTACCCGACTAGCCTCAAGCTCTGGCGCGCAAAAGAGGAAATGGAAGGTCTTGTAGATTGTTGGTCTACTAAGTTGCTCAACGGCGAGGACCACCAGCTGCAGAAATCCCGATCCCTCACAGATGGGGCCAGCCTTTTCCTCCGTGCCGCTCGCAATCATCACCAGCTCCCTACTAAGGAGAAAGCTGATCACCAGAATTCCAAGGGTCCCGGGAATGAGGCCGCCGCCCCTCTCCTCTCCTTGGGTAGCGCAGCCCGCTGTGAACTCCTTCTCGAGAGGTTACCGTACATGGCACTCATTGGCCGAGCTCGGAGGAAGACGACGCTAGCACAGCGTGATCTCGAAAAGATTGTATCTTTCCGTGGCATAGGCACAGCGCCGGAGGACGAGAGCCTTGTCGACGATGTGGAAGAGGGTGACGGCGCCACCGGAGAAACGTGGGCCACGGATCGCCCAACCGAAGATGCATCGCCGAAAAGAAGGCCCCGGCCAGAATTCGGGTGCGAGGTGTAGGAGCTGGTGGGCTGTCATCTGCCGTGGCAGGCCTACAGGTTCAGAAGTTAGTCCTGAGTGACGACGATATTGAGTCCGATTACGACTAGTCTAGCAGCAGAGTTCGGGAGCAGCGATTAGTTTACAAGAAACAGAACTACATGTATATCCCTTTAGCCCTCGGGCCTTACTTTCACATATACCTTGTACTTATTGGATTGGAAGTTGAGGAGTTCAGGAGTATCTATTTCTCTTTGGTGTTAAGATACAGTTGTATCGGTTCAATAGCCGAAAAAGAAAAAAATATATCAATAATGGTTCAAATGCTGTCCATACAGCTCAATTATCCTTTAGGTCAAGAACTCTTCTTAGTTGAGAGGAAGCACTGGGTTGAAGTCTGTGTCTCAAAAGGTACATGTAAAACAAGAAACTAGAGGCTCTATGAAGACCATCGAATGGAACTAAAAAAACAAAACACAAGTCTAAGAGCAACAATGCCAAACCACATATGCATGTGCCCATTTGAATGCTAAAGAGAGAGAAAAAGCCAAATAACAGAAACAGGCCATACAAATCATGAAAGGCTCCAATGTGCTGTGTCGAGATTTTGTGGGATCTTTACGCTTTTATGCCGTCATTGCTCCAAACTCCCAAGATGAAAACAAGAAACCGGGGGAAAAAAAGAAGCAAAAAAACAGCTGAAGGACCAGGACAAGAATAGAAGAAATCAGTTGTCGTAATAGCAGGTGAGCGAAAGGAGGCAATTTGACACTGATGCATCAGATGCAGAGTGAGTTGTCGCGCGATTCTGGGGTTCATCGATCATTAAGCGACGCGCTCATTGAAAGAGTTGTGTGGCGATAGCTAAAACCAAGAGAGGGAGAGAAGCGCAATAAGCTACTAGATCGAGGGCTGAAAAAGGCGTATCGGAATTGATTAGCTTGTCGTCTAAGCAAAGAAAAATGTCTTCCGCTTCTTCTTTTTATCGTCATCCTTCCCAAGGATGTCATCGAATGTGGCTCCTCCCTGTCCAAGGGGAGATTCGGGGCCGGTGACCGAGTTGTGGACACTAGACAAGGCCGACAAGTTGCCGACCGACGAGCTCCGGTGGCTGTGGAAACCACTAGGCCCGGCTAGGTTTGCAGAGCTGCCTCTGTCGTGGCTCACTATCCGCGAGCTGCGGTCCCCAGGGAGAAACAGGCCATCTGGAAGGTCAAAGACGGGCTCGATACCAAACGCGATGCTGGACCGATGGCTGGGGTTTACATTTCGTACGGGGAGCTGTCGCGGGCCAGGCGATTGGTTTCGAGGGCGGATAACAGGAGAACCGGCCATGCCTGGTGAGGGTGACGTATCGATGCTTAAAGTCGAAGGAGTTCCAGCCCTTGGCCCCATCGCTAGAGCGGCAACCGCCGCCGGTGAAGAGTTGAAGCCTTCATCCGCTAGTGCGGACGAAACAAGAGAGAGATGTCCATCACGGGCTCCAGCCTCCCATAGCTTGGCAGAGAGCCAGCAATGACTCCGGTGATGTATGGCCTCTACGCTGAACAAGACGGCGTCCGCCGATAGCTCAACGTATCCGGCGCCGCCCGATACTTCATACCACAACTTGCGAACCTGGCTGCCATCCTCGGCCCAAGGAGGGTTGCCCATGGGGGTTCACAGAGGAAATACTCGACGCCCTCGGTAAACATCAGGCCTGGGGCGTCGATAACCAGGATAGGCAATGACTGAACCACGACGTACATGAACAGCCAATAGCCTACCCTCTGGTCTACCAAATCGGCAGCCGACTTTCCCTTGCCCTCCTTTGCCTCGAACTCCTTAAACTCGGCGAGGAAGGGATTGCGGTGGTTAAGGGTGTTGGTTTGATAGTCATACGACTTTTCGAGAACCAGCGTCAATTCGTTGCCTTTGACCTTCTTGTCAAACTTGGACTGCTCCTTGGGGGTCATCTTGTCGTAGGTTTCCAGGATAGATGTCATGGTTGGGAGCATCGGCACATCAAAGGGTATGGGGGAGCACGGGTGGAGAAGAGTTGTCAAACTCGGAGAGCATGCGCCTCAAGGCTGTGATGACGGGGTCATCTCCCTCCTGCATCTCGAAAAGCCCTTGGTCAATAACCCTGGGTGTCAGAGACTGCCGGTCAGCCAACAAGTCGTAAAGGGCGCACATATCTGAGTAGAGCGCCTTGAGCACGAGCCTATTGAGACCACTTTCCGAGAAGGGGTTCTTCCTGCTGCTGGCCTTTGGCGGCCAGCTTCCGAACACAGACTTGTAGTAGGAAAGTGTGAAGTGCCGCATGCGGAGAAACGCATTTTTCCACTGCTTGAAGCGAACGGCTCGAAACTCGGTCATGGATGTAGAATTGGCCACACCGGCGAAGAGTGAAGGGAAATCGAATTGCTCAATGCGCACATTCACATTGTGCTGTCGGTTGAGCAGATCCAAGTGCGCCCTGTCGAGACGCTGGCGAGTCTGGGCGGAAACCATGGAAAATAGCTGGGATTTCAGGTCGACGATGGCGGAATACTTTCCGACAGCATGCGCAAAAGCTTCATTGTACAGCTCGGCCGAACGCATTCTCTCCCCGAGTACGAGAGCCTCGACCGTCTTCTCGCGGCTGTTGCGGACGTCCCCAAGGCCGATTTGGCGAATGTAAAAGCCAAACGAGAGGTCCACCTCTTGGCCAAACGACAGCCCATCGTAGCTCGTAAAAGCGAACTCTTCCAAGAGCTTGGAAATTTCCATAAAAATTGCAAAAGGAGATGGTTGCGCCCTGGTTCCGACGAGCGGTTGGCCAGTCAAAAAGCAAAAAGATTGCGAATTGAGATTAACCGCTCTAACTGTGCCGCGGCGTTACGAGGGTCCCGATTCCCGGCCGCCGGGGATGGGATGTATAGGTGATATTCAGGGGAACCATCTGGGCCGGACTCTTGGGGCGTAGGAGGGCTTGCGGACCGAAGTTGCATCGCATCTTCTACCGACAGCCGATTGCGACGGCCGCCGGGTCCCTTCCCGAGGCCAAATGTATTTTGGATGAGTTCCGTAAAGATGGGCGATGACGCGATGGACGTGCTTGGGATTTTGAAAGACGGCCCGTGGCCTGTCTCGAGCGGGTAGAGATGAACACAGATGTTCGCCGCGTCATTCCAAAGCTCGGGCACCTGTAGAATCGAGGTTAGCGTCCGCATTCGCAGCTTCCCAACTCGAGGGGATACATTGAAGACTAATACACATACCTTTTCCCCTTTTACAAGCAAAGATGTGTTATACTCTATGCCGGAATTTTCCGAGCCCATGGGACTAATAACCCATGCCTCGACCGGCCGGCTACTAGTGTCATGAGAATTGGACCGTGATCTACCGCCAGGAAGAAAACTTCGCCGTAGCTTCTCGGCCTTTCGGGGTGGACTTTGCTCAGAGCGTTGGGCACTGGCTGAGACGTCATAGGGCTTCACGAGGACGCGGTTGTCCCGAGCTGGCGATGGCTGTGCCGAAATGCTGCGAATTCTCGGTTGGTCAGTCGCCTCCAAACGTCCCGTACGTTCTGACTCCTTTTCGTCTAGGGTTCGGCCTTGAAGTGAGCTTCCTCGCCGTCGCTCGGGAAAATGAAACATGGGTTGAGGTTTTTGGAGTTTCCTCGGGGCGGGTGTCGGGAACAAGAGGAGGAGATGGGGAGGGAGATGTCTCTTTCTGGACGGCTGGGGACGATTTCGATAGGAAGGGAGGCATGGGGCTTGGCAGCCTCAAGACACTCCGCTTCTCGGATAGGCCTGAACTCGTCATTGTATCGAGATTAAGGTCCGCTGCATCTAGGACTGTGGTAGTTGAAGGCAGCCGACGGTCTTTGGGCGGAAGAGGCGGCGGCGGGGGAGTGCGGGACAACTGTGGTTGAGAGATTTCGGCTACTGGACCAAGGACACTGGCGCCAAGACCAATAAGCGGTTGTTGGAATTGTCCCTCGGAAGGCTCAGGGAGGTCGAGAGGGCCAACGGCGTTTGGCGAAGAAATTGTTCCTGGGAGATAGGTGAAGGGAGGGGAGGGGATGAATCTCGCCGAGGGATCGGTTTGCGCTTGATGGCATGCGCCGCAGAGGAATCTAGCCAGAGTCAAAGTGTAAGTGGACGCCGAGGATGGGCACTGAGGTAATTTATGCAATATTGTAGGCAGCTCGTGTTGGATGGGTTGAGTCGGAATGCTTTCAGCTTCCGTGGCACAGAAAACGGGCGGTTTCCACACTTTCAGCTTGTACCACAGTCATAGAGGGGCCGAAGACAGAGAGTGCCAAAGAGAGGGTCAAAGAAAGGGCCAACAGAGTGTGGTGTTTAAGTTCCACCAAGTCTGGAGGAATGGAGCGGGGAGGTCTTGGATTTTGATCGTTTTGGATCAAAGAAACTTTTCTTCCCTCCTTGTACAAAAGAAAAACCGGGGTTCGAGCTCTTGATTATCGGGAGGAGAAGAATGGATAGATGAAAGGAGGGGGCACTTCATTTGATTTTTTTTTTTTTTGGCTGTGGAGGGACAGAAGATCGAGGATGGTTTAACAAGAGAACAGGTACAAAATGTGGTACTTACTCGACGTCATACTCGCCATTCTGGTTGAAAGTGACGGCGGTACCAGGCCGCGCGGGTACCTGGGGGTCGACTTCCCAACTCTATCCAATCAGATGGGGAGTGGCAACACGAACGCACGACTTGGGGCCACCTCCAAAACAATGGTCTCCAGCCGGCTGCTCTCCACTCGACGGGGTGCGCTGGAATTGATTCTGGCGGGGATCGCTTGAGGGATTGATGAATGGGTGGATGGGTGAATGGTGGGTGAGCCAAGGTCTCGTTTCTGGGTGGCTGAGCTAAGGCGGGCTTGGTGGTGGAGCCGGCTGTGTGCTTCAAGGATGGATATGCGGAAAGTGGGTTCAAAGTGGGCTCAGTGGCTTCTGCCTCGTGTCCCTCGGGCTGTCAAGACAAACCGAATCTGGCGAGAGGTAAGATGAGATCGTCAGGAGAATATTTTGCATCTCCGGGTGAACGGGCGAGAGGGTAGAAAATGTCTTCGGCGATGGCGCAAACTACCTGAAGCTGAACGCAAGGTCTTGGGATGATAGTCCGAAAGCTGGTGGAGATGAAATCGTCGAATATCCTCAGTCGAGGCAAGGCGTCTGGCAAGGCGTCTGGTCAGGGCCTGGGCCTGGCGTCTCAAGCTCGCACTGGGAGAAAGGGCTCCTGTTTGTTCGTTGCCCCGTCGGCAGCCCGCTACGGCTCGACATCCACAATATTCGTTCTTATTTTCCCTTTGTCGCTTTCCCGTGCTCCTCAAGTCATTCACCTTCGCAGGCTGGCCCCTTTCACGGACAAGATTCCACTAGTGGGACGCCGCTCGATGGACGCTGCAAATGACGCAACCTGCCGCGTCTACTTTCGGAGCTGACGAGAGCTGAGTCGATTTGTGCTGCAGGCACCCCGGGCGACGAGGGCGACGAGTAAGTCTAACCAAATATGTAGTGGTAAGTGCGACCGAGGTCCTTTGCATACCCAGCACCAAGTCGGCGAGACTACAAGTTGGGAAATGGAGAGAAAGGGAGAGGGGAAAGAGAAAATAAACCGGATCCAAGAAAAGAGGACAGGACGAGAGAATTTTGGTGAGTTGCGAGGCCGAAAGGGGGAAAGAGAAAGACGGAGTAATGTTAAACGGATGCAAACAGTGTGAGCTCAACAGAGAATGAAACAGCCGGGTGGGTTTAGACCGCCATGGATCAAAAGGGATTCCAAGATCGATCGTCTGTCAGTCGATGTGTCTACCAATCCGCAGCTTCCTTTGCCTTCAACGTTCTGGGCCACGGGTTGGCCAACGAGACCGGGGTGCGAGCCTCATTTAAACCGGCTTGGGTTTAGGCTCCAGGAAGACCTCCAAAGGGCCCCAAAAGCACTGAGTCTCCAGAGTTATTCTGCGGTCCAGGGGATCCTCATCCCCCTCATCCTGGGGTTTGGGATCTGATCCTGGGAACTAAACTGCGGAACAGCGGGAGAAGCGAGCCCGCCATTCGCTCACTTCGCCCAGGCCCAGTCTGCTCCAATCGTGGGGCGGCGTGGGCATGGCCAGCCAGCAACCCCCTCTCGCCCCCGCCTGAGGCTTCTACACCAACGAACCCAAACGAAGCGACAATTCAACCAACCCTCTGCCGCGCAGTCGCGTCACGATTGAGGCAGGCACCGTCATCCTTCCGGCTCCATGCTATTAATGGCCACTCCCCTTTCTAGCCTTGGCCGATGATTCGAGTTTCTCGTGGGGGCTGCTAAGCTGAGGAAGGATCAATGTGCGCTTTTGGGTCTACGCTCCGTCACCAGGCTTTGCAATTCGATTAAAAGACTTGTAGAGCCAAGCATGATGCTCGGTACACTGCCGATAGTCTCGGTGCCGCCATCGCAAAACCGAGGGTGTTCATATTTCATACATCTATGGATGTACTTCATTTTCGTACAAGAGCCAGTCATTCAGCCAACCATCCCGAGATATTATTAGCACGGGCTGGTCAGCCGGGTGCGGTGCAGTGCAGGAGAGAGACATCATGCGCCACTCAAAACCGTTCGTCCCATCAACATGCTAAACTGAAAAGAAAAAGAGGAGAAAAAAAAGGCAGAAAAAGGATATAATTGTGAGCTGTGAAAGAAGAGCACAGCACACAAAGGAAGGGGGCCGATCATTTTAGCATCTCACTCGGTAGATCGATCAATCTTCGACCCGGGGATTGATGCCACCCCAAAGGAGGTCCAAAACGTGGCCTGGTTGAAATGGACAATGAACAGCATAGGGCAGGACAACTTCCAGTAGGTAGTCAAAAGAAAACTCGAGTGCGTTGGCCGCAAACATTATCTGTATTGCCTCTACAGACATTACATGTAGACATAGTTGCCGAGTTTTATCGCAGGATCAGATACAAAGACTGGGAGAGACATCCTTCAAAAGCTTTGTCCATGTATGGCGTGAATGCAACGCTACCAGCAGAATGATGAATCATTGACCCAAGTCCCAGGCCTCGTGCGCAGCTGCCACGAGGGTTATGTCTCAACCTTCTCCATGCATCCATTGACAGATTGATCTCGAACTCGGACTATTGTCTCAGATGCAAAGCCGAATGACGGGCCTAGAAAACCGAACAGCCCCTTCTCCGCCACATCTTACCCACATTGATCCTACCCACATCCATCCCGAAATCGTTGCACTACGATTTAAGTTGAAACTCTCAACAGCTCTGCCCCGTCACCCTCGCGGAAAAGCCAATTTACATCAACGGATCCTAGTAATAAGAAAATTCATAAGCGTTCACAGTAATGGGAGGATGACCACCACCGGTACCCTCAGTCGATGTGGACGAGCCCCGATCGGGACGGTGTTCCCGGACTTGTACAAGTATGAGCATGTCATAATTAGAATCTTACAGGTTGATCGACTAAACTCGAGGTCTGTGCCCTAGATCGTAGTATTATCCCAAGCGACCTTGTCATCGCGCTGCATCAGGTCATCATTCGCAGCTCATCTACGACAATGGTCGAGCAAGGGGTCAGGGTTGGTTCCGCCACCGCCACCTGTATGTTTCTTCACAGCTGGTCACAGCTGCACCCAGGGTTTGAGGGTGGCGCTTCATCGCATCATCGAACCCAACTTCAAACCCGGCAGACAAGTAAATCAACTTTCTTGATTAATAGGGCGCGGTCTCTTGCTTGGATCGGATCAGCATCCCCTCAAAAGACTGGATGCAACCATCGGACATATCCAGTGACGTCGCCGAAGGCTGCCCACCCCGCCGCAAACAACTCGAACACGTAGCTTAAGGAGGGAGGGTGTTCGGCGCCCGAGCAGCCCAACTCGGCATCAGAATCTCTTGCACGTTTACCGGCTCTACGAGTGAGAATCTCCAGCGAGGATGTACAGCAAAAGAATTCGCTAGGGTTCATGCAGATTCTTTTTTCCCCTCTCCTCCCTCTTCTCTCTCTTCTATTTTGAGAAGGAAAGCGAGGTTTGTGGTTGATGTTGTTAGTTCCAGCCCGTCAACCCCCTTCAAAAGAAATCTGTGCAGCATTAGATGGTGGCATCTTTTGATGGTGATCTAATTGAAGTACTGGGGAGGCCCCCTTGGCCTTTCGGTGCCATCAATCTCCTTTTGACTTGCGGCGGGCTGTTTCTTTGTTTGCTAGGCTGTCGCGACCCAGAATCTTACGAGCTTTTGGCTGGCCTACAAGTATCCATCCCTTGCTGTACATCTAGGAGCCTTCTACTTAACCATGCCCTTCGGCGATAGGCGACGGAATGGCGCCTCATGAGCCAGAGCCCCTCATAAGTGGTATCCTGTCTACATGTAGTCTAGGCAGGACTCGAATGCACGTCGCAGCCATTTCCACGCCCTCCCAACTGGTGAATGGGCCACGAAGTCAGAATTGACACCCAAATCCCGCGTAGGCCTGACTCTGACTACCGATAACTCTGGACCAATTAGCAGTCTTTTCCAAAGCACTTGTATCGTATCTAGAACTGAAGAGAATGGCAGCTCTGAGAGAAAGAGAGAGCGAGAGATCGCGATCCCTCAGATGGAAAAGCTGTCCGACTTCAAAATTCCAGGAACCTTGATAGAATGCAGTTCAACCTGTCGAGGGGCTTGATTCAAGGCGCTCCCCCGAGCCGCTTCTCAAGTTGTTCCATCCCTTTGGGTGCCGCATCAGGGATATAGGAGTAGCGGGTAGTAAGTATAGGCCCCCGTGCTTTGTTCAGGTTCAACGAGAAACGTAGCCCCAATGGGGCTTGCCGAGCGGCATTGGCGACGATTAAGCCTTTCTGGATATGACTTCAGCGATGATCTAAGCCGTTAGTTAGTAACAGTAGTGTGAAGAGGATGAGATGAAGGTTGTAGCTTAGGACGGACATAAGCTGCCACCTTTTAACCAACAAAGGATTGTTCTTTATGTTGGTGTTGGTGTCATCGTTATCGTTGTTGCTGTTGTCGTTGTTGTCGTTGTTGTTCCTGTGTTGACTTTCTCAACAGCCCTCGTGTTGGTGTCAGGCCACGTTGACGGATATGGACACTCGGGTGGGGGTGCAGAGGGCTGGTGGTGTCATCAACCTTGTCGCGGGGCCCATCCTAACCATGGAATATACTTGCTGCCGTTTCATTTCCGGAAGGGTATATGGATAAGGGAGAAGCGTGAACCTAGTGTGCGCGGCTTCTCTGCTGGGTGGGAGTTCCTGGCTTGCCTTGGCGGTTCAAATTTTCGGTGTAAGTGCTCGCTCTCGACGCTTCGCCTTCCTGCATCCGAATTCCTGTGGGGTGAAAGACACCAAAAGTGAGCCGTTCTTATACATGGGCCTTCTTTTTCTTCCCACATCTACCTCGGCACTAAATAATCCGTAGTTTCTTTTTCCCTTTATTTGTTCTTTTTCTTTCTGGCAAAATTGATATCCACACCCCTCCTTGAATTCCGACCCACACGAATTGATGCGCGTGGTAACTACTCCAAGTCAAAGGTTCAATAGTCAAGTAGTAGTACTGTCAACTATAACAGCCATGGAAGGATTAAAAAGGATAAGGGACCCCCAAAGAGAATGATGACAGTAATGCAGACTCCAAAAGTCCCGGAGAATCAATGGCGGGTCGGACCGTCCTAGTACACAGGTTTAACGGGAGAAGGGACTAAACTAATGGTCCGTCTGAATGTCATGGTAGAACAGTCGCAGGCACGACTGGAGGAGGAACAAACCCAGTAAGCCTAGGGCGCAGCGAGCGGGCTGTAGGACAGGCAGGATTTTGGCAGCCTCATTCCATAATGGAGGTCGGGCAGCAAAAGTAGACAAAGAGAGAAGGAAAAAAAAAAAAAACGGCTACCCCCTCCCCGAGATCTTGCCTGCATTGGCCCGTCTGTCTGTCTCTCAAGGGACATGATTACAGGTCGGCCAAGGTAACCTAGAATCTGCAAGAAATCTGCGGAGCTGCGGGAGCTTCCGCTTCCCCGATTCGACTAACTACGCGGCGCTTGCGGAAGAGACAAAAAGGCGCTGTTGAAGAGAAGAGTGCGGCCCACCATCGTGATGGACCTCGATGCTTGATTCTGGTGACACCCCTTTGGCGCGCCGGAATAAGCTCGAGGAAGGGGTGAAGTCCTTTGCAACAAGTCACATGACCGATCACGGGCCATTTCTTCAAGATTTTGTTCAATTTTCGGTGGGAGGAGACTAAATGATTGGTCGAATTCGGCCAGGGTCAGGAGGAATTGACCAATGAAATGGGCAGTTGCGACCGAGTCTGGGTCCGGGGAAGAGAGGAAAGTCGAGGAGGACGGAGGGGAGGACCCCAAGCTAGATGGAGAATAAAATCTATTGCGCGAGAGGCGAATCTTAGTTGTCTCATTCTCGTGAGGGCTACTATTGACATCGTTGAAAAGTTTAGACTTCAATTGCCAAAGCCATCTGATAACTCAGACCCGCACAGCAGATCCCGAGACATCGACGCTTACACGCACACCCCACCCCCACCCCTTGGCTGCCACTGAGATTGGCAGCTGCGACTTACACGGCTAACAGCAGCGAGCTGCCATATTGGACACAACCCACACCTCCCAGCCATGGCTTCACCCCTACCCATGGGACCTGGCTTCGTCCCGCATATGCCATTTTCTGCGGGTGATAACGAATGTGAAAAGTACTTTGACTTGTTTGACTTTGGGGCGTGGGAGCGGGACCAGGGTAACGGGGTGACCGGATCGTCCGAGGGTTTTAGCCATCCCCCGGCCCTGGTAGCCGATTCTATGACGACGCCCCCTCTAGTCATTTTGGCAGCTCCCTGGCTTATTACCAGGGAGACCCCTTAAACAGCCCTCTCTACGTCGAGAGCTACGACGAGAACTGGAACTATGTTCCTCACGATCCTAGCCTGGATGCCCATTATGGCTACGACCACCACGCTCTGATGCTCGACTCAAGTTATTCGGCCACTTCTTCCTCATCCCTATCCTCTTCTCCCCCTCTTCTTCTTCCTCCTCCTCCTCCTCCTCCTCCCCGCCATCTTACTACTCCTCCCCTCCCCGCTCATCGTCATCCTCACCACCCTCCTCGGCCTCTCCCCTTCCTACCCATCGTCGCCTGCTGCTATCCGAGCCTCGACGCCGAAACACAGTCGCAAGTCCAGCTCCTCTTCGAAGTCCTCTTCATCCTCGCCGTCTTCCTCCTCTAGCGGTCTTAGCAGCAAGAGCAAAAAACGAAATCTTCAGCATCCTGAACAAACTGCCGAGGTCAGGGAGAATGGAGCGTGTATAAAATGCCGAATTCGACGAGTCCGCGTAAGAGCAACCCTATTGTTCTCCCCGAGTGCTTGTTTTATTCCCCTTTCCTTCCCTCACCCTTCCCAATCGCGGTTGTGTGCGTGTGCGTGTGCGTGTGTGTGGGTTGCAAGGGTTGCAGTTTCATTGTCTGTCTCCCCTCAGAATATGATATCCTGTTCTGCGAGGTTGACGAACGGCTCGAGATGTTCTTCCAAGTGGTTGCGCAAAGAAAGAAACGGGGAAGACCCAAAAAAGGACAAGAGAAAAAAAAAAGAATCCCTAAGTTTTTAGTTGCACGCAGTTGTGGGCGATGTGTGTTGCGTCGTTTAAAATCCTCTGTTATTTTTCCCCCTCTAGCTCGCTCTTGTTTGTGAGCGGAAAAAGCACAAATTATCCCTCTCTGCAAGCTGGTGATGCAAAAGCCCCAGAACTAAGACAAGTCCTCCTCAGTGCGATCTTCGAGTTTGCGCGCAATGCAAGAAATTCGAATATTTATGCATTCACGAGCAACTGTCGACAATTGGACCCGTTTTTATTAACATCCATGGTGAGTTGTTCCTTGCTCCAGGACCCTTGCTCAGCGTTCCATTTCCTCATTTCCGTTGCGAGATTGCTTTTTCCCCTGATGACTAGCCCGGCTTTGGCTGGTTGGCAAATTTCCACCTCCCCTTTCTCTTCCCTCCTGCGTTGTCCTAGCACGGTGGGATCCGTTGCCGGCCGGGAGCTTGAGGTGTTAGCCGGGATTTCCCCGGAAGTTGGCAAGTGGAGAGTGGAGAGTGGCCCGCGGAATGGCCGGCACTGTCTTGTCTGTTGTGCCGCCCTTGGAGTTATCTTGGCAAGCTCAAACATGCTTTTTCGAGTGCCCCCGTAAGCTAACAACGAACCACCCACGAGTAGACAAAGCCGGGGAACGCGTCCGAAGAGATGATCTGACTGGACGGAGCGTTCATGCGCTCGTCACCTTTTCCGAGACCGATGCTTCCGCCCCGAGGATGCGGCTCACCATCCAGGCTTACGACCCGGAAAAGGGAAGTCGCCCAAATGCATCAAACTGTGCCATCCCGCGGGAGCATATTCCGACTTGGGATAGTCTGGTACAGTGGGCCGGCGAACAAATTCTTTTCGAGGACAAAACCCCATTCCTCAAGGCAGTTGAGACTTTTATCATGACCTATTCCGGCCGCGGTAACGAGGGCAGTCAGCTACCCAAGGTAAGACTGGGAAACCCCCACCCCCCTTGTTTTCTAGCCTTTGGAGCCTTTCACGGCCGCTAACCGCGCGTGTAGTTTGGTCTCGTAAATCGTGTGCGCCAGCTCACCTGCATGTTCAAGATATGGATGACCCAGCACTCAAGCTCGGGCCACAGCAACGGTATCTATTACTATAGGCCTCCCAAGAACGACACGGTTCGTCTCCCTTTTGCCGTCCATGAGGAACTCCGCCATATCGCGAAGAAGGCTATGGAATCCCTTGAGCGAGACATTCTCAGCGAGCTCGACGCTTGTATGACCCAGAGCAAGGCGGTCCAGCCTTTCGAGAAACCCCTGTTGTGGGTATGCTTGTGGCAGCTACTTTTCGTTTACCGACAGCTTCTCGGCAGCAACTGTAAGTTGGAAACTCTCAAATAGGTCCCTTGTATTGAGCCAATCACTGACTTGCGGGAATTTGATAGTGCCTCATGCCGGCAGCCATAGGTGCCGAGAGGTAACACGGCGACTTTACACGGCTCTTGTGGCCTACTATACCGGCTTCTTCCACACGCCCAAGAGTCTCAACCTTGAACTCGACCTTTCCCGTACCAGGATGCCCCAAGATCTTAGGCACAGGATGGCCGTACTCTTCCAAAACATTCTTGACACGCGAGTGGGCTTCTGTAAGTGACCATCCCCATGAGAAATCCATCATGCTAGGAGATGAAAAACTCAAATGGGTCGGGTATGCTAACTCTATTTCTATAGACCAGGTCATGCAAGGGTCTAAAAACGAGTTTGACACCCTCATTAGTTCGACCATCGTTGAGAATGAGCTCAAGAAGCTCCTCAAGCGACGCAGCCGTAAATCCAAGTCCTCCCGGAGCACTAAGAGTTCCGATTCTCGAGACGACTATGACGATGACGACGAAGAAGATTATTGAAAGCCCCTGTCCTGAGATCTACATGTTCTGGCCCTGTGGTTTCTCTCTCATTTCGACCTTGACTGGCGGCTCTCTCGTGCTAGTTCCCTTTTCTTTCTTTTTCTTTCTTTTTCTTTTGGTTTATGAGAGTGGGAGGGCTGAATTAAGCTGAAGGCAGCGGTAACAGCGGGAGTTTTCATAATTTATGTCGGTTGGGCGAAAAAGGGTTATTCTTTGCTTGGCTTCTCCTCCATTTCGAGATTTGTTCTAAAGAGAGGAGGTTGAGCTGGCAGGCAAAATATTACAAGGAACTTTGAGGGAAAACAAAAAGGGAGAGGGAGAGGAGACGCAGGCCCCTCGTTACTCGAGTGGTGGAGGCAGTCCGATTTGGTGCCTCCATCATTTCCTTTGTTTATACGACTGACGATGCCGCGCTCAGACGGGTTATGGGTTGTTTTCACGAGTTTGTCTTCTTCTTAGGTTACGAAAGTCACGAAGTCATGAATGAAATATTGAGACCGTATTTCTTTGCCTGCCCGTGCCCATAAAAGCGAGCTCGTTCTCAATACTTAAAAGGCCGAGATCTGGGCACGTACTTTGATGTCACATTTCTTGCCTTTTTCTTTTCCAACCTCTTCCATGGCCTTTTCGATGGTCCCTACGTCAATGCCCTTGAGGGTATCCGAAGGCACATGGAAGTGGATCCGAATTTTGTCCTTTTTCCCGCTCGTATCGAGGGTAGACGAGATCCTAGACGGGCCGGGATTCAGCGAGTGCGCACCTCACGGTGTTCAAGGGTAGAGATGGGGAGGGGAGGAAGCGGGGTTCTTTGCGATATAAAGAAATGGGGATAGGTATAGGCATCAAGGGGAAGGGTAGCGATGGCACTGAGAGAACGTGAAGAAGGGGGGTGAGAGTGAGATCATACCTGATGTTGTTGGTAATGTCTTCAGCCTTTTGAGGCGGGTAGGGTAGAATGGTGGCCACGACACCCGCCACCCCGCCGATATACTCGGCCCAAAACCCGGCCTCCTCGTGTGCCTCATCCATGATGCCCCTCAGACCGGTGTACAGTTCGGCATCGATCGGTCCAAGGCTATAACCCCACCTCCCCGCAACCGTCAGTCCCAAGGCGGCTCGCGCGAGGTGGGTCAGCCCCGGCGCCTTGGGGTCCCTCGTGACGGCTTCGTGGAGGGCGTAGGCCGCGTTGGAATAGACATCCTCGCCTAAGCGGAACCAAATTCTCTGCACGAAGAGGGACGCGAGGCCCAAGGAGAACACGGTGGGCACCGAGGAGATGTCGCGGCCGGAGGGTACGGCGTTTTGCAAGACGGCGACGGCGGCGTCGATTACGGGACGTTCGGCGGGGTGACGTTGGCTAACGCCGCGAGGGGGTCGGACTCGCGAACGTCGCGCGGCAGCTTCATAAGGAGAGCCCCGTCCCGGTTCGACCCGGTGCAGAACGTCGCCGTGCGTATGGAGGGCACGACGGCGACGAAGGCCTCCAAGACTTCGAGGATGGCGGGGAACTGCTTCCTCCGTCGCTTCGACATGCCAAAGACCTTGCCGCCAAACTCTTCGTTCACTTCCCGCATGCGCTTGGTCTGGCGGAAAACGTCGCCTCGGACCGTGTACGCGCCAACGGACGGAATGGGGTACGGCTGGACCGGGTCGTTGTGCATGAGCATGGAGCCGTAGCCGCGGAACCCTCCGCCGCACAGGTAGACATCGATCCCCTCGTCGCTCTCTAATCCTTCGCGGAGGGATGGAAACCTGTCCCGTAGGCTCTCAAAGGACTGTCGCATTCCGTCGCGCAGTTTCTTCGTCTCGGCGGTGGCTACGTCGGCGTCGCCTTCCAAAACACGAATCAGCCGGGCGGCGCCAAACGGCATCGAGACGCCGGCGAGGGCGGCCTTGATTTCGTACTCGGGAAGCTTGCTGTCGACCCACGTCATTTGCACCGATCCGCCACCGAGATCCAGGAAGAGGCCACCACGATTCACGTGAACAAACGAGCTCCTCGAGCCCATGACGGCGCCGAAGAGGGTCTCGATCTCGGGGCGAGCACGTGCACGTCAACGCCGGCCAGCTCGCGGATGGCGCGGAGCATATCAGCGGCATTGGAAGCGCGGCGCATCGCCTCCGTCGCTAAGACAGAAAAGTTTTGAGGGGCGACGGAGTAGCCGTCGGCTATGCGCCTGAACCGCGCGAGTGTCTCGGAGACGAGGGTGATGGTCTCGGTGGGGAACTTGAGGTCCGAAGAGGGGCCATCTTCAGCTGAAGAGGAGAGCGCATCAAAGAGTGAGATGCCTGCGCGTTCACGGTAGATGCATCGTAAGAGCCGGGTGAAAGGGGGCGAGAGATCTGTTATCGTGAAGCGGATACCATTGCTGTGTAGTGAGGCAGTCGTCCGCTCGGGTTAGCTCGATAAGCTCTAGTTGGGTAGGAGAGACGCCCAAAAGAAGAGGAAAAAAGGGAGATTGGAATTTGAAGAGTTAGGAAGCGGCTAACCTTCCCATGTCGACAATGGCATAGAGCTGATGAGGAGATTCGGGCGTCCAGCCGGAAAGCCCCTCCTGGAAATTATCGATGGTGATGATGGTGGTCGCCATTGTCCCTTAAGAGATCATGGAATCATGAATATTCCCATGTACGCACAAAGTGGGGTAGTACGAATAGAATTAAGACTAGAAAGGCAAAGGAGGAGGATAAAACGAGAAAGGAAGCCGATTCAAGCATCAATTGATGCGCACATCAAATGTTTCTCGTCGAAAAAGCCTTTCGAGTGCGAGTGCCAACCTTGGCGGGTTTGGTAGGTTAGTGGCTACGTAGGGAGCTCGAGGCATCGGAGTGCATTGTCTCGCAGGCTGGAACTACATTAACCGTTTGCGGGAAGCTGACGTCGATGGGCAAGACACCAAATGGAACTAATGGATGTCTTGTGGGTAGCACAGCACGTTTTGGGATGAGGGGTCAAGACTGGAGGCGATAATGATTGATATTAACTGCCCACCCTCAACTGCCCGAGAGCCGCGTTCCGGGCCCCACTCCAATTGCCACGATGATTCTTGTCCGGACTTCGTGCGAGGAATTCGGCCCCATGCTTCATCTTGGGTTGCAAGGGTTCCGGAAATGGCCTAGAGCGGGATGGAGCGAATAGAGCGAAGGTTGCTGGAAATTGAAAGGGAGTGATCAACTTGACTTGGACAGAAGGAAAAGTGAAGCGAAAAGAACGCATTGGAGGCACCGAGAGTGACAAACAACATATTCAACATCAATACGTGCGAGAAACAGAGTGGTATATACACAAATTTGGGAGTGCAAGGGAAGAAAAAGGTCAAGAGAAATGTCAAAATTACATGTTAAGTTTGGTTGCGCCGTCCAGAATCAAGATATAAAAAATACAAAGAAAAAAGAAACGACATGCTATCCGTAGATCCGTCTATATAGTACAGGCATTAAAGAGGGCAAAGGAAAAGGTTGCAAGCGGCACATCTCCCGCCTTAGGGCCACCAGCTCTTCACCCAGTCCGACCATTTAACACCGTCAATACGCCAGATTAGGCTCGTAAAGTCGTCGTGCCACATCATCGTGCTGTCGGGCTCCGGAGTATCCTCGATCGGCATATCGCTGTACATGTCTGCCCTGACGAGGGCGAGGTCAGACGAGAATGTGCTCACGCCGATGCCCACCATGCGCGTCGCATATCTCATGATCTCGTAGTCGACGATGGCCTGCTGGTCGTAACTAAAGCTCCTGAGCTGGGCTTTCTCCTTGTCGTCGAGGAGCATGTCCTTGGTGAGAACAGTCAGGTTGAACTCCCGGGCGCCCTCGATGAAGGAGGCCGTCTTCTCCTGGGGGCCACCCGAGGCGAGGAAGGCCAGGCTGAGGCCGGTACCGGATACGTATTTTACGCTTTCCGAGGCCTGATACGCAAAGTCGGGAGCGTTCTTGGCCTTGCCTTCCTGGACGTCGAGCTCGAGGCGCATGTGAATTCCCGCGAAACCCGTCCGCACCGTGGCCTTGTGAGGATCGAGGTTGACGCCGTACTTGCTTACGAGACGGTAGAGGGCCGCGCTGGCCAGGACCCGCGCGTCCCGACGGAAGCGCAGGGCAGCGCTCAGGTCGCGTCGGATCTGGGCCGAGTCGTGGTACACGGGGAAGTGCACCTTGGAAGCCATGAAGTGGAGGCGATAGGGATCGCTGAGGTGGCTCGTCGGGGGCGCCTTGGCCTGCTGCTCCTCGACCCAGGTGTCGAACTTGGGGGCCCATTCCTCCGGCTTGGGGAGAATGTACTCCGCCCCCTTGCTCTTCTCGTCCATCCCGACCGGGTCGCCCAGCTTAAAGTTGGTTGCGCCGAGCAGGCTGTACACGTCGTGAAAGTCGGAGATGCTGGTCGCAAGCTTGATCCGAGGGCAGTGGGCCCCGAGCGTGTCGTTGAGATGGTGGAAGTCGAACATGTAATCCATCGCCACGCCGGTGAGGGGCGCGTGAGCACGCTTGCCCCGCTGGAAGTAACGGTCCTTTCGCTGGACGATGCTGGGGAGGATGACGGTTGTGGCTGCGGGAGGTGAGGGACAAAGTTAAAAAGTCTGAGCCTTCATTTCCGTCGTGCCTTCTATAAGAGGAGGATTCGCTGTGAGCAGCAGGACTTACCTCCGGCCTCGATGGCGACACGGATGCACTGGAGCTGCCACTGACGGACAGATGTTACGCCTTCCTTTCCGGTCTCGCAGCTCATCACCCTGTTTTCATGCCAGTCTCTGCTCGAGCAGAGCTCCTGCAGCGCCGACCCATCCGAGGTGGAGCCGGGCAAGTCGTTGTCGATGATGCTGTCTACGAATACCGTCTTGGAATCCTTGAACCGGAGAATCACATCGTCCGCGTAGGGCCGGCCCGAGTGGGTGAAGAAGTAGAAGACGGCGATCAAGAGAACAAAGGGGATGGTTCTTTTGGCCAACGGGATGACCCCCGACATGGCTCGAGCAGGAAGCATTTCGATAACGTTTCTTCTCCTCCAGGCGCGGGGGTGTGGGATGGACTACGACTTGAGTATGGATGCTTGAAGGGAGGGGGAAGAAAAAAAGAGAGAATCGGACGAGATGGGAAAGAGATCGAGAGGTAGGAGTGGTTACACATGGCCTCTTTCCTTCCTCTCCTTCCTTCCCCTTCTACCCACTGCAGCCCCCTGGGGAGGCCAAACAAAAGTAACTACACTGCACATTTCACCCAAGAGGCGGTGCTGAATGACTGAATGACGACTTGTGTGTTCACCAAGTGTCAAACCTCATCCCTTTCCAGGGTTAGACAGCCCACCCCATTTGCCAACCAGGGGTTTCGGAAAGGATTTCCTGCCATATTTTCAATAATTCGTCCCTTCACCCTCCCAAAACAGGTAGTGCCAATTCAGCCCTCCTCTTTCGGGCTTGGGTCTGATACGAACCATTGCCTGGAGAGAGGAAAATCCTTCTACTAGTTCTGTCCAAAGAGAGGCCATCGCACTCATTTCCTTATCTTTCAGCATGGCGTGTCTAGGTACCCCCGAATAGCCAAGACTACCATGGTACTTGGATCACAATAAGACAACAAGTGGGGCCATATGTACTTTTTGTGGCCCGCAAACGCAATCGACAAGCGTCTCGCGGAATGGACTAGCAAAGTCTGATCCCTGACAGCGAGCGTGCACCTAGTGTGACGATCTTGGGAAAGAATACGAAGTATTATTGATTCTTCTTTTGGTAGACGTTCCACACTTTTTTGGGCGTCAGATACCAGGCTCAGCATAATGCTCGAGGTTCCCCGTCACACAACTGGGCTGTCACTCCCGCACACCCAACCCACACACTTCTAACGCCAAACCGGTGGGTAATAATAGCGGCCACACTTCTTAAGGCATCGACTCCCGAAATCCTTCAGTAATAATGGCGGATGGAGCAGTGACTGTGGAAATAATCTATAAATGTAATCGAAGCGGAGGCTAGCCTCGTTGACGATGGGCGAACGCGGGGGGGACCAGTTACACCTTATTGCGGGTGATCGGCATCCTTTGGGGAACCACGGGCCGCCGCTTGGGAGGATGGCTGCACGCTGAGTTGATGCCAACGGTTTGGGTTTCGACATCCACATCGAGTTGGGGCACCGATAACGGTGGTTAGCCGAATGCCCTCCCAACCCTCACCTCCGATTCGTGAAAGTGGTTGCGCGGGGTTGTTCTCCAACGGCCTCCAGAAGGGGTGGGCGTGAAACCCCATACCGAGAGCTATCCATCCCATCGACGGCCACGGGAGGCAAAACTCTCCTCCCGTCGGCAGTGTCAACATCATCGACGAAAAAGAGCGAATCTACCTTGGATATTTAAAAGAAGAAACCCGGATACCGGATCGCCAGTCAAGCAACCCCTTTTAGGAGGAAGGGGGAATAGCTTTGTGAGGGAGGACGCGATTCGACATCTCTATCCTCTCGCGCGACGGGTGGTAAAGTAAAGCCCATCCCTGTTCGCCACCGTCCCGAAAAAAGAAAAAAACCCTCTCGCACACCTTGAGGCAGGCTTGCGTGGCGTTCACCCGTGCCGAGCACGTCGAGTGGGGCCAAGAGAAGCGCTGTGCGTCTTGGTGTGAGACCATGTGGTGGGACCTTGTGTGAGATCTTGAGGTGTCTGGCATTCACTCTGCGACATTCTCGTGAAACGACGCAGCGCAAGATAGTCGTGACATGGCTTATATTCCTCGCTGATAAATGTGTTGCCTTTTGGTGGTGAAAAAGGGTGGTGGAAAGAGGATGTGGAATGTATATTGCACTTTAGTAGGACCTAGTCTTTTGAAGCCGTCTGCTCTCGGGATAGGATCCATCTGGATATCTATACTAAAAGCTAGACATCCTGCTTCTCAATATTGCATCGCTTGATCCATGGTTCTTGGCTTCATGTGATCATTCTCTGCTACTTGTAGATTTTAATACCTGGGGCCACCCTCTTGCGCTGAGAGGACCTCGCTGCCAACATTTGTATCAAACTTAAGATCACTTCTAACTCCCGGTTCTGTTCTCCCTAAACCTTCTTTCCTTTTCCCGAGTCTCTTCTAGTGGGAAACAAAGGGGAACGACTGAGACGTCCGCTCGCTAATCGACTAGATCATGTGAGAGTTGAACTTCCCTCATCCAAATATCGTGCGGCGGTTGAACTAGGCCATCAATCTCGTGGAAATGAGGCATGGGGTTGACGTCGAAGGCATCAAGGCTTCTGAGTGTGGCACTGGAGGCTCTGCAATAGGGCTTGCTCAGGCCTGGGTCGGTTCTTGGGTGGTTGATCCACAGCGTGGTGGATAGCTGGAGTTGAATTCTGGACGGACTCAAAAGGTCAATGTGGTCTGGTCTTGTCTGCTGTTGGGTGCCACCGGAAGGCTAAAGTTAATAATAGAACGGGAGACCACCCCGAAGGAAGCCCGAAGGAAGCCAACGATGGGACCAGAAGGATGGATGGTTGGAGACTCGACATTACTCGATACTTCTCAGGCATCCACATTTTTGGTTGCAATGGCATCCATGGATGGCATTTGCTTGTCCGCGCTGCCCTTTCATCTTGGGATCGTTTCCCCGCGAGGTTCGACGCTGGCCTGCAATAGGGCAATTTTAGAACCCCGAAACGGGTGGCATAAACATTCCGATATTAAGGCCGGCGGATTGAATCGATTGTTTGAAACACCCGCCTAATTTGAGGGAGTTCCTTCTACCGAGGTATTATTATTTCTTTTTCTTACTATGTATTATTACGTGAGAGTGGACTTCTGGAATGGCCCAACCAATTGCTATGTTTCAATGGTTTTGCGAATAGGGTTCTCCGGGACTGAGATGCGGTTTGAGAGCATCAATCAGTGCCGAGGTCAGACTTAGCTGTCGAGACACGGCGGGATAGAGGCCCAGTCGCAATGCAACACCCTCGAAACCGATGGAGTATATTACCCGTCAGCCTCACCGCATCGAGCCAGGAGGAGAACTGAACCAGTTCTCCATGGCGGGACAGCGGACACCCGCAACGATCCAGCGTTGGCCATGCAGGGTTGGTCCACTTGGGCAACTTTGCTCAGCTCCATCCTCCCCGTAAAAGAGATGAGGCGGAGCTGCCCCCATTCTCGAAGCACCTCTAGTATTCCTCAAGAATGCGGTGGCATCGCGGGTAGGGGCGCCATGAGCTCGGGAAAGCAGGTCCCGCCCTGACGGTGGCCAACAAACATATGGATCGCGTCGGCGCTGAAAAGAGTCGGTGAGGGCTCCCAAAACTTGACCTTGAATTTTTTTCATGCCTCCGGTTCTGAACTAGTGTGGAAGGAAGGGCTTCCTAATTCGGAATCCAAGCTTTGCGACTAGGCCAGGAACCAATTCGGGTTTTTTGGGAGAAGGGGGAGAAAAAGGGATACCCTGTCGATTTTGCCCCTGTTCGTCTCTCGCTCTGTCCTCGGCTAATACAAGCTGATCAGGTTGGGCATTCTGTGTTTGATTCTCTGAAGCATCATCAATGTTGGCGGCTGCAAAGTGGACTATTACTGTCCGATGGGCGAGTTGTGGCTGAAAATTTCCCTCCTCCTTGGAGACGGTTAAGGAGCGAGTTAAAATATTCGCGAGTCTAGTATAGGAGTCCTGGAATCCTCTTCTCGTTGCAAGCGAGGGTAATCATCGTCGACGGGATGGACCGTGGGACTGGACTGTGAGAGATAGGCCTCGAAGATGGAGTGGAAGCAATTGAGTGAAGACGTCTTGGACGTGAGTTGGGAGTGGTTCTTGTGGGGCCCGATTCCGGAAAAAATGTACCTGGCGCACATCATTATGCACTCACTTACCCGTGGCAAACCAGTATGGTAAACACTGTATACACCGTGTTGCATTCGCCGTTGGAGGCATGCGTGTGCGTAGAAAAGCGGGGCCATCCATGTCGGAGGCGCGACTAGCGCGTTTTTTCGCGTTCGAACGCGATTACCCAAGATGTTTGAACGTCGGGTCCTCCCACTTCTTTTGTGTTCATTCGGGCTGCCTGCCAACCCTCAGTTGCTTGACCAGTGCCTGCAAGAACTCGAGCCTCGTTGCAAAGAGCACGAGCTGTTTGGACGCAATGAGGCACGGTTTGATATAGAAATATAATATTTGCAAACATGGAAGTGAGTGGGCCTCAAAAGTGTCGGGAGGCTGGCCACCATTTTGGATGGCCATGTTGGATTCTCCCTCCTGGCCGTGCCGTCGCTCGTCGGCGATGTATCAAGTCCACGGGCTGTCGGATTTTGACCAAGCCTCCCACGGCCCATTCCCGCCCTTTTGTTCTTTGCTGGACCCCTTGTCTGGATCCTCCTGCCTCCTGCATCCTAGTGTATGTTTGGCTCTTTGATCGCTCGTTACCAATCCTTCTTTGCCACAGCATCTTGATAGTGTTTTCTTCTTCTTCTTCCTTTTAGACGCGCGTGGCGGAATGGCTTCCGTATCGCTGACGCATGTGTAGGGGGATGGCAAGATGTTTATGGGGGCATCGGTATGGATCAAGGAAATATGGGGTGAAGAGGCTGACTTGGGAGTGAAGCTGAGATCTGACCCGCTTTCGGGTTCGATGTTGATGAGTGCTTTGTGGACGTCCCGGTCTTCTCCACGAATTGCGAATGCTAAGTGGCTGGTTTCTTCTCGCCTGGACGAAAACATCTCGGCCCTAGCACCTGATTTGCATGGCGGGCGAGAAGATCGAGCATTTTTATCTGCTTCTCCGCCGCCCGGATCGAGCGACGCAGAAGCCATGCCTGTGGTGTCACTGGCTGGCTCGAGATCCCAATCCTAGGCCATCCGCATTGCATTTCAAACGAACGAGGGGCCGGTAGGCAAACAGTTGCGGGCAACTTGCCGGCTTGCAGCTCTGGCGCCCAATCGAAGCGCTCAACTGGCCTCTCTACCAACACGGATCCAATCCCCTGAGCAGGCGCGCTTCTTATGGCAGACGCGTTTGCCCTGCCTCCTCCAAACAAAGGTCGGGGATAAGCTATTCGCCTACGACGGCCCTCCCATTTCAATGCCAACTGTCCGCCGCTTTTGGAGAGTTGGGGATCGATGCATATGCACTCCTGGCTGTCGTGTCCCCCAGGATTGGTTTCCCTCCCTGTACTACCTCCAAATACTCTCCCTTTGACGACATTAGCGGGATGCATGGGCATGTCTAGCGGGGGCTTCGGTGGTGGTGAGGAGCGTTGGTGAGATGGGTCGGTAGCGTACCCTGACGACACGTCTGCTGGCTTCACTCCCTCGTAATGCCCACGCCACCGAATAGGATACGATACATTATCTGTTGAAGGAAGCAGAGAGGAGACAGGAGATCCGGACCAAACTGAGGGGGAACCGAGGGGAATGAGGGGAAGACAAATATCCAAGCAAGAAAGCTACCCGAGGTGATTGTATCGCTTTCAGCCAAGGACATCTAGATGGCATCGGATCCAGAAATGGGGGTTTCTAAGATACACGGGGCTTTATCGCGCTTTCAGAGTTGAGACTGCTTCTCTTGCAATGTCGCTTCCGCTTTTCGGAACGGGCAAAATGAAAGAAGGAAAAAAACAGACGCGATATCCAGGCGTTGACAGAGGCTGGTCTCACATATTGCGTCTAACTCTGGGTCCTCTAAACATTTATTACATGAGCGCACCAATCTACCCGACCTTGTAAATCTCGACCTCGCCTCGCCACCCCCATTAACTGTCCCAACGTTTAGACCGAGAGTGAGCACTTGAGAGGTCCGGACCGGCACAGTAGAAGCGACGTCCTCGGCGGTCACGCGCTGTTCGGCATGCAAACATGACCTCGCGTCGAAGAAAACCCTCTACGCTAGAAGGGTGCAGTGACAGGTTCTTCACCCCACATCCAGTATGGACTGAACAGCTCACACTCTATCTGTATATGTACGTGTGAGGCGATATGACTAGCCATGGGGTGGGATGGGTTTTTGGCTACGGACATGATCTTCCCTCCTCTATCACTAACATTCGGCTCTCATGCCAGACTTCGACCTCAAATGACAAGTCTTCCCTGAATACTACCCAACTTTGAGGATTCTTTCGACGGCAGCCTCCCCCTCCTCCCTCCCCCACACACCCCAAAAGACAAAAAGCGCTCGCTCTTCCTCCTGAGGATTGATACTTCTTCGTCGATGGATGTGAGGTGTGATCCTCAGACAGACAGGTGCTCGATGGTGGGCAGTCGCGTCTTCTCAGAGGCCCGGCGAGGTACATGGACCAGGAACCCCTGCCACCCAGAGCAAGGACTTGCGGCACTGGCATGAGCTTCATCTACGTGGGAAGTACCTCTGCTCCCGCCGTTCTTGGAAAAAGCCGCAGTCGCGCTGTGTTGGGTGCTCGTCAAGCGTAGAGGGGTACATCCGGGATGTCACGCCAATTTGTTCGTGCCAGGGCTCCACCGGAGGACCCTGTACACAGACGCTAGCTCGCCGGATTCCACACTGTACGGTACGGTAAGGTCGAGATGGGGTGAAAATGGTGGATGCATCGATGTCCCGAGGGCATTCCAACACCAGTTGAGTTGAGGGATTGTATCCCTGAATGTACACCTGGTTTCCAGAAAAGTGTATGTGCCTTGGGAGACCATGGCTCGTCTTCCTCTCCCCAACCGCCGGTTATTACTGCCCATTTCCCTTGAACCAATTTTGCCGCCTGTTCCCTCTGTTCAATCGATCCTGAAAGACTTGTCATTGCCCTCTTTCATTCCTTCTTTCTCTTTTTCTTTCTTCCCTTCCGCATCACCAGTCCTCACACCTCGGTCCACTAACCCTCAAGTCCTTCCTTCTTGTTTTTTTCTTCTTTTCCTTTTGTCGTTTTTTTTTTTCCCTTTCCTCCCCTTTCTAGGCTTCTCCAGCCTTGCTTCTTGCTGGTGGGCCGCCATCATCTTGACGATTCAGCAATAGCTTGATAATCGCGAGGCCGGGTTTCCTGCGCTTGAAGAACTTTGGCCCCAAATCTCCGCCGCCCGCCCCCAAATTTCGAGTGTTGGGCCTGCACTAAAGCAGTGAGCCCTGGCCGAGAGTTCCACAACGCACAGGCCTTAAGTGGCCTCTCAGCGCCCATTTCACCCCTGGCACCAAGACGCGAACCCATCAGATTGATCAGATCCAGATCAATCCCATTGATCGCTTTTTACCTCCTCTCCGTCCCTCCCCCACAAACCACATAATAGTGTGCTGCGTGCCACGATTCCCCACGACGCTACGACACCTTAAACCTCTCCCCCGTTCTTCTTCAAATCCAATCTACCTCGATCAAGGAACGATTTCCAGCATTTTTCTTTCGTTGTTTTATTTCGCTCTTCGCTGCCACAGATTTCCCTCGCGCCGTATCTGCAGGCCTATCGCGGCAGCATTTAATTCATTTCCACCGTTCTTTTCTCGCTCGGCTCTCTGGATAAAGTGCCCTTCTTCGACAACCGCCGCTCCTCCCCAGCCATCCGACTTTTTTTCCTTTTTCTTTGCCATTCCTCCCACCGATGGGGTTTACGAGTGAAGAATAAGTCGCCGCCCACGGACACGCGACAACGACGACAGCACTGAAGAAGGCTCCTGAAATAGTTGAGCCCATCAATTTTGGTGACCAGGCCCGCCTGTTGCTGACGACTGGATGGACCAACACATTGTCTCTCTTCTCGTTCGCCCACTTAACTGGTCGCGCAACACGACCTGAACCGTAGTCGCGCCGCGTCTCGCTTTGCCACCCCCGACGTTTTCGTCACACACATCAACCTCTGGACCGAATCTCGAGGCAAAATACAATATAAATAATAAAGAGAAGGATTTTGGCCATCGCGCCTTTACCAGTATCGCCTCCGACCTCCGACCACCCACCGCCACCGCTCACCTCCCATCATGAGCGCGCTTCACTCAGGCGCGGCCACCCTCCCCAGGGGATTCCGCTACCATCACCCAGACTTTCCAGAGCCCAAGACACCTGAACCTTTCGTTGCCGCAGAAAGCGAGGCCCAACCGCCCTCCCCCGCGCCCAAAGTTCAGGCTCAAGCGTCGGAACGCCTCGCAATTAGCGGCCCCTACCCAGCAGTTTCTTGCGTCTGTCGCGGCTGCCGATGTTCCGATCCCGAGCATCGAAGTCCCCGACGCCGCGGAACAGGCGGAATCGTCATCATCTTCACGGACAATCCCATTCCCGCCCCTACCGCAGTTGAACATACCCACTGGCCAAATATCTCACCGAAGGCTAAGAGCCAATACCTTTTCGCCCCTAAAACGCCGGCGCCAGATGGTGTCGCGTCGCTCTCGCCGAGGCGGTATCCGGACTGGACGATCGACTCCATCATCAGCAGCTCGGAATCGAGCCCTGAATGCGAATCAAGCAGGCCATCGACCGCCCGATCTACCTACACTAGCGCGTCTCTTTTCAGTCGCATATCCCTCGCTTCTGACGAAGCCCACTGCATCAGCCCCGAGTATGAGGGCTCGTCCTTTAGCATATTCGGTCAGCCCTCGAAAGATGTCGCTATCGAAGTCCCCTCCACCAAGTCCAAGGGGAAAATGCGGAAGGCGCCTTGGACCAAGGCGATGAGCGAGCACCTCTGGTCGACCTATCTGATGTACTGTCAAGATCCCAAAGTCACCCCCTTCCGTGCCGGCCGCAACGGTATCCCCCTGACGGAGTTTGCGTTCGGGTCTCGCGCGAAGCGAAGCGCAGCTGGAAAGGCTCAAGACCGCTGCTCACCGTTGAGCAGAAGAGCGGTAGCATTACCCCCACCGCAGAGGCGCCTGCCGCCTACATTCAATGGCCGCATACGTGCTCGGCCACGCGCGCGGCTGCGAGAGCTGTGCCGTATGAAGACAACGTCCTCCGCCGCGCGGACGCATCAGTATCTCTCTCACAGTCCAACCCCTTTGGCCGAACTATTACGCGCCACTGGAACCGCAAATCTACGCCACTTCGATCCCCTTCCGTCTTCTCCGCCCGTGACATGAACATGTCGCTTGCCCTAAGCACCGCCGACTCCATGCAGCCAACAGGCCCCTAGCGCAGCTGACGAGCTCGGCTCTTGAGCCCCCGGCGCTTGAAGGCGCTATAACAGAGCCTGTGCCTGAGCTACCCGAGTTCTCCCTTGAGCTACCTGAAGGGCTTCGGAACCGCCTTGGGTCGCCGTTTTCTGCAGCAAGCAGAAGCTACGGGCCTAGTTCGTCTAATACCCTTGCCGCTGGCTTCTCCTTCCGATCCAACATGCCTCCGCGGCAGATATCTACCCTCGAGCCCAAGCGTGGTGCGCTCCAATCACCGGCAAGACTTACCCGAAGCCGTTCCAATACCCTTCAGAAGCGAAGATCTCGCCAGGCTGCCAACGAACTCCGCAAGGGCAAGAGGCCCAGTCTCGGATCGGACCTTTGGACCGCTCCCGGCTTCGCCGGAGATAGCCTAGTCAGTGGCGAGAGCCTAATGGCCAGGCTCGAACTCGAATTCAGTTCCACAAGCTCGACGCAGCGCGACGACCTATTCGTTCCCCGTACCAATATCGAAGAGCTACTAGCCGCCGTCGAGCCACCATCCCAGAGTGAGCAACCCACGGCTCCCGCTCTGGAGTCTACCAACAGCTTAATGCTCCCGCAGGTGCAGCCTCCCAGACTCGGTTCTCCATTTGCGGCACCCTCTGCGAGCCTCTCATTTCCTAATCGGCTCTCGCAGCCTCACGATCTTATCTTTGGAGCCGTCCGTAGGCCATTTGCCACTGTCCAGCAGCCCACCCAGGATGTGGATGCAGCTGCCAAACCCAACCTCGAGACTCGCCTAACTTACATCAATGAACGATTGAGGGAGTTTCGGCAGCGAGGCAATAATCGGCAGCGATCCGAATCCCCGTTTTAAGTAAGAAACGGCACAACCCACCTCATCTTGCACCAGCTTATCCACCCGCGGCTTCCGACAACATTTATTATTGGCAAGACACAAAGAGTCAGCTTTACGCATCACACTGGTTGCGATTTTCCATTTGCTCGAGCGCATCAATCATTGCAAGCGGCGTATTTAGCAAGCATACACTTGGTTCTCTCTTTCTGATTATACCAGTCCTTCGAAAGACTTACTTTTACCCCCTTACCCTTCATTTACTATTTTATGTTCTCTTATGTTTTTCTCCCCTCGTTTTCTCTTAGCATTCTCTCTACATGCCATTCCACATACATTATGTCTCCCATGTGTGAGTTGGCTGGGAATCATCTCTAGGGCATTTCAGGATTTATGTACCACGGCTCGGCGTTTTCTTCTTGACGAAAAGTTTATGACGGTATGAAACAACTATGTCTTCCAGGATTTCTTTCTCTTTTCTTTCCTCGTTTCTTTTCTTTTTATTCTTTTTCGCCCACTCTCCTTGGCTTCCTTTTTCCTTTTCCTCTCTTTCCCTCGCGTTGCAGAGGGAGAAGGAGTGCAAAACGAGCCCTGATGAGCATAGCACGCATGGTAGCCGTGTCCACTGTGGATGCATTGGTCACGATCCATCGTCGCTTGGGTTTCTTCTCCCCTTCATCACATTTTCTTTTTCCCTTGTTGTTAGATCTTGCCATACCCCTGGAATACCAGTTTCCTTTGAAGGGGCGCAAGTCACAACATTTCTCTTCTACCCATCTCATTTCATATCCACCGTCATTTCCAAGACTCGTCCTCTTCTGGCGAACGAGCATCTTTCATTTTGGGGCGGGGATAATTTGAAGATTCTTTTATGATGGCATGATCTGTAACGCCGTGTACACGTCGCTCACGTCGATTTCAGGAAAGGGATAGGCGGCCCATGGAGGGGCCCTCGTATATCTTTTTACATGTAGTGTCTATAAGGAGACGAAATGATAAACTTTTAATTTCTTCAATATGACCATTGCCTCGCCACTAGCCAAGTGGTGTCTATGTGCACTCTGTTCTTGCTTTCTCTATCTCAACAGAATTGATCTTGAATATCCTACCTATTCCCTCCCTTTTAGTCAAGTAGACCTTTGGGTTAGCGTCAAGTGCCGACTTGTGTGCTCTTGGACCGCTTTCTCGTATCCTCATCTCGAGGTGTTGCTCCTGTTGATCATTATGTTGGCTTCAATCTCAGGTCGGTCAGGTACGTGTGACGCTGAGGGTGTGTCCCGTCCACGGACGGTGGCATGCATCCTCTTTCCTTTCCTCAAGAGCACAACCAACGCAGGGGTTTGCAAAAGTGTGACAGGACCCGAAATGGTTACTCGGAACCCGAGCTTTGTTTTTTTCTTCTTTTTTTTACTTTCTCTCCCTTTCTTCACCATAAAATAATGGCGGGGAGCATTTGCTGCGAATGCGCCCTCGAGAGAACAGCTTCCAGGTACCCCGGAATCAATTAAAGTACAGCAATGCGGCCAGGGGCTGATGGTGGGAGAGGGCCAGCCAAGAAAGGGACCAGCGGGTTGCAGATTGAATGAATGTGGTTAAGATGTAGTACCTGCATCATCTTGTGTAGTCGCAGTGGTAGTCGTTAAAGCACGAGAGGTGCGAAATCCATTGCACCGCAGGCGGTGGTAGGAAGCGGAAGCGAACAGAGCGCACGTCGATGCACACGCGCAGGCTCGCACGCACTGAGGGGGCAGGTTGAGGAGCCAGCACCACTTGAGCCATTAGATGCCAGTGCTCTCGATTAATGCCACCCATCCGGCTGGTTGACCAAGACGCTCTAGCAGTGTACGCTCTTTTTAGGGGCCAGGCCAGGCCAGGCCCTTGCATCCACAATGTCACCCGCCGCCACCCTTCAGCCATCCGCGTCGCGCTCGGGCTTTTGGGCATTTTGATTGATTGAATGCATTAAATGGCCGATTGGGGATGGGTCCAATTGATCCCTCGAGTCTCAAGTGGCTTTTTCCCCTCTTTGACAGGTCCCGTAATAAAGGCAAGGACCACGCATGACATCACTTCCCGCGGAGTGTCAGCCGCTCACAGAAAGCACGACGCTGGCCTGTATCGAGGTACCGCACTAATAATTGAGTGCAGCTGGGTGCAATGGGTCACTGAAAAGGTTGATTTGATTGATGTACACTAAATTGATACGTCCACTACTACCGAGCTCGCTGTGATGGAGGCCTAGTTCCAGGTCCAGGAACAGCCCGAACAGGAACATGTTGACAGCTCTGGAGGAACGCGCCCCTTGCAGGAACCCTGGAGAATGTACCCTTGCGACGCACTGCACCTAATCTCGATTGAACGAAATGCAGCGACGAAAATACTTCTGTTGATCATCAGTTGCAAGGCAGGTGCACAACCAAAGAGAAAAGCGAGGAGTTTTGGGTCGGATTACCCCTTGAATTGGGTATTTTTTATTTCTTGAATTCATGATCTGGCTCTTTTCAAGCTATCAAGTGCTATCTTTTATCTGGCCGCAAGGGAGGAAGAAAAGGTTGAGGTGGTCCATCAATGGCAGCACATGAAGATGTGCAGTGTGTTTTCCGGGGCCCCCTCTCTTGACAACCTCGACCTTGGGCGCAGGCTTGCTTTCATCTTGGAGATCAGGATATAAAACATACTTGGACATACATGGGAGGTAGGTATACAAGTAATGGGGAGAAAAAGTAGTGCCAAGGGAAAAGAGTGACCAGTAAAGGTGTCTTGACCCGGCGATGGGAGCGCTTGCCGTGTACCTCGAGCTCTTACGGCTGAGATGAGGGTGTGCCACTCCCATCATTAGAAGAGAATTTGGGTAGGGTATTGGTCTGGGTATGAGTATGGGTTTAACAGTGGCTATCCGGAAGCCAAGAGGAATTGAACAAAGGGAAAAAAAGAAGACAAAAAAGAGGGCGGCTACGATCTTGCAAGCCAGCCCTCGAGAAAAAAAGAAGAGAAGGGTTGAGGGAAAGGATGCCCATGAGGCAGCAAAGAAGGTAAAAGGAAACATTAAGGAGCGTGTGGGTGGGAAGTAAGGGCCCAGACGCTTTGGTCGTTGAGTTGCAGTAGCCCCGAGCCATCCGTTGCTGCCGCTGTCACCAGGCCAGGTCGGTCTTTTGACAAGGAACCAACGAGAGCCCAGGATCGAGCGGGCAACGACATTGACGGCGAGCACTACGCACCCTCCCCCGCTTTATACCTGGGTGGAGAGACTCCTGAGCATCCGCAGCGGCTGCGGTACATCGGGGTTGCCCTGGGTCTTGAGGGCGACCTCGAAGCCGCTCATGTCCTCGGCGAGGGGCGCCATGATGGGCATCCTCTTGCGCTTCATCTCGGCCAGCTCGTGGGGGCACTTCTTCTCGCCGACGGCCGCGCGGTGGGTGTGGAAGGCGCACTGCCGAAATGCGAAGCGGCGCTCCTCGTTGCGGAGGCGGTTGGCGGGGATGCGGAGCTGGGGGTTCTTGACGCGGATGTCGAGGCCGGACGCCGCCATCTTGCGGATGTGGCTGGCGTACTCGGCGCTGAACTCGGGATAGGTCTTGAGGAGGCCGTGGAACTGGGCGGGGACGGAATCGGCGGAGCGGTCGAGGGTGTTGGTGGAGGAGAGGGTGAAGGAGACCATGGCGACGGCCCAGCGGCGGATGCGGAGGGCGGCGGCCGAGGTGCACTGCTCGTAGAGGAAGGCGATGAAGCGCGGGGTCACGTCCCAGTCGCGGCGCAGGTAGAGGTCCTGGATGGCGTCCATGGCGGCGTCTTGGAGGGTGGGGATGTCGAGGCTCGAGGCGAAGAGGTGGAGGCGGACGAGGGCCCAGTGGAGCTTTTGGCTGAGGGCGGCGGCGTCGGCGCCCTTGCTGGCGTCGGCGGCCTGGGCGCAGGCGATGTTGATGATGTCGTCGAGGTACTTGCGGAAGGAGGCCTGGCCGTGGACCCAGGTGACGAAGAGCTCGAACATGGCGGGCGAGTCCCGGGAAGGTACATGATGGAGGAGTCGTCCATGATCTTGAGCTTCTCTTGGAAGTAGGTCGACGCGGCGCAGAGCTGGGCCCTATTCACGGTGAACTCTCGGTTCTCCCGCCCGACGTAGACGCGGATGATTTCTCCGTAAGCATATCTAAAAAGACGATTTGCGTCGGTTAGCCAGATGACTCTTTTATGTGTTTTTTTTGCTTCTTTTTGTCTGGAAGGCCCAAGGAAGAGGAAGGACCGGAAAACCACTTATACACGTCGATGGGGGTGTCGGGGAGGACTAACCTGTTTTTCAAGGAAGCTGTGGAGGCGCTCCGGGTAAGAGACTTGGTGATGGCCATGGTGGGATCTGGTTTTTTTGTTCTTTTTGGTGGTGTTTCCTTTTACACTTCTCGCCCTTTATCCTCGATATCGCCTTGCTCCTGAACCCAAGCAGGAGACTTGCTAGGCGGGAAAGGAGGGGGAAAGAAGAAGAAGAAGAAGAAGAAGAAGAAGAAGAAGAAGAAGAAGAAAGAGCAAGCAGAATAGGCCCGGCCTTGCAGAGAAGAGAAGAAGATGAAGCAAGCGTAACAAACAAGTTATCCGGGGAAAGAAGGCTAGCTGCACTCCCAAGGATAATAAGAAGACAGAACGAAGGGAAAGGCTCAGCCTGTGCGATCTCGCAGATCGAGATGAGTCCGAGCGAGAGGGAGGGAGGGAGAGAGGGAAGGCGAGATTTGATATAAGCGGACAGGAGAACAGGGGTGGGCTTTGGATGCAGGTGGTATTCTCACAGACCAGTCTCCGTGCGCTTGATGGTGATACCCCCGGACGCTGGACCTTGACCTTTTTGCAAGGAAGAAGGAAAGTGGGCAATGCAGGTCCCGGAAAAGGGCTAGAAAAAGAAAGAATGGGAAAAATGGGGAGTCTTGCTCACACAATGAATAAAAGGCCAAGAAGAAGAGAAATAAACCCAAGACCCGCTCAGCAGATGAGGAGAAGAAGAAGAGAAGGGAGGAAGGAACAATGGAAGAAAAAGGAAGAAATCGAGGTGTAATTATACAGTAGCCGGGTGTATTTTACGAATGGATGCTTCAAGTTCTCTCCGCATTACGCTACATACACTTTGAAGGGGGGCAGCTCTTCTTCGTGGACCAGAATTTCCCGTTTGTGGTCGAGTGCTCTCCTCCCTGAAGCTCACTCAGAGCCTCGATCCCGTGTTTGCAATTATTAGGACGAACACATGGCACCGCACCGCACTGCATACACCGGGGGAGGAGGGGAGAGGGGATCCAGAGAAACCCGAAACAAAACGTAGGGCAACGCCGGGCTTCGCTCGAGCGATCATCTGAATTCAAAATTTACCCGTTCTCCTCGATGATTTACGAGGTCCTTTTTCCGATTCATGCGTGGCGGAGTCGATGAGCGATAAAAAAAAAAAGAACAAGAGCTCGGGGATGGGATGGGATGGGATGGGATGGGTAGCTTTTGCTGGGAGCTGTATCAGATCTGTGAAGGGGGTCCAAGGGGTGCGTGGGTGCGAATCCTCGTGGGCGGCGCGCTAACAATGGACACGGCGGAGTGACTTGGTGTTTCGGGTGGCTGCTTCGCTGCGACGCGGCTCTGGGCGGGGAGCGGTCGTGTACCTGGAAGCATATCAATGTTAAGCTTGTTTCACCAGCACTTTATCCAGCTCGGGACTCCAAGGACACAACCACCCACCTACTACCGGGGTCAGGTCGAAGGGCCAAAGGGGGAGGGGGCCTGGTTCCCCCGGCGAACGGCGAAAGGGCATGGAGCATTGAATTGAGGAGACGGGGATTTTGGGGGATTTACATTAGCGGGCACGCATCTCATGGATCGCTGGCGAGCGACGAATGTCAAGAGCTCAAAGCCGGGGCACATTTGTGGGTAAGAATCAACACTCCCGAGTTCCCCCTCGTCGCAGGTACTCTACGGCTGCCTGCGAATTCCCGGAGCTGTCGGTAGGAGGAAGGAAGGGAAAAAAGAGATCAATGAGTAAAACCAAAACCCGGTCAACACCGGCCCGGGTCGTTTGAATCGACAGCTCCTCATTCCTGGGAGAGACGAAGAGCAAAAAAAAAAGAGCCGGGAAATTCACTCATGGTCTTCATTCATGGTCTTTAACGTTCAGTCACGGTCAAGATGGAAAACTCCAATGTTTGCACGTTACAGGGGCTAGCTACCGTTGGGATGGGATCCCCATTGAGTTTGGGCGATGCACCTTTGGGCCCCCTTTTCCTTGCTTCACCTCGTTTTTCTTTTTGGAGCTTTTCGTCCTAGGCCGAGCGTCATCGATCTCTTATCTTACGTAGCAAGCCTCGAGGCGAGCAGATATGTAGAAAGCGGGGCGGGGAGGAGAACAAGAAGGACTCCGTACGGACGAGAAGCACAATGATAAAGATCAATTAGAGCGTGCGTGCTTTGGAGCTTGGCCAGCAAGAGTGCAATGGGGCTGAAGATGCGGCATTGGTGCAACGACGTAGTTGCATTCGTTGGTCGGAGACTATGCACATACCTCGACAGACTCCAGCCAGGTCAATCCGCCCGTGTTTCAAAGCCATGGGGTAAAACACGGCTTCCGCAGGTGGCTTGTCAAGCTTGCCCACCCAAGGGCCGGACCCACACGTGATTGGCTGCCGAGGGGGAAGGGACCTGAACAAGGTTGCAAGGGCAGGATTCGACGTCTTGGAGAGCAAGCAAAAGCCAAGCTAAGCCCCACTCCAACACGACAAGGAGTGGAGAAGTCCATGTTAGTTCTTACGTCCTTCTAGACCCGACACCTCTATCACCGTACAGCATACACTCCCGACTATCACGTCCAACCAGACGAGGCCGAGGTGCCGATCGAGAGGGTTGATCAACGGATATTCGCGTATTCCCTTATCTCTCTGCTTTTCTTCAGGCTCATGGGCCATAGATGATGTATAAGCATAGACAGTACGGCCATAGGTAGAGATGGAGAGCAGAGATAGACGTGAGTATAGGCATGGGGTATGGGCAGCCAGCCAGCCACGGCAGGTTTCGGCACGGCAGAAGCATCGCAACTGGTAATATAAAATCAATTATTTTGTCGTCAACGGCATGGAAATGCGCGCGCGACCCGGTCTGCGACGTAAAACGCTTCCCCGTATTCATTTTACACTACAGTCCCCGCCGCCGCCAGTCGCACCACCTGACTCTCTTGCTTGACTTGGACCCTCCAGCCCGCCCGCCGACGCATCAACTCGGATTTTCCCGCTTGCGTGGTCGTGCGACTCACCTCAAGCCTTTTTTTTCCCGGCGAGGGATTCTAGATGCTTGCTTCAGGTTCCGGGTTGGGTTGGTCGGACAGTCAAGTCAGTCAGCCTCGAGCTTCCAATTGTCGCTCGTCTGTCAGCGGCAGGAGGGGCTACCGTCCTGAAAAAGAAACAGCCAGCGCTATTAACCGGTGATCTTCCCATTTATGCCAGCTACGGCGATCATCATGGTCACTGCTTCAGCCGTCTAGGGCCCAGGCTTCGCACCGCCAAGGTCCTGGCCAGCACGCACCCGCTCACTCGTTTTGACTTGCTCCCTCGCGGAGTCCCTCCTCCCTGCTGTCCCTCCTTTTTTTTCCTTTTTCCTTTTTCTTTTCTTTTTTTCCCCATGTGCACCACATCGCATCCCCCGTGCTGCTCTTTCATCCGTCCCATCCTCACCCCATCTCGGTTCATTGAAGATCTGCGATCCAACGTTCATCTCAACGTCTTGATTCATGCGCTGCTCGGTTCGGGGCAACGTGCCTGGTCCGTGTTTTATCCCCAGCTTTTGGGGTCCGATCTGGAAGCTCTTTGGAATCTTCCGCTGCTCACATCTCGTGCTCCTTCGGCCTTGGCTTCTCTAACACGTAGATTTAGCCTCATGAATGAACCAGACTCTCAACTCTGGTCAGAAGCGTCGATGAAGTCGGGAAGTCTCGAAGCACGCCCGGCATTGATGTCTGTCTTGTCGTTACACGGATGAGGGGCTTCTCCGGATTTTCTGCCAGCGCCCTCTTTTTTATTTTTTTTATTCTTCATTTTGGCCCAAGCTGATCTACTGAAGGCTTAGAGAAGGTCACACGAAGCGTTCTGGAACAAAGGGAAGAAGGACATGGTGGAGATGAGCGACGCCCGGCCGAGAGGGTGTTGATCCCATCTCATCCCCTCCACCTCCGCTTCGTTTACCTTTGGTAACACTTTGGATGTGAATGTTGTTCTTTTTCTCCCCTCCTCTCACAGTTTCACCATTCTACCCGTCGTTGTGCCCTTGATATTGATTTGCGAGCTTTGCGGGCTGGGGGCCTAGCCAACCCAAAACACCAACCCCGGTCGGTCAAGGTCTCCCCAACCCCGGATGCGAGAGGGATTGAGGGGCAGACAACAAGACCAAGGCCATCCACCACAGAGGAAACCACGCTAGCACGGCACTGCCGTTGTTTCTTGCATTGGGCCTTGCAAGCGCGTGCCCACTCATTGTGGATGGAGCTCTGTCTTGTCCTTGTCCCCCTTTATCAACATGGACCTGAAAACATGCACGCACATGGGAGTTGTCAACTGTCAAACAGCACGTGGTGACTGCCGTTAGCACTCAACTCCAACAGTCTTGGCCAGCCCAGCCCTTGAATTTTTCACAACTCTAAAGCCACGGAGAAAGGGTTCAATGTTGTTTGACCACTTGAGCCCACATGTACCATTGAATCCTGGGCCCCGTTGAAAAGAAAATGCAAGAGATCGATTCATGCCCTCCTGACGCCGTCCTTTGAGATGCCAAGTTAGTGCTTCCCCGGGTCCGGGCTTCAATTCCGGGTTGGGCATCAGTAATCATGGGCTCACTCCGCGATCGTTGATCTAACAACACAAGCTCAATAGACCAGACGGGTTGGGGATTGGCGTCTGCCGCTGTTCAATGCACCAGGTCTCAGCCCTCACCGTATAAACTCCGCAAGCTTAGGTCACTATTAAGTGTATTCCAGTGGCTGGCCAAGACCGCTGGTAGCCAACATTGAACATACCCGGCTACCTTCCCAAACCAGATCAACCATTTGGCTCTTGGTCTTGTCCCGCCAGTGCAACATTTCCTGGAATAGTATTACCGAGAAACCGAGATTTTTTCATGTTCCTTCCATTATTAATCCCCCGTTCTTCTTTAGGGAAGAAGTCCGCCTCTTCAGAGAACTGAAGCGTCTAATCCCCGCCATCAAGCCTCGGCCAAGAGTTGGATCGGCCGTAGAATTTTTCGGGGTCTTTTTTTCTATTACTTGCCCCCAAAAATTACATAGATTCGAAGAAACGGAACCTGACCTGTGTTTCCCGTTCTTAGAGTCCCCAGACAACCAACTAACTCATTCAGCCCTGTGGATGTGCTTGTTTGGGGAAAATCGCTTCCAGCTCTTTCGAGGATAACTGAAGCGTCTTACACAATATATTTACAACATTGAAGTCATAGTACCAGGTATTGAGGTTAATACATAGATCCATTGTATCAATTGAGCGTTGGAGCATGAACGGCTCAGCGCTGGATGTTCCGCACAGCATATCCTCTCGCATGCCATTCCCCCTCATGGTGCAATACATCTGGCATGAGCGTCTCCATCATTAGACCCATTGTACCCAATTTGATCATGAACTGCCACGCACGCACTGAGAGACGAGCATCTTTCTTGACCGATTGATCAACGTCTGACGACCCTCAAGGCGGTATACAGATCTGTCAGAGAGAGAGAGAGCAATTGATTTCTAATATATTGTGGATCCAATGGATCAAATCTACAATTATCCGTCCGTGGACAAAGATGGACGTAATATCCTCAACTACCGTAGTCTAGCAGCCGGCTATCTCGATCAATCTGGCAATGGAACCCAGCCAAAGGTACTGGCGGTGTCGGGCCCACCCCCAAGAAAATCCTCGACAAAACCCCCACTTGGGCAGTTGGATAATGGAATGCGATGCGCACCCGCACCAGCTCCATCGCGCGATGCTGATAAATCCAGGGCCTTTACAGTAGAGCTGTCGGAGGAATCCAAATTCCGCGGGAAGGGATCGCGGAAGTATGAAAAGGGCCCAGAGTCCATGGGGCACGATAGGCAAACATAGAGTACACATATGCGAACTGAGAAGAGTCGAGAGTCAAGATTGACCCCAACACGTATTCCAAGTAGCTTGTCTGTTCTTGACGCCAAACACTTTTACTCGTGCTCCTCATTCCCTGCCGTGGCCAGGCTAGTAGAGACCTTGCCGAGGAATCTGATGCTGGACGTGTTGTCGGTGAAAACTAACCAATTATTGGCCCAATTGCCAACTAACGTCAACGTCGGTCTTCTTTACACACTTATTCACAAGCCATCCACGTCTCCAGCCTCCTCTCAACATCCCCGACCCTCGTCTTTCCCCATTGCCCAAACCCCACTGAATCCGATTTGAAGTTTCTTGCCCTCCCCTCTCTCCAAGACCTCCGTTGCCGCCTCCCCTCCTCCTCCCCTCGCCTCTCTCTTCAGCGAACTCCAGTCCCCAGGCGCTTTTCTCCCCCTAAGCCCGCAATGGCCCCGACGGCGAATCCCCGGCACCGGGTGCCTTATTACACCCCGGCCCAAACCCCGCCGGTGGGAACCCCGCTCACCACCGAGAACCTGCCGACTCTGTTCAAACCCCTCAAGATCCGTGGCGTGACCCTCCACCATCGATTTGCCGTGAGCCCCATGTGCACATATGGTAAGTTTGCTCCGCTTGGGACGAGCCACCCACTCTGGTCCACGCACCCTCTCTCCTTTCTCCCTGCCTTGCCCCCTCTCCTCTCAAACCAGTAAACAAAAAGGAACCAGGTTGCTAACCAGAGAAACAAAAGGCTCCGATGACGGCCACGTAAGCGACTGGCACCTGGTCCACATCGGCCAGTTCGCCCTCCACGGTGCCGGCCTCGTCATCATGGAAGCCACCGCCGTAGAACCCCGCGGCCGCATCTCACCCGAGTGCGCCGGCCTCTGGGCGGACAGCCACATCGCCCCCTTCCGGCGCATCACCGACTTCGTCCACAGCCAAGGCCAAAAGATTGGCGTCCAGCTCGCCCACGCCGGCCGCAAGGCCAGCGACCTGGCTCCTTGATCGGGCGGGGCGCCGCTTTCGCCAAGGCCGACCAGGGAGGGTGGCCGGATGACCTCGTGGCGCCGAGCCCGATCGCCTGACGGACGGGTGGCCTGTGCCTAACGAGTTGACCGTGGAGCAGATTCGGGGACTGGTGCAGAGCTTTGCCGCTGCCGCTCGTCGCGCGGTCGCTGCTGGATTCGGTAAGAAACCTGAGGCCCCTTTCCATTGTTTTGATTTTTGATCTTGGTTTACTTCCATTTCTGGGATGCAGCCATCTCACTACGGAGATCCGGGTGTTAACGTGCGCGCCGTCTAGATGTGATCGAGATCCACGGTGCCCATGGGTACTTGGTTACCGAATTCCTGTCGCCGGTCACCAACGTGAGTATTCCCTCGCCCTCTCATCCCCCTTGCACGCAGCCAGACCAAGCCTGCCTTGGTCCGGCCACGCCCTCACCCAACCGTATTAACACTCCTTTCCACGCCCTCTAGCAACGCACCGACCAATACGGAGGCAGCTTCGAGAACCGCACCCGCTTCATCACGGAAATCATCCAAGCCATCCGCGCCGTCATTCCCGAGGACATGCCCCTCTTCCTCCGCGTCTCGGGCACCGAGTGGCTCGAGTACACGGACCGGCCCTCGTGGGACATCGAATCCACCATCCGCCTCGCCAAGACCCTCCCCGCCCTCGGCGTCGACCTCATCGACGTCAGCTCCGCCGGGAACAACCTCAAGTCCAGGATCCCCGTCGGCGATCCCTTTTACCAGTCCGACTTGTCCGGCAAGATCCGCGCCGCCATCCGCGCCGATGGCCTGAACCTTCTCGTCGGCGCCGTGGGCATGATCAACATCCCTGAGCGCGCGAGGTTGACGGTCCAGGACGGGCCCCTCGGCGGCGAGAACGGCGCGAACGGCGAGGATGCCGGCGCCCCCGCGCTGATCTCTGCTTCGTGGGTAAGCAGTTCTTGCGGGAGCCCAACTGGGTGCTCAAGGTTGGTGACGCTCTGGGCGTCCCTCTCCGGAAGCCGGTTCAGTACGGATTTTTCCTCAAGCATAGGATGTAAGAAAGGGTGGGGGCGTGTTTCACGGGCGGCGCACAGGAAAGTCGAGCATCGTTTAGCGCAAGCGTTGGTATGAGCGTCAATATCTCTCACATCGGAATATATATATAAAACAAAACCCTTCACCAGTACACTTGAACCCCTAACTCGATTCGCCGTAAAACCCCTAATTGTGTCCCCAACTTGAATCAATGGATCAATCCATTAGATGGATCCATAGATGCCCTCACCCCGCTGAATGCTATCTTGGAAGGTATAGATGATATCCGCTAGCTAGCCTTTTGAGACTTTGTCCGGTTCGTCTTGGGTAACGCCCTCCGTAGAATAGCCAGGCGTCTTTCCCTTGAACCATAGAAATACGGCAGCAGCGCCGGCCACGAGTCAGCTCGTCTGCTTCGCCATGGGAGGATAATCTTTGCCTTCGCGCGTGACGCGGGGCTCGCAGCTGCACCACTCGTCCTTGCTGACCTGGTCCATGACCGAGGGGACGTGGCTACCGCAACCCCACCACGACTTCTTGCCTGTGAATTCAATGTTAGGACCAGCTCGTGTTTGCCGGTGAGGTGCAGGACGTGTTGCGCGGTGCGCATGGGGAAAACGTACCGCAGGTATTGCAGGTGGCAGGTCGGCACATTGTAAATTAGTGAAATTCTTGTTTTTTCCGAGACTGCAGGAAAAGTTCAGCGCGCTGTGTGTTCGACCGAGTTGATCTTCACTAAGAGTTTGGAGTGTGGGCAATGAGGGGGAGATGATTGAGTTTCGTGAAAAGGGAGACTTTTTCCTTTTAAGAGGGGGAGGAGCTCTGGTGTTGAGGTTGCGGGTGTGTACCAGAAGGGGAAATCAAACGAGGTTGTCTCGCGAGGGGGAACGGGAACGTGTGGGTATAAGTTTATCTTCATCAGTTGCACTTCTCTCCTGACTAACAGCAACCAGCCAGTTTAATTATCTACCCATCGCCTCGTACATCCATAAAGCTAACGTACAAGGAAGCCCGCTGAGCTGAATAGGGACTTTAGGTTTCGTGATGGCGCTGGCGGGAGCTTATCAGAACCCGCCAACTTTGGACCCAGACGCCGAACAAGTCAACTTGAGCGTCGATGATCTGTCACAACGTAAGGGGGAAAAATAGATAAGTTAGTGACACAAAAAGGAAAATCCCGCCTGATTACAGGACCCAGAATTATTGGCGACTGGGACAGCCAGTGAGCGTGGTGCTCCTTGTTTTCTCGTACCAATCTCTCGTGGTCTGAGAAGAGATGGTCGGCGACTACCCCGAGGAGTCGGCGACCTGGGCCTGTCCAAGCGGGGACAGCTTAGCCCTCTCAACGCTGGAGGTGCCCGCTAGACGAATCATCGCCGCGTCTCTTTCGAGGTCCCCGAAACTACGACACATCATTGATGAATGTGGGTGCCGCTGTCGGAAAGCATAGACGGAGCAAATTGATGATATATCGATGTCAATTCAATTCAAGTCAAGTGATTCTCCTGAAGCTTAGAAAACACAATCCCTGGGTTTCACTCATCTAACCCTACATGTAATGTTTTTGAAGCTGCGAAAAAGGAAACGCGGGATTGAAAGCAATGGAAGAGAAAAAAACATTGCGAGGACTTGAGCTTTCAGTAGCGTGCAACTCCGTCACTGCTCCCCACTTGACGTTACCCCTCATTGCTTGCTGCTGCTCAAACTGCCCCGCCATCCAAGTTCAGCTACAATGTACATTGTAGACAGCAGAATCATCACACGAGGCAATGCTTGCCAAACCAAGCTTTTTAATCCAACCTATTCACCCCGCAGCTATCGCCATCTCGACACGCGACAAGAGAATCACCTTGGACTAGTTCCCTAATCTCCACCTGACCCTCGCCTGCTCCATTCCTACACGTTCCTCATCTCCTGCTCCGGTGGCCGTCGACGCCTTACTGCCGCCAATAAACCGGAGAGAGACGAGAGACGAGAGACGAGAGACGAGAGACGCAAGAATAACATGGCCGAGGAAGATCAACACGATGTTTCCCTAGATCTTGGACGAGTTGTCACCTACTGTGGTGGTATGATTATCCTTCCCAGCTGAGCGTGCTTCCTGTTGTGATCTTCCCGCCTGCTAACTTTTCATCCTCCTGCTTGTAGTTTGCACTCTACCACCAGAGGTACCCATATATCCTACCCTCTCCCTCCTTTGCCCCTGCCGCCCAACGGGCCCATTACGAACCGGCGACCCGACGAGAAAACAAATATAGTCCCTAACGATATGCGTAGTACTGCGAGTATGGCGGTACCGTGAAGAAGTGTCAGCAGTGGCTGGAAGATGCCCACCCCGACTTGTACAAGCAAATCTGGTCCGCCGGTACGGTCTCACCCTTGCCCTTCCTCTCATTACTACCCTCCTTCCCTTGCAACCGCGATTGACGAACACACAATTAACCCTTACTTTTCTCTTCTTCCGTGTAATAGAGGCTCTCGAAGCGGCCACCGCTTCCCTTTCCGTCGATGCCCAAAAGCGCGCGGCCAAGGATGCTCAGAAGAAGGCCGCCAAAGCCGAGGCTGCCCTACAGAAGCAAGCAGACAAGCTCGCCAACAGTCTCGTGACCATTAAGCGAATCGAGCGAAACAAGAAGAAGTTTGTCACGTCCGTGTCCGGACTCGAGGCGTTCGGCCTAGATTTGAAGAAGGTGCGTACACCCCCACTCACACCCGTCCACTCTTTCCCGTAAACCTTTCCCGTGTCACAACTCCTTATTTTGCGTACTTCCATCTACCCTCGTCTACCCTGCTACTGTCCACCAGCTGACGCTCTGTTGCATCTTGTTAGATCGCCAAGGAGTTTGGTAAGAAGTTCGCGACTGGTTCCTCGGTAACCAAGACTCCCAGTGGTGGAGAGGAGATTGTTGTACAAGGCGACGTCAGCCCCGAAATTGAGGAGCTCTTGTTAGAGCACTACAAGGAGATTCCCTCCGACAATATCGAGCTAGTCGATGACAAGAAGAAGAAGAAGGCTCCGGGGTAGTGGATAAGCGCGCATCTGAACCTGGTTGGTGATTCTTGTTATTGTGTATATATATATACTTTGAATTCATAACGCCATAACCCTGGAAAGCCCATTGGCCCCGCCTCTGGAACCGTTCACAAATCACACAATACCGTTCCTAAACGCCTGTAATATGACCCAAAATGATGCTCTCTTCGCCCATGGCTAATTTGCCTAGCCTGCCCATCCATACAACTAGCCCCTCTTTCTAAGCACGCGGGTCGTTGCAGGAGCCGATGCCGTGGTCGTCCTTGACGCTGTTGTTCGTTTCGCAGCGGCTGCGCCAGTCGCGGCCCTCTTGCTTGTGGTCGTTGCTGTGGCCGTCTTCCTCACTGCAGGCGCTCTCGTAGGCTTCCTCACCACCGTCGACGTGCTCTCGTTGCTGGCGTTACTCGACGCACTAACTCGACGCGTGCCACGGGCTGTCGTGGTGGTTGACCTTCCCGTTGTGGTCCCGGCCTTCCGGCCTCGCGTGGTTCCCGCAGCCGACGATGACGCCGCTGCAGAACTGGAGCTAGAGCTAATGGTGGAGGTCGTCGTGGCCTTGCGAACACCGGCGGCGCGCGTCGCTTTTGCCTTTTCCACCATGCTCGAGAGCAGACCAGCGCCGCGTTGCACCGTCGTGGGTTTCGTCGGGGACGCCGGCCGCGCGATGAGGGACTTGGAAGGTGAAGCAGGGGCGGCTTTCCTGGGGGTAAGTCTGGAGTTGGATGATGTGGGTGACAGGATCTGTGCCTGCTCGGCCGCCGTTACGTTAGCACCCCGAGCCCTCTTCTTCGGATTTTCGATACCGAGCTCATTCTCCTTGTCTGGGCCAGTATATTCAACGCTATTGCCAGTATTAGTGGGTCTCGAAACGAAGGAGAAAAAGAGTTCTTGTGAGCCGACTAACCTCGTGCGTTTGTATCCGTGGATCGGCTTGTAGGATGGATACGCCAAGGACTGGTTCGACTTTTGTGGGCTGAGCCTCGAGGGGGCGTCCTTTGCCGGGACCGGAGGTGCCCGCGTCAGGGCTGCGGTTCGTTGCTGTTGCTGCTCGAATTTCGCGACAAGGTCGCCCATCGTCATCTTCCGGAGGGAGATTGGGATGCGGTTAACACGAATCTCGACCCTCGATCGAAGCCCCTGGGCCTGGAGATTGTATTGCGCCCTGAGCCGTCGCGCACGTTCGGTAACTAGGCGAGTTTTCTATGTTAGACCCGACGACGCGTCTTGAACCGGCGTCTTTCCGCTTCAACAAACCCGCGAACGAGCAGGGGCTGATAGATAGACTCACTCTCGAGCTGAAGATTGTCGATAAGTGCTTGTTTCTGGGCAATAGTGAGGCCAGCCTTCCTTTTTGATCGGGCTCCTGTTGTGACGCGGCGTTTGGGTTGGTGTACCTGTCTTGGTGGGAACCGTCATGACACGCGATTGGGATTCGCCCGAGGCTCTCTTTTTCGTTCGTACGGGAGCCATCGCGTCGTTGCAAGTGTGTTGATCGTGTTTCGAGGGGAGGGAGGGGTAATCGGGTTGTTGTGAGGGTGAAAGAAAGGATTATCCGCCTCGCGGTGATGATGGCTTGGTTTGATGTGGTGGAAACCTTTTGACGGCCGGCTTTGTGGAGTTGACAACTCTGGTGATGCTGTCATTGGTCAAAATCGGCGAATGTAAACAAACTTCCAACTGCAGTGGGCTTCCTGTGTCAAGACGAGCTTAGGCGTTGATGACATAATCACACACAAGCCAACGAGCTTCCTCAAGCTTTCCTTCTTGAAATTTGTAGTGGTACATCATACATGCGATATAAGAGCCTTATGGTGGGATAAAGGCATGTACTAGTACCTTTGCCGAGCATTGCGCCTCTCTCCAGACACACACGCACCAGGCTGAACTGCCTTACGCAGTCGAGCTCCATTCACTTCTGATCCAGCAACCTCTCTTCAACAGCTTGCAACCTTCTTCATACCCCCACCATCGAGGCCCTTTCTAAAATCCGTGGCCAGAATAATCACCCGCGCACCTTCTACCGAATCCAGCTCTCAATATCCCCCAGGCACCCCCGATTGATACCCTCACGGATCGTCACCATCACTCATCGCCAAAATGGTTCTCGAAGCGGTGATGATTGTCGTCGACAACAGCGAGAGTAGTCGCAACGGAGACTACCAACCTACGAGATTCGAGGCGCAGGCAGATGCGGTGAACATCATCTTCCAGAGCATTGTCCAGGGCAATCCTGAGTCCTCTGTTGGACTGATGAGCATGGGTGGCAAGGGTGCCGAGGTCCTCGTCACTCTCACGACTGATCCTGGCAAGATCCTCGACGGCCTGCACCGAACGAAGAGGCAGATCAATGGAAAGTCCAATCTCGCGACTGGAATACAAATAGCAGGTGTATGTTTGGACCCCGGCTTGAAGCATTCTCTCAACCAATCGCCGTTTTTTTTTTTTTTGAGTTCTCCGTTGTAAAGCTAACCTCGATCTCCTACTACAGCTCGCCCTCAAGCACCGTCAGAACAAATCGCAGCGACAACGTATAATAGTATTCATCTGCTCCCCGTAGAGGAGGAAGAGCAGAGGCTCGTAGCGCTGGCCAAGAAGATGAAGAAGAGCAATATCACGATTGACTTTGTGCTCTTTGGCGACCTTGACGACGAGGCCACGCAGAAGAAGCTCGAAGCCTTCAACAAAGCCGTCAAAGCCGGCGAAGGTTCCTACTTTGTTACCATCCCCCGAGCAGCAAGCTTCTCAGTGACCAGCTTATCGCGACCCCCATAATCTCGGGCGACAACCCCTCCGGCCGCCTCCGGAGGCATGGGTGGAGCGGGTGGCGACGAGTTCGACTTTGACCCCGATATGGAACCCGAGCTTGCCCTCGCTATTCGCATGAGTTTGAGGAGGAGCGGGCTCGCCAGGAGAAGGCGGCCAAGGAGGAGGAAGAGAAGGCTAAGAAGGAATCGCTGTCTGCGGTCCCCGAAGAGGGCGAGGCGTCTGGTTCCGGGGATAAGGCGAGCGGCAAGAAGGATGATAAGAAGGATGGCGGCGACGACAAGATGGATATCTCGTGAGCAGGAGGGGCGACACGACGAGGGCGGCGTTGAGATTTAGATCATCCTCTTTCTTAATCCTTTTGCGGGAAACATTGTACCACTAGGAAAGTTTGCTTGGTCATAGAGAAGGGGCAGCGAATTCGCAGGCTTTTATACTCGTGATTTTATGGCATTATCTTCTATCGGTGTGCCACGAGACGCTATGCCACCGCCGGTACTGGCACATACCGGCTGCCCAGCACCGAAACCTCTGAGCCCTCATACTCTCCTCGTCTTCTCTTCTCGCACTTTTCAATTGCTCATAACATATACGTGAACCTGTTGAAAAGAAATTCTCTGCGCCCAGCGCCGTACCTAACCCGAAAACTATCTGCTATTGATCTCCCGGATGTACGACAAAAGTTTCCTGTCGAAAGCATCGCACCTAACCGGCATCTCTAGTTGGTAAAAGGGATTTTTCATGACGTAGTCGCAGTACAGCTCGTAGATGCGCCGTATGGTCAGATCGACGTTGGCCTGCGTAGTCTCGCTGAAGAGCAGGAACTTGGTTCCCGTGAGCGTGTTGAAGCACTGCATGCGGAAATTTTCGGTCTCAAGGACCTCGAGCCCGGACGAAGGTTCCGGGCGCGAGGCGACCCCGTTGGGCCCCGGCGGCGGCGCACCTTCCTTGAAGGGACTGAGACGGGCGGTGATAGCATGGACGCTGGTGGTGTGGAAAGAAAGGGGAGGCGGGTTAGCCAAGGGAGGAAGGGAAGATGGGGAGTGGGACTCGCAGCGCTCGCGTGCGTGACGTGGCTCTTTTGAAATCTAGAAGCTTAATCTAGGATGGGACATGATTTTGTACGAACCCGTGGAATGTGCCAGCGAGGACGAGGTAGTCGTTCGTCGTTAGCTGGTTGAGGCCGCCTTCATGGAAGGTCTTGTTATACACGAGACCACCGGCCTTGTTGATAATGATGAGGGCATAGACAGTCCTAGCGAGAGTGTGAGCTTGGGGCCCGAGGCAGGCAAGGTGTGGGGGTAGAATAGGATAATCCCGTACATGATGTAGATCGCTGCTATGTTTTCGCAACAGCCGCGGTTTCTTCTAACTCGTTTGCCCTGCCCCGTCTCTCCTCAGGCCTCCTTCGGAAGGGGCGATCGTGGAGACGAAGGATGATAGATCCTGGGGGCTTCGGGTGAGGAGTGAGTGAGTATTGATGAGCCCTTATACGTCGCGAGGACCAGGCGCATAGGTGGAAGAACCGGTGACGAGATTATTGTCACTGTCCCCTTCTCTCTTTTAACCCTCTGTAAAATTAAAAGGGGGAAGAGAGGCTTGAAGATAATACAGTTGACTTCCTTATGGATGAAGAGGATTCATCAGCACTCATCATCAAGGAAGGAGCGACAGTGGATGAGAGCTTCTAAAACCCCTGTTTTGATCCACTAGGTCAAAGTATCCATCAATCAATTAAACCTATAATAATCGATCCATCCAGCCAATTCACTATTACATATTATCTTGCTCCAGAGCACTCTTCAATTAGTGCCCACCTATTGAAGATGATTAGCGCGTACCTTTAGCCGAAGATTAGCCCACACCTTGAACTTGAAAAATAGCAGGGCTGTACTACTATAAGGTGCACGATCATCCCTCCAACTGTGAACCTCACCCTGACCCCAGCATAACCTCGACACCATCCAATTGACTCTCCAGCTAAGCTTCTGAACAGCCAAAGAAAGGGTCCACGTCAAGGCTGTCTGTGTGCCGACCCATTTCTTAGTCTTCACTTCTACTATCCATCAGCAATGTCGGAGAACCACGATAACCCAGCTCCCCGCGCGGCGCCTCTGCCCAAGAGGACCCTCGCCCCGCGCGTCTCGAGACCGAAGCCGATCCAGGCGGGCAACGAAGAAGCCGGCTCCACCCTTAACTTGGGCGAGTTCCAGGATGTCGATACCCTCACCCTGTCGGAAGCTGCCCTTGTCATCAACGCCTTGGTTGCCAAGCGGCGGGCGGACAGACGCAACGTAAACGAGACCGAGTACGTTTAATGCCCTACGATCCTGTTCTCCTACGCTGCCTCTTGCATTTCATTTCTCCTAGCTCCTCGAGGCGAAGGGGAGAGCAACGGTCATAGGGGAACTCCTGTTCTCTGCGGCGCAAGGCGGCCATGGTGGGGCTATGCTAACGAAAACCGCCCGTTTTGCAGGATGCTCCAACAGACCCTCGGCTACCTCGACAACTTTGCGCGTTTCACGAGGAAGGAGAATGTTGAGGCCGTCGAGCGCCTTCTTAGTTCTTGCGCCCAACTCTCTAAGTTCGAGAGGGCTCAGCTCGGTAGGTCCTGCCTGATCGGGTTTTGGCTTGCGTGCTACTGACACAATCTTCCCTTCCTCCTTTAGGCTCGCTCTGCTGCGAGTATGCGGAAGAGGCGAAGACCTTGATCCCTTCTCTTCAGGACAAGATTAGCGATGATGAACTTCAGCATCTGCTCGACGAGATCTCGAACCTTCAGGCGAAGTAAACAAACGAATTAAACGAACGTGACGACGTATGACAAGTGGAATGGCTAAAAGGGCGCGCACCCCGCGCGAGGCTCTTCCACCGGCGCATGATTAAAAAAAGATAGGGGAGCCATAATGCAAGGAGCAATAGATAGAAAACGGCAGGTCTTGCGGCAAGGAAAATGCTTCACTTTTTTTCTTCTTTTCTTTGATCTTTCCTCGCCCCCTGACCGCTCAGATATGGCTGGGCTGGCTTAGGTTACCCAAGATCTGTTTACAGATCGGTTTTATGCCTTTGATACCCCCTTTTAAACCATTAGCCATGTTTTTCCCCGCTTCACGAGGACGACGTGGTGATGTGCGAAATTATCTTGCTACCTCGTGCTCTTCACCTCCCATAGATGCTGTGTTGCCCTTGTTCGTCACATCTCACGTTCGGCTTGGGCACGGGCGAGCTCGCATGGAACTTGTGGCGGCTGCGCGTTAGCCTGCGAAGGGCGAATGGCTAATATCTTGGTGGTCCAAGCCAGATATTCCCTGGCGAATGCCATCAGATGGTTCCAGGCAAGGACTGGACGACCACTCGAATGGACTCGCAGCGCCTGGGAGGGCTCAAGTGTGGATAAGAATACGGATAGGAAAGAATTGATCAGTGGGTTACTTCACCAGAGTTACATTCCTAGCGTGGTATCGCTTTCCCTCCCAATTCCCAGGTCCTCTTTTGACAGCTAAAGGTCTTATTATTCTTCTTAATAATTACGAGGGTATCCGCTTGAGAAAACAAGAATGCCCCTTCTGGCCTCCAGTTGCTTTCTCCGCTCACATGAAATTATTATTACCGCATCCACCATGCAATCCCGTCCTCCAAAAACAAAGAAAAAGAAAAAGAACAAGGCAGGGGGACGGCACGAGGATTGCGCCAAATTCCAGATCCCGCAGCTCTGCGTGGAAGACAGGAGGGCGAAGGAAGGCAGACATCGCGTCTTTATAAATGGCAAAACTCCAGATTATGCTGCTCCTACCGACCGCCTCCAGGCCCGCCCTCGTACGTGGACCAGCTTGTTATGTAATGTTGCCTATTCCGGTCGTCCCCAACAGGGGCAAGTGATGCCCTAGGGTCTGAGGTGTCCTCGGCTACGGGTGCCAGGGGCCTCTGGTGTGCGAGGGTGACCCATTCGCCGGGAGCTCGGAGACCCTGAGCGGGGCAGGCGCCGCATCCATCTCAGATACTCTCAATGGGGCAGGTGTCGCATCCATTTCCGATCCCCTAAACGGAGCGGGGAGGCGTCCATCTCGGAGACGAATGGGGAGCGCCCGGATGGCGATGGGCGGCGGCGTACGCCTCGCTGGGGGCGTGTGCCGCGCGTAGGGCGCGGGGCTCCCGGGAGGCAGGGTATCGGAAGCGAGAGAGCTGACGTAGCTGGCGTGGGAGAGGCGGGGGTCGCCGTTGCGGGACCCGCGGTAGGAGGCGACGGTGCTAGGGGAGGCCATGGCCGGGGAATGTCGCCGGCCTTGATGCCAAAGGCGGCATAGGCGTCGCCGTAGCCGACCTGAGGGGTCGAGACGAGAGTGGAGGGGTCGGGGGCGTGGCCGGGGCTCGCGGCGCCGTCATCGCGCGCAATGGTGGGGATGGTGGCGGCGGCGGTGACCATGGGAGGGGGAAATCGGCCTGGGCGGGACCGCGGGCATTCTTCCTGCGGCGGCGGAGGAGGAAGAGGAGGGCGAGGAGAGCGAGGAGAAGCAAGGCGCCGACGGCGATTCCGGCAATGGCGCCGGTGGACAGTTTCTTGCCACCGCTATCGCTGCCGCTGCCGCTGCCACCGCTCCCGCTCCCCGAACCGGCAGCGGTGCCGCCGCCGGCTCCAGTTTCCAGGGGACCGGCGGCCTCGGTGATGGTGGTCTCGATGACGGTGGTCACGATCTGGCCGCTGCTGTCGGTGGTTGTGACGGGTATGGCGGTAGTCTTGGTGGTGGTTTCGGGGATGTTGGCGGTGGGGGTGGAGTTTGGCGGGGCGCTGGTCCTGTCGTTGTTGGTTGGCGGGGTGGAGGTGGAGGGGTGCCGCCGCCTCCGCCGTTGTTTCCGGTGTTGATACCGCTCCCGGGGTCGTCCTTGTCCTTGTCGTCGTCATCGTCGTCGTTGTTGTTGTTGTTCCCGCCGCCGGTGTTACTGCCTTTGTCGGGGCAGCCGGAGGTGAGGGCGCACGGGTCGACGGTGCAGCAGCCGGCGAAGTTGTTGAGGGCGCATCTGTAAAAGTTGGAGCCCGAGGTGCAGTCGGTGGACTGGCGGCCGAAGAGGGCGGGAAGGTCGGCCTCGGCGAGGGCCGCATCGCGTTGTTTTATCCTCATGCTGGGCGGTTTTCTTTTTTTTTTTTCGGGGATGAGGCGGTAGCGAGCGGTTGGTTGTAGTTTGGGCAAAGAGAAGACTCCCAAAGGTTGACTAGGGCGTCAAAATCGGAGATTGGAAAGTAAACGAAAGGTCACTATAAGGTCCTTGGGCGCATAGCAAAAGCGGAAAGGCCACCTTGGAGGGGCCCCGAGCTATATCACGGCGTCCACCACAGCGTAAGTGCTGATCGAGGGCCAGCCGTGTAAGCTGTTTTTGTTTGGCGGCAGAATGGTGAAACGCTCTTGGCAGTCACAGTAAGCAATGCGGCATGGCCAGGGCAATGCGATTCTCTTCAAGATGGAAGGGAAAAGGCACAAGAGAGAAAGACAGAAAGACGAAGTTGGGGAAACCCGTATTTTTGGTGGGAAGGGGTGGAAGGGGAGGAAAGGGGACGAGGAGGTTATATTAGCTATTATATTTGAAGAAGCGAGGAATGCAAGGGGAGCAACAGGGAGGGCGAAAAGACAAGGTAGAAAAAGAAAAGGACAAAAAAAAAAAAAAAAAAGAAATCGCCCAGGGCGTATTATGGAAATTTCCGCACAAACAGTATCCTGGATCCATCAAATGCAGTGTCGAGTCGCAGGGATGGCGCAGAGGCGGCTCATTCCAAGGCTAGCAGTCGGGAACAAGATGAATCGCACGCCTTTTCTGCGATCCTTCCAAGAGCCAGATCCATAATCTCAGCCCGGAATTGGCCAAGTACCTCTCCACAAGGACAATATTGGGGGCCAGCAACGACGGGGACAACTTGACAATGTACATGTGGCCTTGGCACCCCAAAATCAATGATTTAGGTTGGGGACTTAGGGACGAAATAGCACTTGAGGGCGGATGACACCGCCGCTGGCTCCTCGATGCAGGCTCCCCACTCACGATGCCAGGCTTGTCCAACCAACAGGCCCTCTGAGATACGAGGTCCCTGGTTCTCAGGATGCATCCACTCCATCCCATTCCAAATCCCCCTGTCGTGGGCGAGGCTTCGATGCTGCGATTCCACGATTATTCCCGTAGACGTATTAGACATAGACAGTAATACATCGAGGAAATAGGACACCTTTTCTTCGCATCAATGTTGCCCAAGTTCAGCATCTACCTCGGCAGAGTACAGATGAATGTAGCTTTGTTGCATCTCGAGTCAGGAGGCTCTCTCGTAAAAGTCATCAGCTGCGAGGTGCTCGTGCGGACTACATGTATACTAGATTGAGCTGAGATTTGGAGCACGCCGAGAGCCCGCCACGGGGATAGTAACGAGGGAGGACGGAATGAGAGGCGGCGACCGACAAGCTCCCTTGATTCTCTTCCTCTTACCTTGCATCGTCGGCGAATGTACTGAGGTAGGTGAGGTAGGGTCAGCAATTTTGCGCTGATCAATGCTCGAAACCACAGCGACGCCACTTGCGGTCAAACTGCGTGCACTGCCCAAAATCCAAGCCATCGCATCTCTCCCATCGGTGGATCTACGACAATAGATTGATAGATTCATTGCTTCAATTGATCCCTCCAGCACATGTAGGTATTACGCTAGTGTCATGTTCGCACAACACCGGTTGATGACGTTACGTCCGGCATCGACCGCACCTCGTGTGCACATTTGATTCTGACTGGCTCCAAAAGAGAAAAAGAGCGAAAGGTGGCGGAGGGTGTGGTTAAGAATAGCCAGCGCATGCTCGTTGGCTGGGCTAAGACAAGCAGCCAGCTTAGCCTCATCCCATCCCAACCTGCACCCAAAGTGACCCAAAGTGACCCAAAGTGACCCGAAGCGACACCCTTATCCCAGCCCGTATTCAAAGAATTGTGTGGCGCACAAGACTCCCCAGAAACACAAGTACATCCTTTTTGGAAGAATCCTTTGATGCAAAGAGTAGATAGAACTGGGAACCGGCCCGCTCCCTCGTTCACGAGCCCAGTTTGTCGGGATTTGGCACAAAAAGGGCCAGCCTCCTGGGGCCTATCAAGGAGGCCCCATCCGATGGCGCTGGGAAGAACTAGTTAAGTGAGGAGAGAGAGGCAGAGTATTATTGCTGATCAAAGATTGTGGCGGTGGGATAGGATGGGAGGATGGGATATACACTATGTGAGCAAATGGGATAGTGGGACATGGGTCAGGGAGACAGAGAGTGGAGCATTACTCTTTGATTTGGACATGGATATCGATCCCATTTCAACGATTTTGATCATCTCTTCCTCAATCAGTTGGGACATTTGACGAGCATGTGCAGCGCAGTTCTGCCCTAATCCTTCAAGCATGGATCCATCGGGCCGAGAGGCTTCAACCAGCTCGTATGTGTAGTGTATGAGATCCATGGATGATATGTGTACACTAGTGTTGAAGTCATGGTAGATGCTGCTATTTTCTGCAAGTCGTGCGCTTCATTCGTCTGCTTCGAGAGATGTCGTTTTGGTGCGTTCAATGTTGGAAAGGGGAGCACTTGAGGTGCCCATCCAGATTGAGTCCTCGTACAAATACAGGTCGTACCTGCATCAATGATCCATTGTGTACACTCGACGGCCATGGAGCATTTCCTTCCGAGTCCATATCCGAACACTTGACGAGCGTGGAATGAGGAGAGATATAACCCCCACCACAGTCAAGCTGAGCATTCCTCCAACCCTTTTTCTTCCTAGTGTCCAGAGCTTGACAGCCACAGCCTTTCTTCCCCTCGTCCCGGAATAGCCCACAGCCTTCTCGTGAAGCAACAGATCCATCTTTATCTTCCCTTGCAGCGACCCGTATTTTTACAAGGGTACAAGAATCCAGTCTTGGTCCCATTCGTGGCCAAGTGGAGGTGATGCAGCCACGGGGACAGGAGCCAACACTGGATGCAGATGAGATTGATACTCCACGCACCTGCCTTTTTAGAGCCTGCCTGATCTCCAATTGTGGGCGACGCCGCACGCACAGCTCTGCTCCAGCCCAACCCAACCCACTCCTCAGAGAGCGGTCGATACCTGTAGCCCCTCGCTGAAGAGGAAGGCGAAGAGATGAGGAAACTATTGTCCTTGGATTTGTTCTTCTTTCCTATGTCCTTCTCACGCATAACATCCGTGTCTCTCCCATCCACCCTGGTAGCCTCTCTTCTCTTGAGAGAAAATAAACCTCTGTGCGTCCATGCAAATCACAACCCCATCCATGGGAGATATGGACACAATCCCACGCTCCCCGTGGCCAACGTGACGGCCCGCTCTCGTGCAGATTGGCGCAATTGGCCTGGTACTATGAGCCCGCGAGGCTCGTAAACTGGGCTTCCACCAAAGTGATCGACAGGAATCAACAGTCACTGCATCCAAATCCGGACTACGAAAAATGCCCCCCTCCCCCGATGGTTATGAACCTGCCGGATCTGTCCCCGCCCACCAAAAACCTCCTCGTCGTGTCCGATCCTAGGATTCAACTAGAATCGGATCGCTCATCCTTTGCTCGTTTTTGGGCTCCTCAAGCTGAAAAAGAAAGGCACAGCGCGAGGTACGCCACATTTCCCCCACTTGTCGCTACTCCGGGCTGGGAGGGGCGAAGGGCGCGAGGAATAGATCAATCCAACATTTGATCACTATGTTGGAGATGGATGCAGCGTGCAGCACTCCGCCTCCGCCCGCTTTCCAGCCTCCCCATCCTCAACCCCGCCAAGAGACCCGAGCCTTGGGCCCCGCGAGCGCGAGTGCGCTTCTGGAACGTTGCAGAGCGCAGAGCCATTGTCAGCTCACTTTAACAAAACCGTAAGCTATTAGGTGTAAGCAACTTATTTTACTATACGCAGAGCTTTGAGCTGTCAGTCATCCTCAATACTGTATGTAGTCAGCCATCCATGGCCCATTCGCCACTCGGTCTATCCGCCCGAGAAAACTACCGATTGCCCCGTCTCGTGTCAGCGTCAAAACTACTGTGCTATTGTTGTATGGGCTGACAAAGACTGCAAGAGTAAGAGGTCTAAAGCGGGCATGGCTTTATTGATCTTAGAGCGTAAGTAAGGAACCGAGGTTGACGTGGTTATAAGATAGTACACGTGGTTGTATGTGAGTGATGTGAGCGATAGTAGTAATGGATGGCTCTGGAGTTGAGAAGAAGGCGCATCGCTGCTTCGGTGGCTCGCAGGCCTAGCTCATTCTCATAATCGTGGCACGATTATATCGCAACCTCGCTTGCAAGTTGTTTCTAAGAAAATGCCCCCACGTCGATCCTAACTTGTCAACCGTCACAACGATCAGAAAGAAACCAAGGAAAGATGAATAGGAAGAATTCTTCTAAATAGTTCACTATCTACATTGACCGAATCCCAATTGCAAACAAGAGTATGAAAAAAGTGAAATAATTGCCCCAAGTAGTAACGCCATCTTTTGACTACTTTTGCTGCCTCTCTCTCTCTCTCTCTCTCTCTCTTTCACGTTCGTTCTTTCACCTCGTAGCCTCCTCGCCTCGTGCAAGTCTTCACCGTAGCTTCTCCAAAAGCAGCTTGCTGCCCTGGTTCCCACCCGTCTTCGCCGCCCGCCGCCGCCCCACCCTTCTTCTTCCCGTTCTCGGCGCCCTTCTTCTTGCCATCCCCACCGGCACCGCCCGCCGCCTTCTCCAGCGCCGCCTTATTCTTCTTGAGCGTAGCCTGCAGCTTCTTCTTGTCCCCAAAGTCCTCCGACTCCAGCATGTTAAGAATCACAAACGAGCTGGGCCCCGTGGCCCACGCCACCACGTGTTCCTCCACCAGCGGGTACAGGATGTCGGCGAACCCGAGCGGCGGGTCCACCTTGACCACGGAACCCGACGCCTTGTCAAACTTGCCCCCGGCGATGAGGGACTTGATCAACCTGCCTCCGTGCGGCGTCCGCGACACGTGCGGCGGCGTCTCCGTCGCCGTGTCCTCGAGCGTCTTGGTGACGCCTGCCTCCACCTCGGGGTTGCCCGCCGCCGTCGCCGCGATGGCTTCGAGAGCCGCCGTCTTGTCTCCGATGGCGGAGAACATGATTTCCGTCGCGAGCTGGCAGCCAAACGAGTCGTTGACCAGCACCTCCGCCGCCGCCTTGACGCCGGCGATCAGCTGGGGCGACATGGCCGCGACGAGCTCCTTGGCCCGCACCTCGCCGTCCTTCTTACTCGTCGTCTTGCGGATCTCGTGCACCTCTTTGAGGATCTCGAGGCCCTCCTGGAGCGGGCCGGGGAACACCGATTTGGTAGCGCCCTCGAGGAGGTAGAGGAGCGTGGCCCGCGCGTGGGGATTGCTCGCCGCCGCCATCAAGCTCTCCGCCGCCTGCTCGTCCGTGTCGCCCAGGATCTCGGGGAAGATGGCCTTGGCCGTCATCTTGGTGTCGTCAATGACGTCCATGGTGGTGAGGATGATGACGTATCCGTAGGGATCGCCCGACATCATCAAAAAGGTGTCCTTGTACGGCTTGAGGAGCTGCTTGCGGTCCTTGGCCGTGCCGTTGGCGAACAAGAGGCACACGAGGTGCGCGCCGTTCTTGGTGAAGGCCATGTTCTTGAGGAGATCGCCCTCCTCATCGCCCTTGACGAGCTCGAGGAACTCGTTGTACTCGTGCGACCCGGGCGTGACGTTGCGGAAGTACTGATACATGGCGTCGTGCAGCATCGTGAAGCCCGTCAGCTTCTTCTGGACCAGGAGTTGATCATGTCCCAGAGGTACTTCATGATGGGGCCCCGCTTGGCGGGCTGCTGCTCGAGCACCTCGGACAGCTCGCCCGTGAGGGGTCCTCCGGCGGAGGACCTCTCCAGGATGGCGAACTCGGCACCGTACCACTCTCGCAGCAGCATGGCCTTCTGCTCCTTGGTGGCGGCCGCGCGGTAGATGTCGTCGACGATCCACGCAGCCTCTGGGTGGTTGATGAGCCTCTTGACCCTGCCGTAGAACTCGGACACAATCATGTCCTTGACTTCGGCGTCGCTTTGTACCATTAGCTTTCCAATGAGGAACTTGGCGTACTTGCTCTCCGCCAGCTGGGCATAGGCGCCCTTGAGCTCCATGGCAATCATCTTCCTCTGCTCCACGGTCGAGTACTTGACCGCCGTCTGCACCGCTCGTACGGCGTCGTGCTTGAGCACAAAGTCCTTCATGCGGCCCGTAATGATGGAGTACAATTCCTCAATCAACTTTTTCCGCTCCTCGGCCGGTACGTGGGACTTTCGTCGGAGCCTCTCCCAGATTTTTAGTCCGGTGCAGCTCATCCGCGAGCGGTTTCGCCGCCTTGCGTTCCTTGGCAAGTTGCCTCTGCTCGGCGTGTGCCTCCCGAGATGTCTTGAGGGCTGCTTGACGGATTAGTAACGGGAGTAAAGTAAACGGGACGAGGACGGGTAAGACAAGCAAGTCTTTAGTAGCGGGTAAGATGGTTCAGGATAGGGAAGAACAAAAGCCTTAATCGGCCCTAGGGTATAGGTGCCGACAGGATGGTACCAGACTCATGCGATAAACGTACTCTTCTCAGTGCCCTTGGTGGCATCGCCGTTCTTGTTCGAGGTCTTGCCGTTGGATTTGGCCCCTTTGCCGGCCTTGGGGCCGGACCCGTTTAGCTTGACACCGCCACCTTCGGAATCGGAAGAAGAGTCCATATCGTGATCGCTATCGTCTAGAGAAGAATCGGAGTCGGAATCAGAGTCGGCGCCGTCGCTGTCGAGGTCCATGCGATCCTCCTGGATCCGAGCCTTCTTGGGCGATCCCGCAGGCCCTGCCCTGCCCCCGGAAGCCTTCCTCTTGGCACCAGTAGCCTTGACACCCATTGAATGATTGCCGCCGTTAGAGGAGATGTGTGTGATTGGGGGTGTTTGTAAAAGGGGAGGTGTGGTTTTGGTTTTTATGTCCAGCTACGAGATTGAAGCGGACGATGGGAAGGGGGAAGAAGCAGGGGGAAAAAAGCTTCAATAGAAACGGTGGATTCGTGCACTCCGACAATTGACTTGGACGCCCAGTAGCAGAAAGGGTGCATTTTTTTTTCAAGCCAATTTTTTTCTGCCGGTTGAAGTTCGAGGCGGTGAAAATTGTTCCCCGCCATCCCCACGCAAGACCACCCTTTTGGACCCACATCTTTATCCGCTGACCGATAACATCGAGATCCGCTCACCGAATACGCTATAGAACGGTCAAGTTTTACAGCTGGGTCCCCTAGTTCTCTCAGTCTCTTCTTTTCGTTTAATTGTTGTCATTTTTAGGATAGCATCTCCTTCTAGAAACGCGGATATCGCCACACGGATTAGGCACTCGTTACTTTGACGAATGGCTCACAGCATAATCAAGGACTAGTCTCCACTGGACTGGCTTAGGTTCTCGTGATATATGGTCATACTCATTGTAATAATCCCCATGGCTCTCCAAAAACTAAAAAACGTTCCGCGCGACTAAATCGATGCAATTCCCTCATCGCAACGCAAAAATATCTACAATCGAATCGAAAGATGACAATCTGCCAGCACGGTGGGACCCCCTTGGCGGCTCAACGCTTCGCCTCCGTGAACGGAAGAAAGAAAAGAAGAAGAAGAGACTACGAGCTACTTCAATCTAGATCATGTTCGTCCATCAGTTCCTCGGCTTGGGCTTGCCGCAGACGCCACCACCACCGCCGCCCGAGGTGGGGGTAGGCGAGGGCTTGTGGGTGCTGGGGCACGGGGCTTCGAGTACGTGGGTGTGCTGCAAATGTTGTGGCAGCTGCTCAAACCCTTGGTTAGCTCTGGTATCTTAGGGCGTCTCTAGTGGTGACGGAGGGAGCAGAGGGGAGATAGAGACTAGGGGTGAAAGGAACATTGAATTGGAAATAAAGGGTTAACTTACCCTCCATAGGCGATGCCGCACTCGTTCACGTAGTCAGCGCAGACAGTGATATCGGCGCAGCTCGGCTCCGGGTCAACGACGGTGGGTGAGGGGGTGATGGAGCACGACGGAGTAGGGATCACGTATGACGGGCTGGCGCAAATGTCGTAGCAACTGTTGGTAAAAGGAAAAAGAAGAAATGAATTAGCATCGCCGCATTCGTCACATGTATTACCCACGCTTCGAAGAGTAATAGAAGAGAAGATAACAGGGAGGGGTAGAAACTTACTCTCCCCAGCCGTTACCGCATTCGTCGATGCCATCGACACACAAGAAAAGCTCGCCATTGTCCGCGCACGGGTCATCAGAGGGGTCGGGGTCAGGGTACGACGTCCTCGTCTGGGAGGTGTGTCGGGTCTTCCTTGTGCGGGTAGGCACAGGCTTGGTGGGCTTCTTGGTGGACGGGCAGGGCGGGGTGGAGAAGGATGGCGTTGGGGTAGCACAGTAATCGAAGCATCTGCAGGAGAGATGGGCGAGACGAGTCAAGGCCCTCTGCGTTAGATCATCGTCTCCCTTAAACCGGGCTAAAATGAAGGCGAGAGGGAAGAAAGAAAGAAGTGAAATGGAGGAAGGAGGGCAAGGAAGCAAAATGTGTTCTGGGTACACGATCCTGGAAAGTTGGGAATGGATTCTTTTTGGTTTTTTGTTGGAACTTACCCGCCGTACTTCTTGCCGCAGTCGTTGACCTTGTCCACGCACTTGGTGCGCGGGGCACCGTCCGAACACTCCGGATGGTCGGTGTTGGTAGAGGTCCGGGTTTGGAGAGTGGAGCTGCCGGTAGGACAGGGCGGGGCCGTGAAAGTGGGCCACGGCCTGCAGTCGGGGAAGCAACTGTACGTCCATTTGTCAGAACAGTCCATGTAAACAGAAGAATTGAAGCCAGCTCGAGAACAGGGGAAAATAAGAGGCAAAAAGAGAACTCAACTTACCCTCCATACATCATACCGCAATCGTTGATGTAGTCGGCGCACACGGTGATCGATGCGCAGTCGCTCGTCGGCTGCGAGGTCGGGTAATCGGTTGGCGGGGTGGTGGTAGTGACGGTGGTCGGGTTGCACGGGGAGGAATCGGGCTCTTCTCCGGTTCGCACACATTGTAGCATCTGCAAAGAGTAGGGAAAGAGAAACAAGTATCAGCATGGCCCGTCTGCCTTTTGCCTGTTGCCGGCGAACCCCATCGCTGTCTAAACAGCCTAACAAAGAAGAGAGAACATGGGAGATAATGGGGAGATTTTGGCAGAGGAAAAAAAAGGGACAATTCTTACCCTCCCCAGACCTGACCGCAGTCGTCGTAGCCATCAATGCAAAGCGTGACGGGCGTGCACTCGGGTCCTAGCGAAGACGTGACATAGTTTCCAGCAACGGCGAAGCCGCTGAGGGCGAGAGCGGCGGCGATGTTGGTCAACATTGTTCTTTTCCGCGTGTTCAAAGGGTCTTCCTTCTTTTAGACAGGAGACGAAAAAAGGCAGAGCCTAAAAAACTTTGTTGAACAAAAGTCCGTGGTGTGATGGAGGGGCAAGTGCTGATTGAATGTTGGTGTGCACCTCTCAAGGGGTTCGCGAGGGACTGGTGATGATTATAAAACAGGTCGATGCAGGGCTTTTCTTCTCCGCCTTTCCCAAGGTAGGACGGGTGAAGTAAGGCAGGCGTCAACGTTAATATACATGAAATCTATCTGTCTTTGGACCAAATCCTCCCCCGGCCTGTGGCGCCAAAGAAGGGGAAAAGAACCGGCAGGGCAACAACAAAAAAAACAACGCGAGCACCCGCCTCGCTTCAGCTCCCCTCACCCATCATTTCAGGATGTCATCCCTGGAGACAGATCCCCGTCACTTCGTTTGTCGCCTCCCCCTCCTTCCTCCCAGAGTATAAAAAACACCCCGTATCATCGTGGCTTCCCCTCAAAGGCGGGGGACAAGAAAAGAAAAAAGTGCAAAAAAACGAACAAGGGAGAAACAATGTGAATCCTTCGTGCAAAGACACGAATCGTCGACTCGATTGGTGTCGACGTCAGCCCTCCCGACCCCTTCCCTTTTCCCACCACTCTTGGGAAGCTTTTGGCCCAAACGAGACGAACGACGAGTCAAGGGTCGAGGAAAGAAGAGCTAAAAACGGCCGGGGTGCGGCCTGGCTGCGCTCCAGTTCGTATTCCCCAGAGGCAGCAGCCCAAGGTTGCACTATCGGCCAGGGTAAGCTCAATCGAAAGGCTGAATCCGATTCGGGCGAGCTAAAAACGGGCCTAAAAGGAACGCACGTCGATTTAGAGTGGAACATGGATCAGTTGATGGAAGCCACTAAAAAGACACAAAAAACATGGACACTGGTTAGACACTGGTAGACAAAGGTAGACAAGTGGTGGGAAAAGGACAAGGTTAAACGTGGATCTCTCGACAATCCCGGCGTCTCTGAGCATTTCCCAGCGTCGATGGGCCCAGATTGCCCTGATCGACCCGCCAATTTCTCCATTTGTCTCGGTACAGGGCCCGACTTGCAGATAATCAAGATTTCAATGTTCAACGTCGGTTTGGTCTCGCCCTTGACCCACGCATTCTTCCTTGGGGTTAATTGGGGTTGGGTTCCTTTTTCGATCCCCCAAAGTGATGCTAATTTAGCGGAATTGCTTTGATGCTATGTGTCGATGACGATAGACATGATTGTACATGGAATTGATGAGTACAATTGATCTATGGAGATTCGAATGGATCTTTGCATAGTGACACTACAGCCTTTGAGTGTATGCAATTATCTCCTATGCTCTCGTCAATCTGTGTCTCGCGGTGCATGTGTGCATGAAAGGCAGACGCATGGTTTGAGGTTGAGAACATTTGAGAACATGTATACAAGCTGCTTCTATCTGCTGATAACATTTGAAGACTCGTATCGACGACTCGGTACATCAATACCCTCAAGGGTTCAATGTTGACAAGAGGAAGCCTGGCTCGCTTCTTTTCCTTCCCCTCTCGCCAAGCGCCAAGACGACACGGAGAAAAAGAAAGTTAGTCGACATGCACACGAGGAAGCGGAAATAAAGAGGTCAGAACGCGGAATAGGCCTCTCTCTTCCCCCTCCTCTCTTCCTTCAAGGGTTTCAATGTTCCCCAATGCACCCTAAAGAACATGGAAAGTGGGGAAATAGGGTCAGGCTAGTACTTGTAGGACCAAAAATATAGGCACGTTGAAGAACAAGGGCAACAAGGGCAAGAACAGGTTCAATTGATGAGCGAGAAGGCAACACGAGATCCGGTTTGACTTCTCCATGCCTGCGCTCGTGTTCTGCTCCTCTTCAGGAGCGGGGATAACCATCCCTGCCAGTGTCCTCTTCTCGAATAGACGATGTCTCTGCGATTTTTCTCTTTTTCCCTGTCTTTCTTCCATTCTTTGGGTCACCCGCCCAAGCATCGTGAGTTTTGGCAAAGAATATGATGTGTAGGCGAGCTAGGATAGGATAGGGTGGTGTTGTGACCTACTTGATCCTTCGCGGACTCGGCATGAGCATGGGCATGGGCCTGGGCATGAAGCATATATGTATGTACGACCAGACTGTAGACCTGGAGATTGGCGACGGCGACGGCGATACGAGTGCACTCGTGCGTGGTCATCTTGGACTACATATCACGGAGCACGGTGACATCCAGTGTGTTGTCCAGGCAATACGAGGCACGCCGTCACCTGACGAACTGAGGAACTGAGATTCCCCTCCCACTAGGCAGTTGAGCCTCGTCACTTGGGGGAGGACATGGATGAATTACCATGATGATACATTTTAGTCCTTTTTTTTTTTTTTGTTGAAGACTGCCGAGCAAGGATGAGGGGGCAATCTCGTCCACGGCCCGGTACCAGGTTCGTGAATTTTGCAGAGAAGGGTAGAGAAGATGGAACGAGATGAGTCTAGGTCCTGGCAATTGCCGGTTCATTTCCTGCCGCGCGCCAGGTGCAACCTGATAGATTGATGGGCCGTCGATGGAATGTTCAAATGGAACAAATCTGCCAATTTCCATCTTATACCATCACAATAACCGGCCTCCCGTCGAGCCCTTGAGCAAGGTCAACCCCCAGGCGCCGACACAGGAGAGGCGCCGGGGCTCGGGTTCATTTAGAGCAAGGGGGAAAGAGACCCTTCCCTGTCCCCCGAAAAAAAAAACGAAGCGGAGAGAAACAGAACAAGATGCCCGACCGGCGCGACTCTCGACTCGAGGGCTCGCCTCTGCAGCCTCATGCCATGCACCTACCCGGGGTGCTATTTTCCACGCTAGGAGACGAGGAGCAAAACCGAGATGGATGATCCACGTAGAATCCAAGACATGCAGCCCAAGTGCGTCCACGGCGCCCGTGGCTGTGGGCTGGCGAGCGACGGGGCCCGGATGAACTCAAGTGCCCATTCCCCGCCTCGCCAAAGCTGAGCCCGATGCATCACCGTGTCTCGCCTTTCGCGCCTTTCGAGGACTGTGATTGCGGGGAAGAGACTCGGGCATCGTGGAGACCACCCTGTGGATGGATAGCTGCTCTTTTTCTTTTCCTTTTTTCTTCTTTTTCTCTTTTTCTTTTGGGATTTTCCTTTGGGCAGCGCCTCTGAACTCCCTTCGACCTCGTATAAGCCGCTGGGCGCTGGTTCTGCGCACCCAAGCTTGGCAGTTGATCAAGCTTGGCTTGTTTGCCTGGCCTCAACCACGCGATACACAACCTACTTTCCTCTTCACCTGATTGGGAGCATTGATAGTCCGAGCCATTCCTCTTCTTCTGCTTCCTCTTCTTCTTTTTCCCCTTCACAAACGCTGCGTCATGCCAACGCATTGTTCGTGCAGTGAAGCAGAGTCCTCGCCGATACCAGCCCCACACTGGGCGGTGAGGGCATGGGAATGAAGCCAGCAGAGGCTGAGGATTGCAGGTCTTGGACAGGCAGGCTCATGTGTAGGATATTCCCAGCTTCAAGTTTTACTTGATGCGTGATCCGGCCGGCGACAAAGGAGGGAAAGATGGAAGAGAGACGGTAGTCGTACTCCAGCTTGAGTAAAAGCAGCGAGCAGCGAGAGGCTGGAGAGGAATTGATCACTGTATCAAACCTCGAAGGAGGTCTTACATATGATTCTAGTTTGGAGAATCAGCTTCAAAAGACCAAGCAAAATCTTTCTGACCAAGGTGGACCACCAGCTTGAATTCCAAACCCAAATGTCGTGGATTAGGAAAAGGAGAAAGACGTATAGACCCTCAAAACGAATCCCCAATCGTGGAGAGGGGGCAAGGGCTATTCCCATTTTGCTTGTGGGAAGGGGGCTCGATTATGGCCGAGGGGGGCCCGTTGGTGAACATCCAGGGAATGGAGAATGAAGATATTGGGGTCGAAGCCTTGACGATATGAGGATATGAGATGATCGCCTTCGCTACCATGCCGCTTCTAGATCTGCCGAGCCTAGCTCGAGAGAAAACCGAGGCAGGAGATGAGAACCAACATTTCAGAACTTAGCCGTGACGAGCCGCTCTTCGAGGCCCATGGCATGGAGACAAACCAACCTTCTTTTGCTTTTCTCCTCTTGCAGCTTCTTGTTATTTTTCTTTCTTCCCGTTCTTACTCCCGAGCCCTGTGCATAGTATGAGGTGAGGCCCCGATGCCCCGTAGGGACCGTCTAGCAACGAGAGGCGGACTCTGAGGGGTCAAGACGGCACATGCGATACCACAAGGCACATAGCCTTCCATCTTGTCTGGGAAAGAGGCCAATGTGATGAGAAAAGAAGGGGAGAAGAGAATCAGCCCAAATCGGGGGACGGAAACACGCCAAAGGGCACAACCGGGAGAGGAGCACGATTCTGGGGAGACTAAATGACATGGTCATTGCATTCCCATCGCATCGCAAGAGGGAGCGGGGATAGTCCAATAAAGTATGAAGACTTGCGTAATCAGACACTCTCCGCTCTCTGTTTACGTCGCGAGCCACTCCGAACTCTTGGTCTGCCATGATGGCGCACAAGGACCACACGAGCAACAGACATAAGCTAAATGGATTCATACATATCACGGATCCATGGATTGCATCCAGACACACATATTCATAGATACACATTGGACATATTCGGGCTGTTGGGAAAAGTGCACTCTCTTTCTTGCACCCTCGTCGTCTTCGGACGTCTTTCCTTTTTCAGTCCGTTGCCCCAAAGTGTCAGCCAGAAAAGAAATGGAGATGCCTTACCGGGACCGTTCGTCTCTTCTTTTTGTTTTCCTGTAGGCTCCATGTCTTTCTTGCCTCCACGCCCCCTCCCCCTTTTCCCCCACCGCGGCCGACTGCCCAGCCAGCCTGCTAGCCACGGACCGCCCGCAACATCACGATACCCGAGGGTGAGTGCGGCAGCAGGAAGGACAGGGAGAAGAAAGAAGGGAAAAGGAAAGAAAAGAAGGGGGTGACGGATTGAACCTGTGAAGGGCTCGGCACGGGAACTGGGCAGAATATATATTAAATTTAATATATTGAGGGTGGTGTGGCGTGGCAAGCGTGTGGTGCGATGCGGTGGTTGAGGGCTGAGGGGTGCACTGCACTGCACTGGCGCGCTGGTCTGGTGCAGCCCATCAATTGATCCCTGTCCTCCAGTTCCCTCCACCATTGATCTGCACCAGCGCGCTCCAAGTTGGTGTGGCGGGCGGTGTATTTATAGCAGGGGCGACCCGGTGGAACAGAAGCAACCATTGATCATGGGGTTGAGGTGTCGACGAGGTGTCGACGTGGGACTGGAAATGGGGTTCATTCTAAGAATAGTAACGAGCTAAATTGGCCTTGTTTGCCAACACGGACCACCCACGTCGGTCACTCTCAAGTGCCTGCTAGGCTGTCATCAGGCCTTCGCTGGTTCGGTTCAACCACCAGAGCTGCATCAGCTAATCCCACCTGTGCCGGGTCTGGGTCTACGCATTCCCCGTGCTGCTCTGACTGGGCCAGCCCACCGACCCAACGCACCAGTTCTGTCCCTGTTCTGCACCTCAACACTAGGGAAGCCTGCGAGAAGAAGAAGGTGAAAGAACGTAGCATTGATCACGCTTGCACCCTGCCGTCTCCGCCCATCCAGCTGTCTGGTGTATAGTGGGTAGGGTTGGGGTTGAATACTCGGACGTTTCGAGACCGATGTGAGAGGAGGCGGAGAGAGAGACGACAGACCGTCTGGTTCATCCCTGCTGCTCGACTCTGCGTTTTGCCTCAACTAATCCCGCCACCGTTGGGGCTCCCTGCTGTAGCGGGCGTTCTGTAGAGGCGCCGGCATTCCGTCCCCTTCCGAGCCGAGAAGGGAGAAGCATCGCCCGCTGCACACAGGTTACTGGCATCTCCACCGCCGATTTCCATCAATTGCAGCATCGCACAGGATAGAGCCGGGAGTCGATGGCCATGAAAGAAGCAAAAAGAAACAAAAATTAGCGGCCCTGGCCACACACACCGCTAGGCTATTTAGGACACCTCCATAGGTGAATGGCCGCCCTCCTACTCCTACTACTAATGGGAGAAAGCATACCGAGGTGGAGCTTGGATAAAATGGACTCGGAAGTTTTTCGAGCCGGCCATGCCAACTCATGGGCCCCTTCTTCCCCGGCCGTCTCGAGTATCATCGGACCCCACTTGCAACAGGAAGAGAAGGAAAAAAAAAAATGCTACGGTAGCTAGCCATCACATCCACCCATATCTTCTGTTTCCTCCTTTTTCCCCTCCTCCACGTGGAACGCTGGCCTTGGGGTCGGGCCTGTGCCTGGCCGCTGCACCGCAAGAGCCCAGTCTCCAGCGTCCAACACTAACGTAGGCCCGGTGTTGCAGTGCTAGCACCCACGGTTGCCTGTTTAGAAGTGGGAATCGGGCCATTGTCCGCTCCAGTCGGCGAGACTTGGTTTCCTTTTTCCTTTCCGGCCCCCTTCCATTCCCTCCTTTTACCCCTTCTCATCTTCCGTTGGGGGCTCTGCGTGCCGCTAAAGCGTCTCGGCCTGACGCAGTCGAGCACCCGCACGTCTCTACGCGCACCAAATTTCGTCTTTCTACCAAGCTGGAAAGCTAGACAAACGCGACCAGCATGCATGCTGAGATAACGTTGGACACTGCCGCTCTGACCTTGCTGCCGGCCGAATGAATGCCGAACCTAAAAAGCAGTGGCCCTCGGAAAACTAGAGCAAGGCTGAGGTTAATTTGGCCTGGGCCTTTTGGTGGGAAAAAGACGCTGGTGGGGGAGAAAGAAAGAGAACATTAGATTGATTCATGTGTACCCGCTGTGTTGCTGTACACACGGCGAGGCAAGCCTGAAATAGGTCAAAATCCCCGATTGCCCTACCATTTTCAATCTATACCGGTCCCTCTCATTCTCGGATTAATACATGACCTTCTCCTTCCTCTATCTTTCCTTACCGCATCATCCAAACCTGGGTTTTGCGGGGGCTCCTGTGTTTCGGCATTCACCCGGTCTAGATTACGGAGCCTCGTCAAAGAGCCGCGGAGCCGCCCCCTCCTCCCTTCCCCCTACTGAAAGTGGTTCACGACACTAGGCCGACGGAAGGCGTCATGGGGGACCGTCCCTGGCTTGTCCGCAACTTTATGCTGCGCAGGTGGTATCTTCCTCGATGCTTCCACCTGCCGTCCACGCAGGGGGATGCATCCCGTCGCGTGCACCGGTGCTTATCTCCTTGTCTTCCATCCTCCCTCTTCCCGCGGGCTATCGTAATAACGAACGAACCAACGTAAAAATCAAGGCCAAAAAAGAACAAGAAGAAAAGGGCGATGAGGGGAAACTTAATCAACCGCCATCGGGTTTGGCACCTTGGCCTGCTTGTTTCCAGGAGCAGCACATCTAGGAACCCCTTCTCTCTTCCACTCCATAATCTCGCCCAAAGCTCGCCAATGTCTCCCAAGAGGGCAGGCGAAAACCCGTTTGACGTCTTGCGGCCCCTCTGCCTTAAATTGCCCGCCCTTGTGCCGCCACGTTGGAGCCGCGTCCCATCGGACTTACATGGACTGCAATATACACATCATAGCCCCCATCCGTCTCCTTCGTCTTCCAAGAATCTTCCTTCCAGAAGCCCCTCCCTTTCTCTAGACCCCACGTCCCTGACGTCTTGGAGCGCCATGTCTACCCATCTGGTGCCCCTGGGAGCAGAAAGGGGAAAGAAAAGGGTGCCACACCTTATATAAACCCATATAAGAAAATCTATTTACAACTGACGCCCAAGTTGCCTCATCATTTCCCCATCTTGTTGGCCGGTCTCTCTTCCTCTTGTGCAAGAAGCCACGGGGAGAAAAGGAGTAAGAAAAAAAGAGTAGGTTGGCCGTGTTCAGAAAAGATAGAGTAACCCCACCCAAGACAAGTCCGATCAGGGGAATACAAAAGGGCCATGTCATATATTGCGGGTGATGGTGAAGGAGGGATTTCTGCCATCAATCGATCCCCAATGCGGCGTTGTGATTTCAGGCAGAAGGTCTCCTATATTGGCCGGCCTTCCCAGCTTCTTGTCTAGGAAACTTTGCCTAGGCGCTTGAATCTCGGCTCGAATCTTTTTATTCGACATGCTCCCATCCCACCGCACATCTCATCCGGCTGGCTGCCCTTTTACCCGCCAACTGATTCTACATGCCTTTGCCTCTAATTCATGCCTTGATCACATCTTTCCTTATCCGCACGAAGCTTGCTCTACGCAGTTGCCTCTTGCCCCTTTCTCTTTCCTTCGTCGATGCGAAGCTCTCGACACGGAGTATTCTAATCGATCTAGTTATTTTTAAACTTTCCCCCTCTCCCTTTGTCGCTGGCTAGGTGCCTTGCTCTATCTGGGTAAACGAGGATGTGCGACCTTTAAGAATAACGTGATATTAGTCGGGTGGCGGGCCCCATATATCGGAAGGGCTAGTTTAAGGTGAAGGTTGAGAACAAACGGACTTGGAACCAGGAAAAACACTCACCAGGAACAACGCCCCTCACTACACACCCTCACACTGCAATTATTGTATACATTTACATCAATTGATACACACACTAATAGGACTTGTACATGCGTATGTGTATATCATACAAATCACCATATATCGCAATTAAAAAGAGTCCTTTCTCATGATATATAAAGACGGCGTCATTCGCGTTCACAACCCTGTTTCCAATGACCAGATCGATCTTTCAGCCACGAACCCACTCCTCCCCGTTCATCACAACATTCTCTTTCCCCCAATCGGCTTTCTTATCAAACGGGATTTTGCGCTCGTCTTTGAATCTCGGTCTTCATATCTCCCATCACAAATTCTAGGCCATCTTTATAATTCCTCAAGATGAAGCTTCTCGCGGTCGTGTCCGCTTTTGCCGCCTCCGTCCTCGCCGGGTCCGAAACGCTTGACCACGCGCCGAAGTAATACAGTACCAACTCAGGATTGCTAGGTACGTTCCGCTGGCACCGTGCCGAACCTCTCTTTACGCCCGGTATCGCCGGCCGTCGGCTTTTAAAAAGAAAATAATGTGAAAAAGGAGGACAAGAAAGAAAACGCGAAAGAGGGGTGAGAAAAAAATGAGAGAGAATGGCACCAACTCCATCTTTGAATCATTTCTGACAAAACCATTACAGCCACGGAGCTCTCGATACCCCTTTCAGCGGGGGTGCTGTGAGCATTCGGGATGGTAGGCTAGGCTTCTTTGGCGACGAAGAGCGAGGTATCGTCTTCGATATCGAAGAGGAAGCCCGGCCGCCCAGGGACAGCGTGCGCATCACCATTGGCGATGTCGAAGATGAAGAGGGTACTGATATCTACATTGCCCTTGACGGTGATGCTGAGGACGGGACTCGCGGCCTTGTCATATCCGACAGCCCAAATGAGGGCGCCCTTTTCAAAGTTGGCGAGATCAACGAAGATGGCTATGCCGACATCGAATGGGTCGGTGGTGGCCAGTGGTTGGTCCAGAATACCAACGACGAGGACTATGAGCTCTTCTGGTGGGACGGTAAGTGTTTACGGCCGCTTTTCTTCATGTCCACCTGACTATCCTTGTTTACCACTCGGGAATTCTGAGTGCTTACACCATATCTTCTTTTAGGCGAATCATTCAGCGTGGCTATCACCTACCCCGTTGGACTGGTAGCCTGGCGTGCGGACGAGTAGCTAGACCCAACTTTGTGAAAGGCAGACGTCGCCGAGAGCACCTCGGCGATTGCAGCCTCGTTTCTTTCCTTAGCCTATTCCCCATCCAACTGTTCTTCTCCCACGTCGGGCTAGTTTATTTTCACAGGGACAGTACCTGTCCCTTCATCTTGTTCAATTTTGCCCATACATGGTCTTCCTTGTACATACACGTGCACTTCTCCATTCTGGTTCCTGGCGGGCATGTTGTTGTTGGGGGTTCCCGGTGATTATGTCGTCAAAGTTGCATCGGATCACAACGGAGCTCTCGTGGACGCCATGGCTGGCCGCCGCGTGTTAGACAGGGATCTGGCCGGCCAAAGATGCTTTCGGGTACGATTCCCTGTACGTTATTGGTGGACTCTCGTGGCATCTGGATCGGTTCCTGGTCAATGCTTCAATCGATTTTTAGCATGGCACCCCTCTCTCTCACACACTCTCTCTCTGTTACCTGTGATTTTCGGACACACAAAGTCTCTCAAGGATCCCTTTTGAGATGTTTCGGGGATTAAATAAAATTGGAAGTTCAATGCCCCTCCCTTTCACCCGAAGCACAATTTGGTTTGCATGGTCGGACAAACATCAGATGGCTCTTGAACCCCCTGGCTCCGTGGAGGGCATGCGATATGGTCAACGGCTAGTGTACTTCGTGTGATTAAGCGGGAAACGCGGCGTGTTTGGCATCTGGTCAATTGCGCGATGGTGGTGGATAAGCAGGGGCCAGGCCAAATGCGCCGGGGACCCTCGTTCGCGGCGTTGACGCGACCCGACCGGGCCAGGAGCCCTGCACGACGGCCCAACCATCTCCGTTGCTCAGTGTTAGCTCTTCCTGGCCTAGCGTGGCCTGGACACCGGGCTCGCCAAGCGTCTCCGATGAAAGCGCATCTCTCCGTTGATGAATTAATTTACGACGCAAATGGTGCCTCGGTCGTTGTTCAAGTCGATGCCCCCTAGGCCTCGGTGACATTGCCCTGATTCGATCAAGTTTAGAAGAAAGGGTACAAATTCTCGCTGCCTTCCGAGTTCTCGTCATTGAGCAATGTGGAACCCGCCATGTGAAGCGAGGGAAAGGGACAGGAAGCGCAGCAGCACCCTTTCGCTAGCCGAGACGAGGGAACCACATCCCGGTAGGCCCTTATCAGCCGAAGGGATGGCGTACGGAGGGTGATGAGATCTTCAGCAGATATGAAGGCGTGGAATGATGGAATGCCAGTAGATAAATGAAGTGCCGCACCGAGTTCTGTATTTAGATCAAGCCCTGTGAGATTGAAATTTTCGTATTGGTGCGAAATGTCGGGGATGGGTGCCATCACAGAACCGGGATCGAACATGGAGGCTTCAATTCATCAAAGTTTCCAATGTTCTTCTTAGTGGTACTCTTGCTCTCCACTTTCGTGGTAGGAATATCGAATCAATATCTTGGGGAGTAGATGTGGTGTTTGTTGTCCAGAGGGGTCTGTCGAGCCAGAACGGGGTATGCACTCCCCCTCCCCCACAATCACCTGGAAAAAGATCGCGCAACAGTAAGATGTGATTCTTCAGCTTGACTATAGGAATTGCATTGCAGTGCATTCGGTCGGCAATGCGTCGTGAGAGGTACGCGAGCTCCATCTGCAGGACCTATGCGAACGCTGAAGGGACGGAGGCTTGGACGCCCCGGATGACTCGCTGAAGCTTTCTTTGATGGAGGGAGGGTGTACCAGGGTTCTTACGTTGGCGCAGATATCGGCGTCGTCCTCGGCCCCGCTGCTCAAAGCCAAATTCACCTGCCCATGGGAGGAGGTGACGAGCAATCAAAAATCATAGCAAAGCAAGATCGAGCAAACAGCAGAAGGAGGCCTCGGGGATGCCCGTGTAGGGCAGAATATAGAGAAGCAGGCAAGCCCATGGAGAAAGTGTGAATAGCTTCGGTCCAGTGCCACCTGTCCATCACCAAATAACAAGAATTGGTAAGACGAGGCGAAGATTCCCCCTTTCCCCCAAGAGAGTTATGACTCCGCTGCCTAGTAAAAGGAGTGACTCTGTTCCTGTTTGCCTCCCCAACCTAGCCACTCATCCCATCCATGCCCGCCCCTCCCACCTTCGTCTGACCTTGTGTCTCCTGCGAACCGACCGGATCCCTTTTTAGATGGAGGATCAAAGTTCCCAAGAGGCGACGGCAAAGTGGCCTTCCTGAACAGGGAAGTGTGCACGGCGTGATCGGTGTGGCTGTGGATAGGCTGATAGATTGTCCAGCAAATAGACAATATCGGAAGTATTCAGTCGCGCCGCCATTGCACCTGTGCGTAGGCGAAGGGAAGCCCGGATACGAACAGCCAACATTGGCTCGCTTACGCATGGTGAACCAAGGGCAAAATTCAAAATTCAAAAAAGTGGTGGTATTGCGCGGGTGCGGCTAGGATCACCTGGTTCACGGGATCTCGCGTATAACTGGCATGGAACAACGAAGGGACCGAGGTTTCGAGCAAGCTAGATTTCGATTCATTATCGGGTCCGAGAAAGCTGGCTGCTGCCTCGGACGCATATTGAGGGTCGCACTGACGAAGCTGACCTGATGATGACCGAGAGCGTCAACCTTGGGTCCAGCTAGGAATATCGGAAGTGGCCTTAATCAACGGAGGGGATAGATGGGATGAGGGCGTTCAATGTTGTATTGCGTTGACACGTAGATGGTAATGGCAGTGGAGGAGCCCGAAGTCATGCCCGCGAAGTCGTCATTCTCGACGCGTCCCGCACCCGCGGATGGCGGATATCGAACTAGAAGGAGCACTTCACCGACCAAGTAGCCCGTGCTTCTTGCCGATATCTGTGCTGGAATCCATTTCGTCCTTCATTCCTCTCCCCGTGACTGGATAAGTTCTTCTGCCCATACTATCGGGCCTATGACTTCGGGGCTCCGCTGCGCAATCAGCACGGCTTCCTTGAATTTTGGTTCCAGTGCCCATCCCTTCCCCAACGCAGCACCCGGCTGGCTCCCCTCCCCTGCCACTCAAGCCCTCACTCCTCACATCGGCCACAGCATCAGACACGCGGCGAGCGACATTTCAAGTGTAACCCTCACGCGCCATACCAGTGAACTCGAATGAATAGATCAATAACTAGAGTCTTGTTCTTCTTTTTCCATCTTTCAAACAGCCTCTCGAGAATGGCTCCACAGTCGGAAAAAGCTGCAGGCGGTAATATCGCAAGCCTACACAGTTTTGAACAGATCAATGTTGGACAAGCTCCCATGACCCGTTTCCCCAAAAGCACTGGATCGAGCACCAGCCGGCGCTAGGCATCACAGCGGCCGCATGATGAGCGAGGAAGGTGCCTTGCGCCGTGACTGACGAATGCCCAAAAGTCCTACGCCCACATGCCTCTTTGCCTCTTTGCCCTCCCCCATACAAATTGTATATTCAATGCTCACCATCAGCGTCGTGTTCTCCAAGCGCTAAAATGGCTCGCTGGCGGATTTTGGGGACCACCGTCGCAACTCCACCCCCAATTTCGACAAGTGGCGGATAAATGGGAACCAGAACCACAATTTTGATTTGAGAGCCCACGCACGTCGAGCTTTGACAAAGGGCTGCCACCGAGGGCCTTGGGGGCGTGCGCGTGGGGAAAGTCCTCGTCACTCCCCCACCCGCTTCACCCCAGGCCAGCGATTTCATGTGAGCAGAGCATGCGAGAGTAGCCAACCCAGGCCGCCCCCTGCCCCTGTTGCTCCTTTGCCAGAGGAACGGGCTCCGAAAAATCGCTGGGAATGGTAACCTCAATGTTGGAACTTCACAGCGTCGTAGCGGTCCCGTTCTTGAGGCCTCGGGATTTATCGAAATGACGGACGGCCAAGGGAAAATAATAGAGTACATACCATCAAATGTAAGAATAGTGTCAAGAAGGGGATGAACCAGGGTATCAAACCCCAAGCCTCCCGAAGCGAAGCCAGCCCGCCTTGAACGGCTTGTTGGAGAAGCTGGGACATCTCGACGGTTCGCAAACCTACATGCCTTTGTGTAGTTGTAATTGTGGTGATGGCGAGAATCAACTGACGGGCGTAGGCTCTGAATCTGGGTCTACCCGGAGATCGTGAATTCGTGACCTTTGTGGCTTCTTCTGATCGTCTTGATGGATAGTCGCTCTTTCTGTCGGTTTTTTCCAAATCGCATTACGCGGAAAGTTAAAACAACTCTAAACCCGCGAGTCTTCAGAGTCCCCTACAAGAATCATGCTGATCGCTCCAGCGCCGCTGAGAGGATCACTGCTGAAAAGATCCCGATATGCCCTGCACAAGTCTCGATCTCATGCCATGAATCCCGCCGCGCCGGATTTTCAACTTTTCTTTTTCAACCCCTATTTTTACTGATGCCCTTTGCCTCTCCAACCCGGCATAAAACGCGCCTGCTGGATTTTTAACTTGTGTGATCCTCCTAGACGATTCACCCGGATCGCCAGCTTAGCTCCCCTCCCTCGAGTACAGGGCCTGTCTTATGCGCTGGAAGCGCACATTACCAGTCTTTCGCTGTGGCTGGGTCCCGCGCAACTTCTTGCTAAAAACCCGGGCATGTGGTGCATTAAATCATCTCCTCGGTCTCGAGATCCCCCTTTTACTCTTTTAGCCTTCTCCGAGCTCAAGGCCAATCAACACGCTCTTCGCCAGTCTCCATGGCGGGCGTGTATTGCTGGCAAGATCGTGGTCCCCCCAAAAGCCTTCCCTCAACTGTCCACCAGACACAGACGAACCGCACGCACGCCCACACGCACCCCCAATCCAACCCCCACACCCCCAAGGGTGTCCTCCTATTCTTCACATCCAGATGGACGTACACTACGAAGTCGCTGTTCCAACCACACCCCGCCCCCTTTCCTGACCTCCTGCAAATCGCCAGTGCGCTCGTTGGGGATCGAAACGCTATCAGAGCGATCGGCTGCTAATACCTGGAACGAATGCTGAAGAGAGAAGGGCAAATCGTCAATGCCCTGCATGCCGTGCAGGATAATGTCATGAAATTTCCCTTCAAGCCAACTCCGCTACAGAGGAACGAGCAAAATTGTGATTTTCAACGTGAAAATGTCAACCGAAAACGATGGAGATAGAGGCTATTGAAGGTAAATTTGAGAGGTATTAACCATGGTATCTCTTTGCAATGATTACTATGTAGCGAGTGTTCGACTTCAATCAGCGACGAAAGCCGCATTGAGTCCTCTTTCTGAAGTGACGAAACAGGCAATTCACCTTGTCGTACAATTATCTTCTCCATCCATGTTGGGGTATCAAAACCAGATCCGGTCATATCCGGGCCTTCCCCACATTCTCCAACCCCCTGGAAACCCTGGAAACGCCTATGCTTGCTGAGAAGCCCTTTTGCCTATAGAACAAAACATGCACGCCAAAACCAAAAGAAAATGCTACCGCATACGCGCCCCGCCATTTCTCCAACTAGGGAGGGAAAACACAATAAAGAGGTGCAGGTTAAAAAAAAAAAAAGGATTGGGAAGAAATGACACTTTGTGAAAGGAATGGCTGGCGTAAAGCGCTGCTCAAGAAAACCGGTACCGCCACCCAGGGCGACATTGGTGAAGAAGGATGAATTGGTGGGAGGCGACGGGCGGTAAAATGAAAGGATGGGAAACTCCAAGGCGATGAAAATGAGAGGGTGGGTAATGTTCACGCTTTTGACGAGTGAGTCCGGCTGAGGGCTACTTGGTGTACCTCCACAATAGCGATGCTCCTTCCAATATGGGTAGATTTGCTGGCTTGGTGACGCCAACCGCACCCTTATCGGCCTGGTACGTAACAAATAGCGCCTTTGCGAATCTCCGCTTGAATCGCCTCCAGTCGTCGTTTGTGGGCCACGGGTCACACCAAATGCCGTCTTCCTCGAAGTTTTCTTTGAGGCTATCAAGATAGTCCTCGCGGTCCTCGTCAATAGCGAGCGGATAATGGAGGAATTCGTTGTGGTGAGGGCGGCGCGGGTAGTGATAATTGATATTGCTCTCAATGTCGAACTTAAACCTGTAGGCCTGGTGAACAAGTTGCGGTCGATACTGCGTTGATGCTTGATCAAGTTGAGGTTGTTGCGTCGAGGGCGGAGGCGTTGGCGAAAGGGATGAGTGAGACTGAGGGGACAAAGATTCGCTCGGTGGTGGAGTCCAGGGTGACATCGAGTCGAAGCCCCCTTGCTTGAGGCGAGGTTGTTATAGCTGTTGGGAGAGTGTAGCATAATATTGCTGGAGCCATAGTAGTAGGTATATCGGAAGTCGAACTCAAACTGGAACTCTTGATGCACCACAAAGAGGAGCTTCTTTAGCTTTGGGAGTTTCGCAAGCCTAGCCAGGAGCTTCGACATATTGCTCTTGGAAACCCTCCAACTGAGCACAGGATGGCAAATGCCTGTGTGCATACCATAAGACGTGCCCAAGGCGAGGTGGGCAATGTTGTCTCTTACAAGAGGTATCTGGCTAAGGAAGTGGAGGGTGCGGAGTAGTCTTTTGACCAGCAGGTAGGGCTCCAGTAATAGGATGTCCCTTGAGAGATCCACATACTTGGTCGTGGAGGAGAGAGTGAGTGGCTTGTAGTGTCTGAGCACAAATGCTCTAGATTCCTGGCACACGGCCGCCAGCGCCGGAGGAGGTTCGTGATGGATGTTGGCAAACATCAGGCCAGTCTGTGGCGGCGTTTTTGTTTCGCGTTAGGCGCATCGAGGATTTCAAACACACGAGACTCCGGGAGGGCGTACTCCCATATCATGGAGCGTATCTCCGGGGGAGCTTGAGAAATGGGAAGGACGACATTTTGACGTGGGCTTGTGACAGGGAACTTCTTGGTGGTGATGTGTGCTGGGTGCTGGGTGCTGGGTGCTGGGTGTTGGGTGTTGGATGTTGAGCGAGGACTTATTGGGTTGATAGGGGTTGATGGGAGTTAATGGTGAGAAGAGAAGAGTATTTGGCTGATCAACGTTTGTAGTTATTGTTCAAGCATTGCGGGATGCTCGACGGTGTGTATCTTTGGTGTAGTAGTGGATGAAGGAGGGGAGGGGAGAGGGGAGGGCCACTAGTTATATGGAGGGACGAGCTCTTTGTGAGATGGAGGTCGGTACCACCAACCAGATTTCTGGGAGGATTGAGAGCTGGAGGGGCAGGATGGACAAAGTTCAAGAAATAAAGGAATATGGTGGGTGTGAGGTGTGGGATTATTCAAGGTGGTGAGAGATGGCCAGCCTCTAATGCTATCGGTGCGCCCCAACCACTCATTCATATAAGCCACCGGAGAAGATGACCCAATTCGATTACCCGACCACCAAGATCACAGCAGGAGAGACTGTTCGAAATGAGGAAATAAAAATTGTCCGACGTCAAGTAACCAAGGGAGGGGAGGGGGTGGTGGTCGTTGTTGCGCGTGAGAAGAAAACGGGGCCCTGCAGTAATAAGGCGTTTGGGAGGGATTTCGCGCCAATCGAAGCTGAGAATGGTGTGAGGCGACGAGTTCGAGTCGAGGCGCCGTTTTGTGGATGTTTTAAGGGACTAGAGAGCCAAGGCAAATGATGGCAAAGTGCAGCGGAATTTTTCTTTTTACAGGGCTGGACAAATCCAACTCCCTTCTAAGACCTGCTGAGCGAAGTTCTCTCACAAGGTGCCAGGATTTGTCGTCAAGGATCGAGGAACAGAGGACGAGAGGATGTAAAATCTTGTGCAAGAGAAGAAAACCGCGACAAGGGTTAGAACTTGAGGTGTGCAGAGTGGTTCGGACCAAGGAGAAAAAGTGCAGTAGGAAGGGTGGGACAGATGAACAGGTTGGGCCTTGCCGTGAATAAGTATGGCCAGCTGAGATTATTCCCCAGCTTTCTTCCCTTTAGGGTGGGTGTGTGTATCGATCCTTGACTTGGGCCTTCTCGTTCTGCTCTCTCGACCTTCACTTTCGGCACGGCAAACAGTACCCAACTTGGAGGATGCGAGTGCTGTTGACGTCTGCGGTGGTGACACTTGGACCAACCAGGATGATGGCGGCGCGCATCAACCATCAAATCACCAAATGAAACCAAACCAAACTATGGGCCTGCCTCCCGAAGTAAGTGTGTGAGCCAGGCCACTGGCATGACAAGGGGAGGGTAGGCGAAGGAAGATCAAGAGCATGCAAGACGGGAGGTGAGTACATCGAGAGAACCTGGCCTTGAGATACCAGCTCGAGGCAAGCTAAGGAGCCAAAAGGGGTCAAGAGCTTCAAGAGGGAAGGCACATCAACTCACTAAACAGGTGGTATTGATGCAAGCAAAGCCCTTTGAAATGGCCTAGGCTGGAGGAGTGGGGAGAAAACTAGAGGGCTACCCCCCTTTCTAGCAGCCTTCCACCCAAGTACTTAGTAGCAGTAGTGTATCAGTGAATCTCGTCAACTCGCTAGCACGAGCAGCGGGAACAGACCCCTGTCTCGACTCAAGATTGGGGGTAGGGAAAAGGGAGGGTGATCGGGTGTGACAAGGGGGTGTGAATGGGAAGAACCTTGCCGATTAACTGAACGCAAACGAAGACCAGTGCTCCATGGGCGGAGAGGTTCCCTGTGTCATCGGCAGGATGGATGGGCATGCTTCGTTAATCGAAACTCCTGATGGGCCACGAGGGAGGCCTGGGGTGAGCACGAGCGCTAGCCAGAGATGACGAAGTGACATTGAGACTGTGGTCGGATCTTTCCTCTCGGGCTACTTGGTCTGGGTTTCCTGTATTAACCGGCAGTGGTCTGGGATGGCCTCAAAAGCGTGCCATGTTAGGGCGCGAGGTGACATGGACAGACAGACATTGATCAATACTGCAGTGAGCTCGGGCTCGCGACGGCTACGGTAGGGAGTGGGCACGGAATGGGCGGTAGTAGTAGGCCGCTGAGGAAGGGGGAGCGCGAGGAAACTATGCGATTGAAGGTGAGATTTGGGGGAGGGGCGGGAAGGGTAGGAAGGGCCATGAATGTGGAAGGGGAAACGGAAACGGGGCACGAGAGAGAAGGAACGGTCGCGAAAGCGATCAATTCGCTCGTTCAAGGAAGCGATCAACTCTTGATGAACGTCAAGAAGTTCGGGTCCTGCTGAAGCCTGCAGGGCGGGCCAGAGATCACAGCGACACTTATTCGAGAGAAAAGGGTGGCCAAGTCCATCTGTGGAGGTATCAAGAAACTAAAGTCAAACCTTCCCATTCGGGTTCGGGCAGTCTTCCGAGGGAAGGAGCTGCCAAATTCTGGCAATGCCTTTTTGTGCTTAATCTGCACGACTGAGGAGGCAGGGCCATTCCAACCTTTCGAAGAGCGGTAAAACTGGGTTTGACCCACCGGCATTCTGAGGATTATTATATTATAACCTATAAGACAACCAAGCCTTGGGTTGAAGGGGTGTGTGCGGGCTTGCTTGCTCGTGTCGTTGACAGGCAGATCTGAGAATAGCTTGCGCAATTAGTTGGACTCGGTTCTCTCGCGGGCTCTGGAAGGAAAGAGGTGAACGGAGCAGGTGGGGAGGAGGGGTGGGATGACCGGGGAGGGTGCGTGCCCACTGCTCAGTGTCTCAAATTGCAGCGCATCAGTGATCTTGCAAAATGAAAAGGCTACCCAGTGGTGGGGGAGGGGTGGCTTCTTAATGCTGGGGAATGGGGGTGTGGAGAGTTCTGGAAAGCGAGGGCATCCTGGCAAAAAATACACAGGTCTGGGCTTTCAGCGTCATGTCCCTTCCCCCGTCGGCTTGCTCAGCAGCATCCTCTTCGGTTCACGGAGTTAAGTTCTCACGGGAGGCGGGGACAGAAAACAAATTTGATGATGGAGGACTAATGCCAGGCTCAGGATTTTCTGTTGATGCGGCGGGTTAAACGGGGGTCGCCGGGCACAAGAACCCCCGGAAGCGTTGAAGGCTACAGGCTCGTCCTCCGTTGGCTCTATGGCGATGCGTGATATTGCTGGCCACTCCCTGACTGGCGATGGAGATGTATGTCGATATAATGAAACACGCGGATATCAGATCAAGGCATCTAACGGCCGTGGGGCAAACGGGATGTTGAAGAGTTTTTACACGAAATGAGTGAGAAGGTGGCATAGAAGCTGAGAGCACGGCTTGAATCTAGAATCTGCCATCATGCAGTAGCCCGACCTTCGCGAATTCGCAGCCACATAATCACACCAGTCAAGATCCCAAGGAGGGGCCAGAAAGAAAGGGGCTCTCCAGCCAAGAGAAAGAGGCATGTCGCAAAGGCCAATCCCGCACAGGAGATTGGGAGTGTCTAAATTTGGCATATAGAGGCCGATGTTAATAATGCGAACGGCACTCTTTTCGACGAGGACATGCATCTATCAGGGCAAAGGGATGGGGAGGGAGACAAAAGACGGGGGACGAGAGACACTAGCCCCGAAGCACTCCAGCTGTGACGGGGATACGGACGCCACGAACCAAAATACGCATAATATTCCTCAAATATGGCCCGCTCGTGATTCCGGCTTTGGTTCGACTTGTTCGGAAAAAGCCCACGAACACGGTTCATCCAGTTCTTAAGGGGAGAGAGATGGGAAGAATCTGTTCTCACTCGACAAGGGCATTATCTCCTCGGTCGCATGTAAATGAGGGCAGTGATATTGGCTGGCCGGCTAGGGCTACAGGGGTTCTCTCTTCACCCCGTTTGACATATTCGGGCGGCTGCCCTTCCACCTCATCCTCTCATACACTGGAATGCACGTTTCTGAAGTCATCAACGAAATCACCTAAACAGTGCAAGAGTTTGTTCAATCAACGTCGGTCAACGGCGGCAAACTCTCCAAACCCAACTTTTTTTAAGATTTGGGCAGAGTCGCACACCAAAGTGATTTCGTGGGGCCTCGCCAAAACTGACGGCCGGCCCTTGAGCCTGAGGCGAGCCTGGACGGACATCGTGTATCAAATTTTGGTCCTGCAGCACTCCGTGTGCCTGTGCGTGCCCTATACAAAATCAAGTCACCCTCGTACACCTGCCCGAGTTAGCCCCCTATCCATACATCTATGGAATGGGGGAAAGGTTAAGAAAGAGAACATTGGGAACAAAGACAAGTTTCTAGTCACGCTCCCACAACAAGAAACAAACTCCACTCAATGAACCGGGACATTTAACTCGAAACCCTGAACCGAAACGACTGGAAATCGCCTTAGAAACTCGATCTGCTCTCCCGGGCACCTTGGTTCTAAGCGAGCCCTTGCCGCATCGATCGATGTTCAAAATGGCGGCCGTGGTGAGAGCTTTCGAGAGGCTCACCTTTGCCCCTTCGCTTCTTATTGATCTATCCTTTTCTCAACCGAGAAAGTTTTCGGGAATCGCATTGTCATGCCCTTCTTTTTCTACGCGAATTCTCGCCCCGGTCGCAAAGAAGGATGCAGGACGACTTCAGGAGCACTTCTCGAACGTCAGGATTTCGGCTGGGTGAACCGACCTTTACGTTTTCGACCATGTTAAGCAAGCTCGGCATCGCTTTTCTCAAACCCTGGACCACTTAAGCGCTCCGTGCATAGTGACTACCCTATCTCTTTGTAACACGCTTGCGTTGATGGTTGGGAAGAAACAGGAAACATCTGCAGATGATGCTGCGAACTCATGCCTGGACTTGGAGAAGAGCTCGCCGATCTTTGGGACATTCTTCTGCGAGCTGATGACGCTAAACCAGGATGTTTCTCAAGCCGAGGGACAACCCGCTACTCTTGAAGGGAATCGATTATTGTTGCTTCACCCGCTCTTGCCTTGGTCCAAGATGGCAAGTATT